ATCGCTTCGCCTTGCTTCCTCTTTAGTGTTCGCTTTGATAATGTGGAAAGAGTGGAGGGCTTTGCGGGTGGAGCTTGTCCTGCTTTTCTTAACCTGAAGCAGAGTATAGTGTCATCTATCAGAAGTCCTGGAACACAATTCTGATCTGCATATGACTAGACTAGTATTCCTGAGATCCGATCTATGCACAATCTATGTGAAATGGTCGCTGTCAGAAATCAGAATAACTTCATAGCCATTGTGAGAGAATGACATGCATGTAAGAAATAAGGAACAGATGTGCATGTTGGAAGTGTTCCAGGGCTTCACGGTAGATAAGGCTGGTTCACGCGATTGTGTGAACCAGCCCCGAAATACCCGAGAGCTTGTGTCTGTGGTGCGACCTGTGATGTGCAACTAGAGGATAGTAATTGACAGGATTAATGTGGCACGGAGGTCCTTCAGCTGTCCTGCCTCCAGTGCGAGTTTCCTACCCTCAGTAATGCTTCGGCGTCTTGTCCGGGCCGGTTCATACAGCTGTGTTCAGGGCAACGTGCACGACGGCGTGGTGCGTCGACTCGTCAGATTCAGTCTGCCTCGCTTTTCACATGCTTTGCCCTGTCAAGGTCTGGCATTGGGCTAATTTTCCATGCCTTCAGTACCCGTGATTCAGGGCCAAGGCAATGAAAGTGCTCAAAAGCATTGCAAACTTTTTCCACGGGTTTTTTGTTTTTAATTGTCAAGATTTGAGCCCCCACACATTCAGGATACCTAAAATTTTGCAGGCATTTTCATCTTGGTCTGGACATTTCATTGAACGGCATTTCATAAAGTGGTTCCTCGAACGCCATTTCACCAAACTTCGTTTTAGTGAATGCCACTTTATTGAACACCATTTCATCGAAGCCGTTCCACCAAACTTCGTTTTAGTGTATGCCACTTTATCAAACACCATTTCATCGAAGCCGTTTCATCGATCACTACTGGTAGGCTCCAGTGGTCGTTTTCTTTTAACATAAGAGGCATGCCCGTGTGCACTTGTCTTATGCATGCGCAAGAGAGAATGTGAGGGCATGAAGAGAAAAAAAACAACACAGATATAGTATTTTTGTTTTATCAACGTGTTTAATATCTTTTACTATTCTAATTACACTCTCACTTTTAAATAGCTTAATGAGAGTATCAGACACTAGTACGCTCGCAGAATGGTGACCAGTGCTAAGCCCCTTGTGCAGCTTTGATCACAATTAAAATAGAATATGAACAGACATGCACAAAATACTGATCCCAACCTACTGCAGCAAACATTTTTTTGCTAAACTAATTTTGATAATCACATAAAAAAAAAAAAATTTAAACAATGTTTTACGCGAACAGTTTTTCAGCAAGTCACATTCCTTTGCCTCTTATTTGCAATGGAATTCACAATCAGAATCCAAATAAATGTTGCCATTTCTATTAAAGAAAGAAACACAATAATAATTTTCCCAATATGATTTGACAGCAGCATCAAAATAATTTGAAAAGCCACTGCTTAGGTTTCTTGAGATGCAAAGATAAAACATCATAATCATCCCAAATTTGGTAGAGTAAAATTCAATAAAATGATGTCAAACTATTAGATGAAATGGCATTCAATGAAATATCCACTTATTCAATAAAATGCCATTTGATGAAACGCTAGCATTCAATTAGATGTGCAGAGCCCATTTTCTTCAATGGCGTATGAGCCTCCGATTGCACCGTTAAGTTTTATCAAAGCATGAACACATTTTATTTTTTTTAAATGAAGTTGTGAATTGTGCATGTATTTCTTTTTACAGCATTGAATTTAGTTTCTTTTATTGCGTATATTCTAGTGTTGTGCAAATATTTGAAATTTAAAATAGCAGTTTCGAATAATACACTATTCAATATTCGCTTCGAGATGAACTGCGATATTCATACTTTTCCAGGTGCTGGTCGTGCCGGGTTACCCGGTTTAATGCGCTTCTTACCGAGCACTAGTGCACTGCGGAGAAGAAACACCCGTGGAGCTTCCTTCCGCGGGTGTTGCTTCTCCGCAGCGAAACCGCGTGGTTGGAGGAAAGGACACTTTCAAAGTGGGATGGTGCACACATGCGCATGGTGTATTTAAAAAGGAACTGAAACTTTGCGAATGATAATATCTATGAGGGTGTCAAAAAAAAAATTTAGAGGGTTTTTCTTACCGCAAAAATAAACTAGGCATCGCCGAATGTTCATTCTCCGCCCAAAGGTAGCGCTAGAGGTCACAAACAGATGCCAAAGCTTCAGCACAATCCGATACCTTATTCAAAAGTTATAAGTGATTTTCTGAAAATTTCAATGGGAAAATGAAGCCCATTTTTGCCCGTTTTCGGTTTCTGGCGCCCCCATAGAGCCCCATGTATTCAAAAACTCCGTCGGCCGCATCTTCCCATGGAAATTTTCAGAAAATCACTTATAACTTTTGAATAAGGTATCAGATCGGGCTGAAACTTTGGCATCTGGTTGTGACCTCTAGCGCTACCTTTGGGCGGAGAATGAGCGTTCAATGATGCCTAGTTTATTTTTGCGATAAAACAAACCCTGTAATATTTTTTTCTGACACCCTGTATATTGCAGTAAAATTTTCAAAATTAAACTGGCTGTTATGAAAGGGTATATATGTTAGGCAGAGATGCCCCGACAACCTGCTTTGTCCCGATGCCCGACAACCTGCATCATTCGTGATACTTTTGTTTTTCTTTTTTTCAATACAAGATTGAAGATTATTTGCATATACAAAGGTTTGTAAATTCACTCAATTTCAATTAGGTATAGCTTGGCTCTGTTAGGGAGAAGATCAGACCTTGGCATCCCAACCGGCTAACTTCAGAACTACATGAATGGGGACAACAAATAAAAATGACTCAGCGCTCGGCTGACTTAACCGAACGCCATGTCGGCGTTTGGCTGGAGTTCGTGTTCGCAGTTGCCCGAGGGGGAGGAGGGGCTCTTTTATTGCCGCTCCGGCCTGCATGAACCATGCAGCATGCACGGCGCATATGCCCAGCTCAGCACAAAAGCCGAAGTGGGTCAAGCTCGCATACTCCGATGACTGCTTTCGGGAGAGATCTGGAACTAACAATAAACGAAGTTACGTTTATTGTTAGTATTTTTACGTTGAGACGTGAACATGCCCACAAGGCCCGTGGGCATGTCCACAGGCCTTGTGTTGGGTAAACACCGAGGTGCGGGGACAACAAATAGGGAGCCTTCATATGCGCACACGGCACATGTATGAAGGCTCGCTAACAACAAACAGGTCAGAGTGCTCCAACGAACTATAGGGGGTGCACTGGTTAGGCAAAATGGCAGACAAAAAGAGGCTGTTTCAGTGTTCAGCACGCGGACCACCATAAATTTCTTGCACTGCACTGTAAAATCGGTGTTACATATGAAAGCAAAGCGATTTTTCGACATTAGAAACCTTCTTCTAGTCAGTGCGTAGGAATGACACCGTGGAAGCATAAAAATAATCACAGAGACATTGTTTGTTTTTATGCTGCCTACGAGAACCAAGTAGCGATAGCAGACGAAAAAGTCGAAACGACCTCTTCTTGAGCTTCTCGGCGTTGCCGCTACGCGGCGTCGATTTTGATGGAGTCACCAATAGTTCGATCACCTTGCCAAAACACTACTTTATATCAAATCCAGTTTGACAGTCCTGTTTTAGAGGTTCATTTCTACCGTTCCATTATATTGCCTGAAAATAGCCAAACGTCCTATTTCGTGGGAACTTGCTTACGAAATCATCACATGGCAAATAGAAGAAAAAAGAAATTACTTGCGAGTGTATTAGAATAAACAGTGCAAGAATGTTATCTCCAATAGAATATGATTTTCAGTGTTTTCTAGCTGCGACTCCTTCTTGCCAATAAGTTTTATTTGCACAGACGTGTGTAGGGGCACTTTTCTATATTACTATATTTGCCATGTTTTGGTTTTGCAGAATGGGTAAGAAAGGTGCTTGTGTACTCAACAAAAATCCCCAGAAAAGTGTGCGTTTTCACGGTGAACTAAATAGTAGCAGAGCTTTCCGATAAGTATGAATGACAATACTCACTTAAATTGTTGCTGGAAACTTTTCTTTTCAAGACTCTCTGCCAAAATGGTCCTACTACTACTAAATTAAGTCAGTTAGAAAATGTTTTCTTCTCCTTCACCAGGCTTCAGTTAAATGACTGAATGGCAGTTAGCAGCTGCTGATCCAGATACAGCTCAAACCCCCAGCAGTAGCTTAGATGCAGAATTGAGTCTTGAATTTTTTCAGTAAAAGTAATAAATAATCTCACTCTGAAAAAATGTATGGTAAATTGCTAGGAAATTGTGCTGCACACGTAAAACATTCTATCATCACAAACATTTAGCAATAGTACTGAGTTTCCAGATGCCTATGTTCACGACGGTCTTTATCAGATAGCTTAACGCACACCATGGGGGCTAAGCAAGACGGCGGGACGAAGAAACCGGGACATCGCCGCCTGCTGCGATGTCCCGGTCCCTTCATCCCGCCTTGTCTCGCCATCTTGCATAGCCCCCCCCCCCTGTGTACACTTGATAGTTGTTCCTAGAATGAGGCGATACTATCGCTAATCGGGCTAATAAACCTGATGATCTTCCAGAGCCTTCCATACTCTCGAGCTCCTCTCCCTCAGTGCGCACAGGTGGTCGAGCTCCTCCTCGCCTACCCCTCTGGTCACATGAGCTCCCCATTAACCAGTCAGTGTAGAGCACCCCTCACTTTTCCTCTCTCACCCGTCAACCAATCAGTGTCAAGCCTCACAGCCATACTTTTATTGAGGCTTCACGAAATGCCGAACACTTAGGCAAAGAAAGTTTCACATTAAAAAATGTCTTCTAAAACCAGACAGCTCCTCACAGCTGACACCAAGGTGACTATGCTTGAAGTTCACACTGACAATACCAGTCCTCGTGGGATCATTCAACTTGAGTGGAAATAGTACACGCCACCCATATCAGTGGGATAAAACAATCTTTACTGCCAACAAATGACATGTGACTGGGCTACGGTGAGCTGGATATGGCAAAAAGTAATTGGTGCACCTGCACACTGGTCACAGGATGTAGGACAGATCATATTTATACAAGAATATTCTCGCATTTCTTCAAGTATAATTATATATTATTTAATGCTCTAGATTTCAATTTGGCTCTTGTATCTCGAGAGTCCTAAAAATCAGTCAACAAGAAAAGAAACCTCTGAAGACAAACAAACACAAACCTAGAGGAACAAACTTAGAAACTTGGGTACACAGAACAAGGCTAATTCCACCTTTTCTTTGGCAGATCTTGCTTGCTCCAACACCAGAGCAGTGAGTTAAGCGATGTCCTTATGACAGCAATGCACCCACTTGCACACAAGAGGCATCTGCACACTTTCACCAAAGACAGCACTTGGACTGCACCAGAAATAGGGCTGTAATGGGGTATACATTACTGAAGGACACAACACATCAACAAAACTCAAGAGTCTGGTACAGACTTGGGTCACGAGTAGTGTACATACATTTAAAGGAACTGCATCATCCCCGAGTATTGAAACGAATACACATAATTGATGCCACCTTGCCTTCTTTTAGGCTCGTGCAGACATATGACTGCCAAACATGGTTCCAGTTGTGGCATAATATGGAACTGTCTGGCACGCTTTGTCTACTTTTGCGGTGCCACACCCACAAACCGAACAGCTCTCTTGAACTGCAGTGACGGTGAGGTTATTGGACGACTCGAAGACACTGGTTTGTTGAGCCCTGTTGGAATCTTCGTGATGAAGGCTTTTGTGTGTTGGCTCTTCCACTTCTTTAGAAGCAATGAGTTGTTGAGGGGTCATATCAATGCCAGTTGAGTTCTCTGGAGACTCTGGCACCACTTCTACAATGGTATGCTTAGGTGATCTCGTAGCTGAGGCCGTGTTCCCTTGCTCGAACCGAACGCTAGAACTGAAGTTTGGCTGAGGAGAAAAGTTCTGGTTAGAAAGTAGTGCCAAGCTCAAGCCTTTGCGAGGTGTCATCGATGCCACACGTAAAATTGTGTTCTGGTCGTAAGCGTGGTCGACTCCCTTCTCTCTCGGCACTTCGGACTCAATTTTTTGGGATGCTGACGTCGACCTACTGAAAGAACCGTTTGGTGTGTGCCACACTGACTCCGGTTTCCAAGACACTCTTTTACCGGGTGTCAAGAAGAGCTTCGTGCCTTGAGGTTGCCTCAGCGACGAGCTTAGTACGTCTTTTCTGCATGGGTTTGAATGTGGTGTCGGCCGCACAGTGGGACTCGACATCACCGTTGACGAAGATAAGTTACACGGAGTCAAGATTGTATCACGTCTCATTTTGGCTTGATTCAACGTCAGTGTCGAAACGTTTTTGCAGGGTCTGTTGTTCCACTCCGAAACTGCTCTCATTTGTGCCAGGTCAGAATCCCCATTCGCCCAAGACATAGGCGCAGACACGGGATGGGTGTTGGGTGTCCGCAATGCTGAGGTCGTCACTGAGCATGCAGTTTGATGACGAGGAGTCGCTGCCACATATGATGAAACCGCAGTTTGGTTGAAGGTTCGGGTGGTCTCTTCCCCATGCACTGCTTCAGCACCAACAAATTCCTGTGTCTTTGGCGTCGGCGTCCATGTGGAACTTGGGTCAGTTCCATGCTGAATTGGTGTTGGTGTTGGACTTACCGCATGTTGTGGAGTTGAAACCGTGCTACCTGTAGCATGCCTTCTATCAAACAACTCTACAGGTGTTCCGACTTTGAAGAACTTCGACTTTGAAGATACAACTTGTGGGGCTGAGGATATCAATGTGCCACCATTAGTCACGGTGGAGCCCTGTCCGACTGCTTGGTCCAAGGGTAGTGGCTCCGTCCTCTGACACTGCAAATAGCCTGATGACGACGGAGAGGGTGACGATTTGCTGAGGTCTCCGAGTTTGTCAATCAGCGCCTGATGTTTGGAAGCCGAGCTCTTACTCCTTCGTGGAAATTGTTCGCTACTATCTTTATCGAACGCAGATGTGAGGGAGAAGTGGTCGATTGGTTTAAACAAGATCTGCTCTTTGATTTCCTTCATTAAGGCAGTCTGGTGTCGTCTCTGCAGTTCCTCGGTCCAGGTGCCTTCGGTGGACTGCTCCACTCTCCCGTAACTTGGCATGGCTAGGAGGTATAATTGGGGTAGCCATTGGAAGTACTGTGTAATTGGCAGTTCAAGCCGCTATGTGATGAACTAAGGATGGACTTTGCACTCAATAACATCGAGCGGTTTTCACTGTTCTGATTCGGCTGGCATGCTAAGTGATATAACAGATTCACTTTCTAATTTTTAAATAGTGCAAAGTATGCAATGGGAACAAATTTCTAATACCTGTGCCACACGGGCAACTCGAATGCCATTTTAACGAATGACATTCGGGTGATCGACGAATCGGCTCGCGATCTGTTGTGCGTAGAATGTGCTACGCTTGAAGTGTCGTGCGCCGATTGGCCGATCGTTCAAATGTCATTCGTTGTAAATGGCATTCAAGTTGCCCGTGTGGCATGGGTATAAGTTATTGGCATAGGATGACAGGAATTGAACGACAATACTGAATTTAAAGTCCTCGCCTTTTTATCAAACTCATTGAGTGTTAAGATTGAGATATATGCTTCTATCCCTTCTGCAATGCTATAACAGCAATTTTTAGAGCGCAGCTCTTAGGCGCCAGTTTCCAGCTTGAGCGGCGTCGCCGTCGGCGTAACCGCGCATTGCATTATGGGACATTTCCCATAATGACGTCACACGCTATGCCACGAGGGCAAAATTTCTCTGCCAAATTTGGCGAAAAATGTTTCCTCTAAATTTAGCGACAAAATTTTCCCGCTAATTTTTAGCGGAAACATTTCCCGCCAAATTTAGCGGGGAAATTTTACTCTCATGACGTCACATGTGATGCCACTCAACCTGGGAACATTTTTCTGTTAAATTTAGCGGGAAAGTTTTCCCGCTAAATTTCCCACCAAATTTTACCCTTGCGACGTCACGTGACCCTCACCCTCGGTACCCTCCGCTCCTCCTCCTCAAAAGCTGTACTCTAATTCGGCAATACAATAAATTGCAAACGTCTTTCATTTTTCTTTTTTAACTACAGGGTGTTCTATCTTAACCACTATTCAGTAGAAAAAAAAGCAGTATAAATAAGCCAATGAACAAAGTGGAATGAAACTTTTCACAATATGTATCTTGATGACTTGGCAGTATCATCTTTTTAGAACTGTCACCATCATGAAAGTGCAAACAATATAACTCACTTGGAACTTGTCGCTTCCCACGGTTCGTCCTAGAGACCTGTTGTTATGGGAAATACGGTCTTCTATAAACTTACAAGTGCTTTTTTTTTTTTTTTTTCGAAACACTAACATTACCTCCCCCCCTTTCCCCCCCTCCACACAATTTTTTTTTTTTTTTTTGCCAGACGATTTGTTATGGTGTCAGAACACTACCTAATCAATATTTTTCTACAGCGTCACATATATTTTAATAAAGTAAAAAGAATTCAACTGCTCGAAACCGTAACTGGACTGGGGAGCAAGAAGAAATACAGTCAAACCCGACTATATTGAACCCATTTACATCGAATTATCCCTTATATCGAACAATTTTTGTGCATAGTAATGCTACAGTGATAATATATAGCAAAAACTACGGTCACATCGAACAAAAATAGCAGCCGCTACCGATATATCGAACTGCCAAGAGCGCCGTTTTGCTCTGCAAGCTGGCTTTTTCCCAATGCGAGCAACCGCAAGGGGGAAAGCTACCTTTTTTTTTCGAGTGGCCGCGTCCACCGCCCGGAAGAAAAAAAATCTCTTTTGCACAAGGAGCGGGGAAATGGTGCTCCGTGCTCCCTCTCCCTGCTCCATTCGCAAAAAGAGAATATAATTTTTTTTTCCGGGCAGTTGATGCGGCCGCCCGGAAGAAAAAAAGCCAGCTTGCTGTGCTAGCTGGCTTTCCTCCAACGCAGCCGCCTGCCTTAGGGGAAAGCCAACTTGCAGAGCAAAGCGGCGCTCTGTAGGAAACGGTGCTCCTGCTCTGACGTGCTCTCAGCATAGTTCGGCGCTAATGCGCAAATATAGAAAGCAGCGGCCTCAGCATTTTGTAGTCCGTCGATAGCGTAGAAAAATATTGTTATCGCGGATGCAATGAAGAAAAAGCAGAAGAAGATGCAAGATCATTTCATTGTGTAATATGTCAGCAGAAAGTGGATTTTTGAGAGTCCAATTCATTAAAACTTTTATACCGAATTAGCCGCTATATCGAACTGATACATTTTTTTGAGAGTTGGATATAAACGGGTTTGACTGTATAGAGGAGGTGAAAGTTACCGAAAGTGATGTGGCTGTGCAACTTTTGTTTTTTCAATCAACATCTTTGCAGCTTTTTACAAGCCACGAAAAATGGGTATCATATTTTTTGTCTATTTTTAGCATTGAGTGTGTGCCTTCGATGACCCACAAGTTTGATTATCTTTGGTGGTTGTGTCTAAAAAATAGAAAACGACATATGACCACGGAGAAGAGAGTGAGCACGACTCAGACTGGCCAATTCTCAATCGGCGGTTTTCGGGCGGAAAGAAAACGAATTTCGAGCTGCAAATTGATATGTCATGTACAAATAAAAACCTTGGCGAGCATAAATACTCTGTCAGTCTCTCTTTAAGAAACGATCTACAAAACAAGTGTGAAATTTGGTGTATAGAACCTGCAGCTGTACTTTATGAGCTCTGCAAGGGGATTTTTTTGCCATATTCCATCTCAAACTACTTCTTTCATATTGTTCAAGATGTAGTGCATGCTAGAACAGTTTGTGCATGGCTCTCCACAAAACTTTCATTAGCAACACACACATACAGGGCAGTTGTTTTAATTAATCCAGAATGTAAAAAAAAAAAAAAAGAAATTGAAAAGGAACTTGTGCTAGGGTTCTTTACACCTTGGGGACAATTTGGTGGCCATGGCAGACAGCAGAAAAGAGGTCAAATAATTACCTACAATGTTTCAATTAAACTTTCATTTTTGGGGGCATAATGTATTTGGAGAATGGGATGGAACTGGGCAAAGCAGCTTTGGAGCAAATATGGGAGCAGAAAAATCTGCAGTTTGGAGCTGGCTGGGAGCAGAAAAGACGAGGTCTTGGATCAAGTTGGGAGCAGCATACGAGTTTTAAGAATGTCAAAATAGAGGCTAAACGTCACCTGGTTTTAAAAACTAAAGAAAAGATGGCATGCAGATAACTCCATATGAACTGAACGGTAGTCTCGATAAACTTTCTGGTAGCAAATATATTTCACTAAATTATGTGCAGATTACACATGAAAAGGAACTTATGCTAGGGTTCTTTACACCTTGGGGACAATTTGGTGGCCATGGCAGACAGCAGAAAAGAGGTCAAATAATTACCTACAATGTTTCAATTAAACTTTCATTTTTGGGGGCATAATGTATTTGGAGAATGGGATGGAACTGGGCAAAGCAGCTTTGGAGCAAATATGGGAGCAGAAAAATCTGCAGTTTGGAGCTGGCTAGGAGCAGAAAAGACGAGGTCTTGGATCAAGTTGGGAGCAGCATACGAGTTTTAAGAATGTCAAAATAGAGGCTAAACGTCACCTGGTTTTAAAAACTAAAGAAAAGATGGCATGCAGATAACTCCATATGAACTGAACGGTAGTCTCGATAAACTTTCTGGTAGCAAATATATTTTACTAAATTATGTGCAGATTACACAAAACATATGAAGCAAAACTGCACATGACACTGTGACGCCTGATAAAACCAACTTGCAAAGAGGTACATCTAAACAGGTACAAATAGCTTTTATTGCCCAGCATTGACTAGCAAAGGTGCACCAAAAAATAAAAATGCAGGTACAAAAATGGCCTTTCATTTTTCAGTGGCTAGAATAAGATAATAAATGTCCTTGTACATATAAATATACTGGGACTTCATCAATTGCTCACAGATACACTTCACTTTTTCGAGATTCTGAGCCAATTTCGCATTGCCTCTGCTAACAGCACTTGTCCAGGCTCAATCTTCTCCATCTCCTTTTTTTTTTTGAGACCCGACTCAATCAATGACTGCGCATGCTCAAGCATAATCCGCGAATAGACGATGTGCTGTTCAAGTTGTTGCTCCTCTTCTTGAAGACGAGTTCTCTTTGTACTCGCTTCCCTCGCATCACTGTTCTTCCTCTTCTGCCTCTTGTCATCTTGCTTTTCGACCTCTAGCCTTTCTGTGTAAACTTTGAGGCTTCACAGCTTGCAGCAAGTCCGCTGTCAAAGGCACTTTCGTGACATCACTGCAAAATTGCTTCAAAGCGCAATCACGACCTGGCATTCGTATCTTGCTCCGCAATACGCCTCACTGCTTGCTCGCCTTTATTCCCAAGTTTTCTGTGCGGGTTTGTGGCCACAGGTTTGTTCCACTATTCAGATATTCAGATGAAGTAACTCCAGGACTTCAGACAAGCATGGTGTGCATGCAGCAATGGCGGCTAACGTTGGCGGCAGCAACCTTCAGATACAGATTTTCAAATTCGGATCCACTTGCGTCCAATTTGGGCCGGAAGTTCCGGTGTCAATGTTGCCAACAGAAACTGTAAGACGGCTCATTTCGACGAGGCTCGCTTGTAATTTCAATTTGGGCGCACCTTGGGGCAATTTTGTTCTTATTTATACTTTTGTATCAGTGTGGCGCATGAAAATTAATTGGGTGCACAGCAACGCAATTTTGTTCTTATTTATACTTTTGTATCAGTGTGGCGCATGAAAAGTAATTGGGCGCACCTTAGCGCAATTTTGTTCGTATTTATACTTTTGTATCAGTGTGGCGCATGAAAAGTAATTGGGTGCACAGCGGCGCAATTTTCTTATTTATACTTTTGTATCAGTGTAGCACATGAAAAGTAATTGGGTGCACCTTGGCGCAATTTTGTTTGTATTTATACTTTTGTATCAGTGTGGCGCATAAGAAGTAATTGGGTGCACAGCGGCACAATTGGTGCAGCAGTTCCATCCCTGTGACTAAAAAATTCATAGTGGGTGCAATGGGGCAAGAAATATCACCCTCGTACACGGCTTCATACCGAAACTAAGCGGGCAAAGTGAGGCGCTATCGTGGCGAGCATTACTTGCAGAGCTAGCAGAGGGTGAAGGGATTAACATCGTTGACACTTTTTGCCCGCTCAGTCCCGGTTTGAAGCAATATACAAGGGTAACATTTCTTGCCCTGTATACGGTGTATATGTGCAGTAAATTTTTTTTAATAAAAATTTCACTGCGCGGTCAGACTATAATGAGGCAGAGCAACAATTTTCCAGATACATTATGCCCCCCAAAATAATTTTTTTTTAATTGAAGCCTTCTATTTAATTAGCTAATTTACCCATTTTGCCTCCTTACAAGGGGCAACCATGGCCACTAACTTCGCCCCAGTGCTAAAAATAACTCTAACAAAAGTTCCTTTTTTTTTTTTTTAATTCTGAATTGACTAAAAAAAAAAGTCTTGCATATGCAAATCTGGACAGCATGACATGTGACATTGTGCTGTCACACAACATTAGGTGTCAGAGTGGTGTCACAGTGTGACATGGGATGTCATGTGCCACGTGACACAGTGTCACATAACACAGTGACATCACATGATGTCACAGCATCAAGTCATGCTGCTGTAACAACAACGGGCAGTGTCACATGACCAAACGTCTCGGCATCAAGTCGTGGTGTCACATCATGTGGCATCACATACCGAAACGTGACATAACTCAACATGAGTCAAGTGACACCATGATGCCACGTCACATAACGTGGCCATGTGACGTGGCATCATGAGCGGCGGCCATGACAAACACGCAGAATGACATCAATGGGGTCTTGTAGAAAGATAGCAAGTTGTGCGAATACCTGGTCGATAAAAGGTAACTTTTCTATAAATCTTGTCGTTCCAACATAAATATAAATGCATCAAAAACCTGGTATCATCGACAAAGCTTTTATTATATGGAGTTTTTGCGGCGCCATCTATCCTAGGTCCACAAAACCGTCAGCTCTATCTGCTACTGCGAACAGGGGGACAGAGCCGGACGGGAATGGCCGGACCCGGATCAGACTTTCCTCCTTTCACCATATTGTTTGCGCTGCGCCTGCCAGCATGTGGTTACGCAGCCACGAGCGGATGAGTTCTCGCTGCTCACTGATGGCTCTAGAGAGAGAGCTTCCCCAAAACCCCGCGCGACCCCCATTTACGTCAGAGCGCACATGACTCGGAAGATGGAGAAGGAGTAGAGAGGTGCCGAAAACCTCAATCTTTGTCCATTTTTAAAATAAAAACTAGGACATGCAGGCAAAAGCGGTTTTTTGTTCTTTACTTCAGAAAGGTTGAGCACTGAAACTGTTGCACAGCACCTTTAAGAGTTCAAGGCGAGGGAAATGAAGGGTGGGGAGGAGGAAGCAGATTGATTGCTGGAGAGGAGGAAAACTCCCTGTCTCCACCATTCTGTCTGCTTCCTCCTCCCCAGCCTTCCTTTCCCTCACCCTGAACTCATCGAATATATACCTTTCCAAGAAACACTCAACCCCAGGGACACCAGCCCGTTTTCAAGCCGTCACTGTGTTTGAGGCTAGACTCTCACCGGCGTCCCTGCTAACCCTAACCGGGTGGACTGCGATTTCGATAGGCGCAGTTTCAAACACTGCTGGCGGCTAAATTCTCGTCTTTTCCCGCGGTATTTTGTGTCTCATGGTGTATGTATTTTCCCGAGGACATTGAGAAAGCATTGTATCACACTTAAAAAAACAAAAAAGCAAAAAAAAAAAAAAGAAGAAAAAACTAGACTATTTTTGTTGGGTTTGCGCACGACAGAGCTAATGCAACTGGAATGGTAGTTGTTGTTGTTGTTTTATTTCAATAAATTTTGACGGCGCCGCTTGATTAGCCACGTGTCAAACGACAAAGCGCTTAGCTGTCGAAAATAATTTACAACAGAAGATATCCGAAAGGCATGCATTTTTCACGCTCACAAATAATGTGTTTACCAATGGACAGGACACGGACATACAATTAACAAGTGTTAACATTCAAACAATATATTGTATGTACCACACGATGCAGCATTATCTGAAAAGAATTTTCAGTCATCGTCGATGACACTCAGATCTTGGCAATCGGACGGAATCCAAGATGACTTCGTTTTGGGGCACGTTTTGGGAAGAGCTTCCTTTTTTCAAGCCAGCACCAAGGCAAAGGAACGGGTGCGACTGATTCCAACCCGAACCACTATTGTTGGCTATGACTGAGAAGGACTCTACATAGATTATCTCCGGGAGGGGGGAGAACAGTTGTCATTGTTCGCCAAATCATGTCGAGGGCCGTTCGACGTCCTTCCCCTCCTTCGTTTCCCGTGAATGTCGAGCAGAAACGCTTGAATGGCAGGCACGTACGAGCCTGATTTCTCGCAGTGGAAGGTAACACAGAAAGGGTATGCAGCATGCATCAGAAAAATTAAGTGGAAACTTTCAAGAGGGCCAGAAAACGTTGAATGCAAAACCGCAAAACATAGGTAGAGAATCGCACTGAGCAGGTTTCCACAGTCCAAGAGAGTGGCAAAAAATTTCTAGCTGATAGGGGGCGCGAAGGTCGCACCAACCGCACCAGCATCAGCAACAAGGCGGCGGCCTAGGAGAGTTTTTTGGAAAGGTGTATAGATAGCTTGAGGTCTCTCAAAGTTGGCTTCACCTGCATTAAAAGATGAACCTTTCCCGGGATTTCGGCTTCTTTGTAATGTTTCTAAGAGCACGAATGAGCAATCTGCATGTTAGCGCTCTTAGGAACTACATGCTCAGTGGTGCCCATAATAAGGTTCATGGCCAAAGTTGGCTTCAACTCAGTCAACAGTTTGCCCCTTTTCCCAGATTACAGATTCTCTGCAATGTTCCTAAGAGCATCAATGTGCAAGTGCTAAGTTGTGCACATTGGTGCTATACAAGGTGCTACACTTAAAGGTGCACTAAAGACGTTTCTGAGGTCGCCTGTTCTTGGGGATAACTCATTCTACCAGATCTTAGCATCGCAGAAATAGAACAATTATGCTCATGCGACATCTATTTCCCTACTAAAAATGTGATCAGATTTTGTGCCATGCCCCTTTCTGGGCGGAAAAAGCTGGAGCACAGAATTCAGCAGAAGCGCCGGTAGCACGACGACGCGCGCACATCAGCCAATTGCAAGCTGGTTTTTCGAGAGAGGCAGCTTGCAATTGGCTGACGCGCGCCCCTCGTCACGCCGTCAACGCTTCCACTGGATTCTGTATTCTAGATTTTTCTGCTCAGAAAGGGGTGTAGCACTAACTTCTATCACATTTTTAGTAGGGAAATAGACATCGCACAAGCATAATTTTAGATTTCTAGGATGCTTGGAGCCCGTAAGATAAGTTATGATCAAGAGCAGACAATCTCAGAAACGTCTTTAGTGCACCTTTAACATTGAATCTCATTGAGCCTGACCATGCTGTCAGTGTGAATGGGCTTCCCATTTCTAGAAGGGAGCTAACCCGCTAAATTTAGCTGATGATGGCATGATACAGCTATGACTATGACAACACAGCACAAATTAACTTCACTTCCCTTAAAATACGCTCTGCAGCATTAATTAATAAAATAAAAGATAATCAAACAAACTTTCCTCAGAAACTGGAGTCTCCAATCTGCAGCTTTGTGGCACGCTGACCCGACTGGTAACAGCTACGGGGTTGCTGAACATGGAATCTTTGGAGTACAAAGAAAGGCAATTCAGGGGTTATGTAGAAAGGCCATTCAGGGGTTATGTAACACAGCTCTCATTTGTTGGAGTCTCTTGCAACAAATGTGACATGAAACTCGCCCAAAGACCTTTTCATATTCAACTATGGCGTCGGGGACCTGAGAAATCTGCGGGCAACTTTTCCTACGGAAACATTTTAATGGGGGTAGGTTATTTTCGTAATGTCGACCTGTAACCAGCGCCGCAGTGACGAGCAGAACCCATCCCTCTTGTCGTTTGAGTTGCAGCTATGGTTTCATGAGTTTTTGAAGCATGTTTCATTTGCAGCAAGTTTTCTGCCAGCGTGCAAAATGTTTATCTAAATTAAAACTTGTTGTTAGCCTAGTTGGTTCATGATGCAGTCTAGAGGTTTCTTGCGCGACACAGGGGACAATTACAAGCGAGTAGAGGTTTTTTGCGCTTGTCCGTGTCTACTCGCTTGTAATTGTCCCCTGTGTCGCGCAAAAAACCTCTAGACTGTTTATCTAAAGTTGTGCTTCCTCTTGTACAAAAGTTTAATGCCTTCTCCACAGGCATTTTATGGTGGCTCTTTGCTACGAGTGACCTTTTCGTATGAGCCGTTCTTGCTTCATAATCGTTGTGCGACTTAATGGAGGAAGAAACCCTTACTGTGCTGTTCAGATCTTACCGGAAACAGAGGCAGCCCATAATGCAATGTCACAGTGGCTCAGACCTCGCCTTGTTCGTCTGCTTTGGGAGGAGCTCGATGGGCATCCATCGGGCTCTCCGGTCGGTATCTGGGTAACACATGAATTCTTGTAAGTCTAGGTGCTTTGAAATGGCCGCTGGCTGGAACCACTCCAGCTTGAGGCATCAGACTTGTTTTTTGCACTAGCTTCCAATAGTTATGGATTTTTTTGTTCTTAACTATGAATGTAACAACATTCTTCTTCAATCAATGATTCTTCTGTGGCCTCGAGGCAAACCTGACCTATGGATCTCCAGGTCAGGCGGGGTTTGGTGGGGCGGGGTGGGGGGTGGGGGGGGGGGGGGGGGGGGGTTGCAACTCCACCTGAGGGGGCTCACAATCCTCCAAAGGAATATTCCAGTGTAGGTGGCACACAAGAAATTTTGATTGCAGGGCGGATCTAAATTATTCCTAGGCCCTTCATTTACAAGCAAACTTTTCATGGTATGGTTGTAAAAGTTTGCAAAGGTGTTCATATCTTTCTTATCTGCAGTCAATGATGTTCGGAAGGGATTAAAATAAAGTTTTTGATGGATTTGGGTATTGGTTGGAGCAAAGGCGCCACCGGGAAGGTTAATGAGCGATACTTCAGTTGTCAAAGGCAACTTCTATAGATAGAAAGATGAGACGAATGAAGCAGAAGCTCTGGGAACAATCTGAAGAGGAACCTTTTGGGGAGACTCAGAACGGCAGCTGTTTTGTTTCTATTAGCCTCAAAATGTATAGTTGTAATTTTTACAGTATTAAGAATGAAGTGTGGGTGCAGCGGTCATATGCCACCTACCGCTGCAGTAGGAGGCAGTGGATGCTCCTCGTCCTCAAACACTGGGAGTTGCGGCTGTTCCTCGCTGGCTGCACTAGCTCCACACGCATTTCTGAAACTCCAGTGATTCTTTTATGAATTGGAGACCATGCATAATGAACTTGAGACTGGCAACCATCACTAAGCGTATTGCAACAAATGATGGATCAAACAAAATGGCTGATGAGAATTTTCACCTCACAGAGTGATGGGAGGGCTCGGAAAAAACAAAAAAATTTGAGAATGTGTTTGTTTTTCCCTCAACATAAAAAGCAAAAAAAGAAAAGAGACCTAATTTATTTTAAATATTAAGAAGCCTGTTTTAAGCAAATTTCTGCAAAATATGGTAAAATTGACAACAATCGCAACGTCAGAATAAAAACCATATCACAGGTCATTTTGTCGACAGTGCAGGTGGAGGATTAAACATTCAACACCATATCAGATTTGCTAGTCGATAAAAAGAAAAGAAACGGTGCAGTGATGGAGAAGGAAGAAAATTAGGAAACACACGTGCTTGTTTTTGCCCGATGCATCTATCCATCGTCAAACTGTTTGCACTGCCTTAAAGCATACACCAAATAATCATCATCATCATTTATTAAACCTTGAAGGCCCTAGCAGGCATTACACAAAGTGGGCATTGTTCTGCTGTTCAATATGAATTGTGGAGCGGTATGGCTATAAATATTAAAAATATATCAAAATAAAGTTTCGAACACTTTAAAACAGAGGAGTGACAACTCCTCATATTGGTTTTTTGAGTAGTCAGTGTGAGCATGCATGCATCTGAAGAAGCCAATTTTTTATGTATCTATTGGATATTTCACGCTCTCAGTTGACAAAAACCATGGAACAATTGTATCATATGCAGCCAAGCCTCCGCTACTGCACCATCATAAGTACCTACTTTTGCATAATATAAGATTGTAATTGACGAACAGTGGCTGCAAGTGAACCGTAACAGTAAACCCAATACAGCGTTTAGTGTGATGAAGTGTATTGCTATTGCCACATGCATAGTCAAAATAAGCTAAATTAACAAGGCTCTAATAAACATTTAAAAATATTATAAGGTAATAGTACTACCGCAAAAAACTCTCATCATTGTTGATCTATGTCGGTATCTTTCAAAATATCGCTGGATTACTCTTGCTAAGACAAATTTTCAAATCTTTCCAAAATTTTCTAAATTTTTTGCTGTTTTTTTTTTTTTTTTGGCCTTCAAAATTTTTAGAAATTTTGCATCTCTACTCACAGGTGACATGTGCAGGTGACATGCAATGTTAATTGGTTGTTTTATACGACCTCAAGCTATTTTACATAGATAATTAGGCAACCCTTCTGTTGCCTACTGTCGGTTTCTTGGTTTAAAACAGCGCGACAAGACCAGGACAAAGCAAAGACGAGACAGACAACAGCGCTGACTATCAACTGAAAGTTTATTTACCTCGTCTTTACTTTGTCCTTGTCTTGTCGCGCCGTTTTAAACCAAGATGCTCATCAACCAACTAGCTCAAACATATTGTTTAGCCTACTGTTGGTTACATATTCTCACGTGCAAAACTCTACAACTATAAATCATGTTTCCTCTACTGACCTACATGAGAGAGGCAATAAATTATGCTAGTTCAGTGTTGCAGTTCTAGGTAGAATGATGATCAAGGTGAAAATTTACACACTCTTCTGTTCTGAAAGGGCACTTTATAAAAATATATGAGCTTCCTTATGATGTCAATGAAACTGTTGAATAATGCAGATTATAATCAGGCTTCCACCAATACGTAACAAGCAGTTATTGACATTTGTCACCATAACTCAGGGCCTAGGTTTTCACATTTCAAAACATTCACAGTACTTTGATGTTCCAGATGAAACAAGCAAATGTTGACAAACTTTACAAATACAAATACCTGAAAGGATAAAACATCGAGGAAGGGGAGGCAATTATACCAACAGGCTCGTTTTCAATTTTTAACAAACCTGATTGCAAACTGTGGCGTATCAATGCGGAGCGCAAGTTTGTCTGCTTTGTGCGTAGGGGTTATGGAAATGTTAGAACGCAGAGTTCTGAATGGTAGGATTGGGCAGACCTCAATGCTAGCTGCCTTGAGGTCTACCCATTATCCTTCCAAGCGAGCCAATCAAAACTCGGCGTTCTGACGCCACCGTAACCCCTGCGCAAGAAGCAGACGAACTTGCACTCCGCATAGGCCTCGTTGAGATACCTTATGGTGCAGTCAGGCGAATGTTGTAATTCGTTCCGTTTGTGCTCGGTCATTACTGTCTGCTGACTGTCGTAAGACACTTCCAGCTAATCTGGGCTAGTATTTGGTCAGAAGAAATTTCTTATCTCATTACCTAGAAACTTGGCATGCTACATTTGCTGTCAAACTTACTCAGATGGATTGGCACCTCTGGAGCTGTCATAGCTAAATGCTTCATCATGGGTCGGATTTGGTCTTTCCCCTTCACTGCTGAAGAAGGGCACGAAATATAATTTTCTAAAATATCTAGGAGAATCAAATTATTAGAGATGAAGTTATACTCAATGACAAAGTTATCATGTCGTTTCGGTGAAGAGTTCAGGTGTCCTGCTGCTACTGTGGGTGTTTCAGATGTGGGGTGATCTGAAAGTTTGTACCACATATATGCTTCATCATAACCGTTTTGTTTTTGCATTGTTAGTTGTTTCATGCCTGTGGTGGAACATATACTTTTGTAGATGATGTCCATTTTGAGCAGGTCAGTGCGGTCAATGCTAGCTCCCAAGTTCGGGCAATTTGGCGCCACCTTCTGCAGCGTCTTTTCCAGTCGTTGCTTCTTGAAAAATTCCTGGGCAAAGGTGTCCTCTTTTAGAGGAAAGACAACAAAAACTTAAAATCACAGGAAATAAGCCACCTGCTGCTTCCTCGTTTTAGCTCTGCTTTTCATCCGAGAGCGCTGTCCGCCAATCCAATAGGCTCCTTGCACTGACGTCACATCGCACACTTTTGAACACCAAGTAAGAGGAGGAGAGGGAAGCTGCTTTTGTAAGAATTTTGAGCGACAGGTTAATCTTCTATAATCTTCTGGGGGGAGAATAGCGACGCCTGTACAAATCCGGGAGGTACAAAGGAGGGTCCTGATAAGTGGGGAGCTCCTTCTTCCCCTCTTCTTTGGAGGGCAACGGAAATGACGTCCTGTGCAAGGAGCCTATTCATTTGGAACCCGTAGCTGCCGTAGCCCCGTAGCACCTGTATTATGGTGGCTACCTGTACGTAGCGACGTAGCTCCGCGGCTCCGCTGTGCCCGTAGCCTCAACCTCCTTGCTCACAACCGTGGTTGCCGCCACAATCATAGAGGCCACAATGGTTGCCGCCGTCTGATAGACTGCTACGCGAGGAGACGGATTGATGGATATACGGCTCCGACTGTATCCTTCATATTGGGCGGCAGCTTGCGCCACCTAGCCTGGTTGTACGTCATTCAATTCTTCCTAGATAATTTGCACCAGTCTTTCAATCTCCGCTTTGTTATTAAAATGCACTTATCCATTCTTCCATTCTCGTCTGGAAACCCCAGCGTCTTTGGTCCTCGATCAGAGGACCAAAGGACTCGAACAGAAAAAGTGGTTAGTTCCCCCATATCTCGTGAAAGGGCGGTTTCACGAGTTAAAAGAAATAAAAAAACTGCGCTCTTTTAAGATTATCCCTTAGCTATAATAATATAGTTTGAATTGTTCCAATATAGTACAATTTCAGTTGCAATGTGCAATATTTTTTTTAACATTATCATTGATCACATGCTCGTCGATTTTGACGATTTCCACTGGCGGCCATGATTTCGACCAAGTCGACCATACATAACTGTGGGTAGGGTTTGTGCTACGCGCTATCGACTGACTGACGTGCAAAGATGGTCAAGATAAAGGTGAAGTGCGATTTCGATATTCAATTCCTAGTAGAATCGCCGCTGACAACACAACTCGCCGACCTTTTGCCGGAGATGGTGCGCATCTACAATGGAATCCTGAGAATACGTTCCGCGATCGACAGTCTGGAAGAACTTACAAGACGCCTCGAATCCGATTCAGTTTCTTCACACGACGCTCCAACGGTCGAAGAACGTCCACCGCTGCAGATGGAACTGAGCAACGCACACGTCCTATCGAAGGTGGCGGCGGAAGCGAGAGCTCGTGTTTCGAGACAACAGCTGGAATCTGGGAGATGCATCACTAGGGATTTGATCGCGAGCACGGACGAGATGTTTCGAAGTACTTTCTCAGTGCTGAAGCTTCCAGATAAGCTGTCACAGTTTAAACGGGCAGTTTTGGAGAGCCTAGACGGCGCGGATGTTAAAGGAAGGCTCGCGGAAAACGATGCCAAGCTCTGGTGGGCCGGCAAAGAGTTGACGAAGGACAAGGAACTTCGCGACTTCGTCGGCAGCAATGAGAAGACTACGATCATAGCGACGCTCTCTTCATCGTCAGTGATGCACCAGACGAGAGCTACAGACGAGGCCTGCAAGGACTTCCTTCTCGCGCGGTTGAAGAGAGAATATGAATCAGATCCCCTGGAAACCGAAGCTAGCACCTTGCCGCGTGATACGAGAACACTCCAGAGATCCATGTATGGACTCTCAGAAGTGAGATGGAAGCATTGAGGGCTCTTTTCAAATCAGTCGGGGAAATAAACGAATCAATATCCACTTTATTACTCCCAGGGTCGTTCTCAGTCATTCACAAAGCTTAGCATTTTATACACCACTGCAGGCTACAAACATGTTACTACTTACTCAACAGATTTCGTTAGAAAAGTGTACAGATCCGACTTCATTTGTTGAAACACAAGTTCAGGTAAAGGTGAAAACTTGCAATACAACAGAAAAGAGAAGTGTAAATGTTTTCCAAAATTCATACTTTATCTCTGTTCCCATTGTAATACCGAGTTGCTAAAAACAATGGCAAGCAGAAAGATTCAATGCTTGGCCAAACTAAAGAAAAGTGATGTTCAAAAGTAAAAACAACTGCATAAGTTATTACATACGTGCATAATTTTACTTGCCAACTTTCGTAATGAACTTTACAGATTGAACAGTCAAACGAAAGGAGCTGGACACTACAAAATCCATTGACCAACAAAAAAACAATGCGAAACTTAAGCTAAACAGCACAACAAAATTGATTGAGAGTCCTTAAAAGAAAAAAAAATATTGCCAGCTGTAGCGACTGCTGTACTGAAAATCACAATCAAGTTACACCATATAACTTAAAAAAGAAAAAGGAACCTTCGAAATTAAAGATGTATACAAATTCGTATGAAATATCCATTTTGAAGTTCAATGACCACCAATGTGTCACCCATTCTATTCAGAACATGGATTCAGTGGTTTGAAATGCACCCTACGTCATGGCACCAAACACTGGGTTATGGCGGCAGATGCTAGGGCCACACTCTTCATACGCTTTCTTTGTGTGGCATACTTGGTAGAATTCGGGCTGTAAAAGAAAGGCAGAAAAAGAGGCAATCAGAATGGAGGTTTGTCAAAATTGACAGAAAAGTTCTCTTTAATGCACCATTGATTGAGGGTAAAAGTAGAGCATAATGCCTTTCAACACCATGCTGAACTTGCATTTCGTTTTGTTGAAAGCATATTGTATGCATCCGGACCATGCAACTCAATAAAACAATTTAAAAATATAATAGAAGCCATTAGTAGAAATGAGCACAAATACAGCTAGACAATGACAGAAAACTGCCCTGGACACCAACTTCTGGGGACAGACTCCACCTCAACCCTGAAGTTGATCTTCACAAGACTGAGTCCTACATTATTGCATGCACATGCTGTTCCAAGAACTAGACTGGGTTTGTTTCTGGAGAGATAGTGTTCTCCATCACAGAGTGCACTCACTAAATTTAAACGGCACACTAAATTAAAAGATACCTTGATTTGAAAACATTTCTAGTCGGGTGAAATCCACATCAGAGTTAATGCCACTTTTATCTTCAAATAAAGGTATATTAAGGGTCCTTTTAACACATATCGTATTTTAGCCACTATATTCAGTCCCTGCTAACCAGAATATGGCCCACAGAATACTGAAGGAAGTTAAAAAAAAAAAAAAAATTAACAAAAATGGCAGGGAGTCAAAGAAACCTACCGTAGAGGCCAGCATACTGCCACCAAACCAGACTGCATATCTCTGCATATGGTGAGAAATCACCTGCACATCCATCGGTTTGGGCTTTGGAGTGGGGAGGAAAAAGAAGAAATTAGACATAAGCAAATGGAGCCTCCTGTCAAACAACTGGTGAATAAAAAAAAAAAGAAAGAAAGAAAGGGAGGATTGCTTTTTGTTCTAATCTAAAGGGCCGTTCACACACTTGCAACCGAGTACGACCGAGAGAGACGAGACCTTTTGAAACCTCTTAAAATTTCTTAGGACAAAAGAACACACTGGCACTCTGGTGCCATCTATGCGGTGACCCTGGAACTGCATTTTACAAGAACGAAGGTTTTGCGGGATTTCAGAGGTCAAATGTGCGTAATACTTGTAAGAAAGGCTCGTTTATGACGTTGACAAAAGTTTTTCGAGCCAAGAAAGAAAGGATAATGCGCGAGAGAAATAGAAAATATGCCAGACCGCCAAGTTTACACTGCTACCCAATAGATAGCGGAAGTGTGTCCTCTCGTTTTAAGAGGTTTCAAGGTGTCCAGTTTTAAGAGGTCGCAAGAGTGTGAACGGGCCTTAAGCCTGTACAAAGATCACCTTAAAATAAAATTATTAGTTTCAGCTACATAGTTAAAGATAACCATGCATACAGCCAAATAGGCTGAAACGTGCAAGAGGGTGTGACGCTAGCACAAAAACACTATAGTTAGAGGGAAACTTCCCATGTGAAACATCTGCTATGACTTGGAAGCTGCTTTTTATTGCTTTCTTACTTGCTATTCCAGTGTACCAACCAGCCTTGGACAGTAACTTGTCACTATACTTGTTTTCACATCAAAAACCAAAGTAGAAAAAGTCCGGTTTCTCGCAGAGCATTACTAATTTTTCCCCTTCATATGGAGCATTCAAGGGATACTACAAGAAATATCGGTGCTTATTCTTTGGTCTATATGTGTACAAAGGAGCAGTACCACATAGGACACACCAATATCTTGTTAAAAAAGAGACAAAAAGGAATTTTTAAACAAATTAAATGATTAGCAAAGAGCACCTGGTGGATGTCACTAAAGCCTAGTTTGTAATGCCCGTCTAGGAACCTTGACAGCTAGTGATGATAACTGTCTCGCCTAGAACTATACATGCTTTGAACCCGACGTCATCCCGACAGCTCTACAGCCAGCACAAGAGAAGAGGGGAGGGAGGAACTCCCCACTCAAAAGAACTCTCTTTTGTGTGTCCCAGATGTCACTACTCTCCCTCTACAAAATTATACAAGACTAACCAGTCACTCAAGATTCACACAAAAGCAGATTTGCTTCGGTGGCTGGAATGGCTAGGGCATCCCGACTACATCAGCCTTGCCGCAGCTTAGCTCGTCCCGAGACAAACTACGTCACGATTGCGCCGGATGCGACGTACTCTCTGCTGGATGCTCTCCGAGCGTTTGCAAGAGTGGGCCGTTACGACGATAAATACAGCCGTCAGGCTCAAAATACAAACGTGCGATTGTCATTTAAGCACGAGACACATGGACGGCAGAATCGTCCGAACCGACAGTCCGAACGCCGCTCCGAATTGCCGCACACGACAGTTTGAGACACACGCTTCGGGCCTTGCATGCGACACGACGATCCATTCGGCTCAGCCCAGGCCCCAGGAGATCCAAGCGCTCCAGCGAGGGTCTGGTCCCAGATTGACAGTTCAGCTCGCACGAGCGAAATTACGAGCTCGTTCTCGCTAGCGCGTGCATTCTTTGCTGGGGCCATCTTTGTCGAATGGGTCAGCGGGATTCACGCGTCCGGCAGATACTCTTTCCCCTCGCCCGTCCCGTTATCGTGTTCGTCTCGCCAGACCCAGTACATCATCATGACGTTCGCGCTAGCTGTGCTGTCATTGGCTGGACGCTTCCGACAGTTCGTCCGCCGTGCGAAACTATCCGGCACGTTGGACGCACGCCGGATCGCCGATCAGACGTCTGAAGCGACCAAATTTTTCAGATCAGGCAGTCGTACTGCCGGATCGGACGTCGGAACGGATGGATTTTTCGCGCATGTGTCTCGTGCTTTACGGATATTGTGGATCATATTCAGCCCATTTCTGAACAAGACGGGCATATTTCAATATTAGTTGAAGTATCCCTTAAGATATGTGTAAGTACATTTTAGATTAGATATACGTTATCAAAACATACTGGTCAAGCTGGTCCCGCCAACTGGGACGATAGAGACGTTTGTGTCCGTGCCTGCTGTGTATGGTACATCGCCCACAGCGCACGCAGTTGAAACAAATCGTGGCATTTCTAAAGCATTTTTCTCTTCTCCGTCCGGCGGAGGAAGCGAGTGCTTTTTTCAGAGGACCAATCTTGGTGATTGTAAAGAAACTATAAATTCTTTATCATATAGTGGATTTACTCAGATAGTGCCTTAAATTATGATCTTGTTCAGGGAGACTTTCATGGTAAAGATTGAAATAGGAAGAACCAAACATGTCAATATTGATTATTGGGAGAATCTTAGTTTCTCAAAAAATCAGATTCACTACAGTGAACAACACAATGTCTTACGAAGAGTCTATTCTAATTTAAAGGCATAATAAGGAAGGTTACTTTTAAATGTCTCCTAATCTTTTTCCCTGGGTAACTGTAACACTTACATTTTAGCAGTAATGTGCCCATGACTGGTAATTTCCTCAACTAGCAAAAATATTTTTTTTTCTGATATATGTAGGACTTGTGAAAATGGTTGTCATATTATAGACCTTAAAAAAATCACATGTCCTCAAAGCTCTGAAAACGCTGCAATATGACAGAAGAGCCAACGCCACAAAACATGCATTTCTATCACCAACAACACATGGAATGGGTGAAAATAACTCTTGCACATATTATGTACTGTCAGCTCAATAGCGTCTTAGCACACACTACTGTGCAGTACTTCCAGATCTATCAAAAGAGGGTGCAATTTCGAAAGTGGTCTACATTGTGGAACACTCGCATATACAAAAAATGGTTCTCTCTTATACTGCAGTCGGGATAGAATAGCAAGTCTATCATCTCATGCTGTGGCTGCTTGTTCTATGCTCTTCAATCCAAGCAACAACTAACCGTGATACGGCCTCCACTCAGCTTCTCACTGAACTTGAGCCGTGCATCAACAACACGCTTCAGGTCGCGCTGCAGGCGGCGGCCAAAATCACGGAACATTGTGGAGCCACCAGAGAGGACAATGTTCTGCAGGAAGCAACAAACAGCTCATCAAAAACACTGATGTCTGTAAAAGCCTAGAACAGGCTTTTCCAAGGTTTATGAATAATTCCAACTGCACATGATCCCTGTGCTTTCCGTAAGCAAGCAGTCTCATCAGTGATGAAATAGCTAAGACACTCAAAATGAGCTGGATACAGTTCAGTACAAGTGTGGAAGCGTTTATGGTGCTAATATATTGTCGCGAATGACAAGTGACGAGGCGACAAAAAGTGAAGTAAACTAAACGTTTAATGAAGCGAACTTGTGCCCAAAAATAAAAAGGAAACAGAAGATAACAGCAGAGCGTCGCAGTGCCTGCGGCTCGGAACGCGGAGCCCTTATGTACACGTGTGGGCTTCTGGAACAATCTGTGTAGAAAGTTTGACGCGTAGATCATTCGGACCTCGATCAAGCAACAGGATTCTCGAATTTACCAGAACACTAAATTGCAAGAATAAACAAATGACTCGTAACTCCCAGGAATCGAACCCTGGCTCTTCGCGTGAGAGGCAAGCACGATAGCCGTTAGGCCACAACCGCACTGCGTATTTGGCCAGCTGCGCGCGTGGCAATATTTCATCTCCAGATAGGTTTTCCGAAACCTTGGTTTACAGATGCTTTTTTATTAAAATTGGCAAAATGATACTCCATCATTCATCAAATTTTCTTTGTATGCCTACCGTAAAATCCCGAGAGAAGCCCCACCCCCAAAAGATAGCCCACCCTTACTTTTTTGCTTCATTTGCAATATATTATTTTTTAAACACCAAGATAGAGACCACTCGTAGTAATAATAGTGTTGGGATCAATGATGGCCTCGGCGTAAATGCAGCTAGTCAGCTCTGGCGGGATATAAGCAAACGTTGCTGACTGAGAATAACAGTCATCTTTGCTTCATTGCCCCTCGCCACCAAAACAAGCTTGGAAGGGCACGACCTAAAAATAGCAATTTTTAAACTTTTCTCGATTGTACACTGAAAGTTAGCCCTCTCCATATCTTCACCCGAACTGCTCTTCATGTTAGGTGGGCTATCTTTTGGGATTTTACGGTAGATGCATTGAAGACAAAAAAAAAAAAAAACATAGATAAGTGGATACCTACCGTAAAATACCGGGCAAGCGCCCACTCAAAATTTTTAGATAATCATAAAAAAAATGGGGGATGGGCGCTTGTCCGGTCATCAATTCTACATATAAATAATGTACTGTGCATATTTTCTCAGATCTTACAAATTTGGATATGGGCGCTTAATGTGGTATGGGCGGATGCACGGTATTCTACGGTAGGTATTTCCAGAAAACTGCATTATGCAAGACCTAAAGGTAACAGTACAAAAGGTGTCTCACACACTCGGACTACATGCAAACCATAAAAAAGAAACCTCTCATGTTGCGCTGACTACAAACTCTTCGTCTTCCTCCTTTACATGGATAAAAAAGAGAAAAGAAAAAGAAAGGGAAAAAAGGAAGGAAAGAAAAAAATTGGCATCACACTTTGTTTTCTTTCTGCTGCTAAGTAAGACAGCTCCTATTCGGTGTGGTATTTCATCCTCTTCTGACTTCAAACTCTAAGACACTTGTTACCTTCGAGTAGAGACTAGGTGTAACAACTCCTTCTCGGAAAGTGATATAGAAGCATTGCTAACACATGTGTCCCACTACTTCACTGGCATAGTTAAAGGGATTGTCCGGTCTAATTTTGTATTCGAGAAAACAACTGAACATCATTGTTATTGCTTCGAGACCCATCGTACGTGCAATATCTGAATTTTATATGCCCCTCTGCATTAGTAATTGAATTTATATTGCTCCAATCGCACTCTAGCATAAACGCTGCTTTCGGTGGCAACATTGGAGCTCTGACGTCACACAACACAAAGCAAGCATTTCTGTCTCGTCGTTTGCCTGCGAATGAACGCCTCAGCGTGCTTCGTTTTTGTTGTTGTGCTCGACTTGTTATGTGGTTGGGCGAGATTTTTGTTGCACGGTAGGGTGCCACAACCACCGGACACCACATGTGAGCCAAGACATGAAGTTCCACAGTTTCCCGGGAGACGTGCAGTGACGAGCAAAATGGATTATCGCCGTGCGTAGGGACTGGGTTCTTGTCAAGATCGAGATGCCGCTTATGCAGCAATCATCTCACAGAAGAGAGCTATGAGCTGAGCTCTAAGCGGACAGAAGGCTCAAAAGCTGGGGTGTGATGCTGTGCAAACAATATTAAACTACGTCCATCCACTCCCCGCCCAAATCGGATAAATCAATTTGATTATGCAGCGAAACCGAAGCTAGACCACCTGGAAACGATACCAGAAGTTATATCTAGCACGCATGCAGCCAAATTCTATTTGACCCGCATGTGGAAATAGAGCGTGGCTACAATTCAAGAAGCTCGTACAAGTACAGTGACGACATGCATTTGAACGATTCGCCCTTTGCCTTCGACCCGCGATCATCGCCTCTGAGGGAACGACCCGCAGCCTCATCACACCAATCCAGTGGATCCGCCGAAATGTGTACCCAGATGCCGCATCGTGTACCTAGTTGGCACTTCAGAGGCGAAATCTGCATCCTTTGCTTTGCAAACGCTCCTAGTTCGATGGGTGGCCGTCGCAGTTGTGTTTGCGTGAGACGGCATACGTTCGCTCAAAGCCTATGGCTGTTCTCGAGTAATATTCTGCTAAAAGGCATGACTTTTTTTGCACACGCTTGGGAATTGCATTAAAAGAATCATATTTAAGTAGGGTACAGCCTAGGAGACTATATAATTCGAAACAAACTACGAGACATCCGTCGACCAACGCTTGTTATCTCGACCATCCGACAAACCTTTGCGTTTTGTGACGTCACGCAGCAGCTACGAATGTCAGCCATTGACACTGGTGAAATTCGGGATGCAGTTTCGTACATATGCTCATGAAAGGTTTAATTACTAACGGGAAATCATATACAGTTAAACCTCGATGTAACGAAGTCGGTAAAATTCGCAATTTACTTCGTTACATTGAAATTTCGCTAAATCGAAATTTGGCTTTAGCATGCGAAAAAAAAAAAATTCCGAAACATTTTACGGGTATGAAAAATCACCGAAAATGACGTTTATTTAGGGGCAAAGTAGTCCGCGAGTTTTGCTTGCGCCTTGTCCGACAGTAGCAGCGGCGTCATTTGGCGTTCGAGCGCCCAGAGCGCTTACACGGCATCTTGCTGCCCATGTGACGCCGTGTACCTCCTCAGTACGTCCATTGCGTCGAGCACTTCCCGAGTGCTCGTGATCTCGGCAGTTTCTTCAGGATGGCGTCCAAAACGTTTGCTTTCTCATCCAAAGAAAGAACTTTACGTTTCCTTATGGCAGCAAGCACGTGAGTGAACCGCCCGGTTAAAAAATAAAGCTGTTTAGTTTAGGCAGTTTAGGCGGTGCCAATGTTTCCAACCTACACAGCACTCTTGACCGCACAGTTTACTTGCCCCCTTGCGCCCACAGTGTGCTTGCGCCTTTGCTTTACATCACGCTCGCAAGACGATAATCGGTCTTCTCGGTCTTCTCCTAGATGGCACTGCCCGTGCGGTCGCGCGGTGCGCGGTCGCACCATCACGTCGCTCCCCCGCTGAAGTTGGCTCCCGCGCTACCCGCGGTACAGTGGACTATGATGATCAGTGAATGTCAGTGGTGATGCTGTTATGCCGTGTTAACTTTTTGCTCGGCACTTTCTGGCCAGCCCCGCGGAATCCGCTTTGCCGCATGCCTCGCCGGCGCTACCGGCGCCGCATCCTCGGGCAGCCTAGGAACGTTGGAAGGCCTGTCCCCGTGAAGTAACCTATCAAGCACTCGCGTTTGCGCGCAATTTTTTTTTTAACCACAATTTTTTTGTGAAGTTGTTTTTTAGAGTTGATTTATTTATTGCCTTCTATGGCAATGGCGCTTCGTTATATTGAAATAGCAGCAAAATCGACTTCGTTATATAGAGACTAAAAATACATGGGGTCTATGGGCAAGAAATTATGAAAAATAAAATACTTCGTTAAATCGAGGATTTCGTTACATTGAAGTTCGTTATATTGAGGTTCGACTGTATCAAAATAAAAATTACGTTCATCTACATGAAGGCGCTCTCGACGTAACAAGCGCAAAAACTTAAGTACTTCCGGTTTCGACTGGACAATCCCTTCAATGCTTCTGAATGACAAAGAATGTTATCTATTATCCTTCCTCTAAGTTCAACAGTCCCTTGTCCCGTTTTGGGACTACATCCTAAAAGCTGCTCAAGTCCTCGCCTGAAGATCCCAAACGTGAAAAGTGCTGCACTCTGACAGCTATAGAAACTCCAAAAATCACAACACAAAACCACCCAACACTAGGGGTACAAACAACCTAACATGTTGCCCCAACCACCTCTCTGGTGCAAATAACAAAAGAGGAACCGATCAAACAGCCACCAACCTTGTAGAGGGGACGACGTACATCAATGGGACAGCTCTGCACACATGTATCCACAATCTCTGATATGGGTGTTGTGAAGTCAGGGTTGGAGAACTGAAAACAAGGAAGGGATCAAGAAATTACATGACATGCCATAAAGTGCTGTGCAGCTCACCATCAGAAGTAACAAGCACTCAATTTAGTGTGTGTCATTTATGAGAAAGCTAAAGCAGGACACTGTTAGGTCACACTCACCTCTGGGTGGAAGAAAATCTCGGGACCAAGAAAGCGCTCGTAACCAACGTCCACACTGAACGGCTGTTTAGTCACAGTGTTTATGCCATCATACTTCTTGATCCACTTGCTGGGTTCTTGGTCATACTTTGAGAATTCTTTAGCAATGTCAGGGCAGATGTAGCACAACTTTTCCTAAAGGTCAGACAAAAAAAATGTCAACCACAACATACAAGATAGGCTTCTGGACAAGCCCAAACACCTACCGTAAAGTTCCAAAGGAATGCCCGCCCCCGAGAGATCGCCCATCCCGTTATTCTGGCTAAATATCTGACATAAAAATTCCAAAACATTGCCCATCCCGTTCCCGTCGGACGTCACGCGATGTCCGACGGGAATCGCATCAACTGCACAATAAGCTGTACCAGCACGTCTGACAAGCGACTTCATAGCGGGTTCACTGCGTTTTTGTCTGCGATTTGCGCGTGTGATATTGTCACTGGTGGTGGCCAATAAACAAGAAATAAACAGGAATAAATAAACGTTTAATGTGGCGAACTTATGCCAAAAATAAAAGGGTACAAAAGATAATAACAGAGCGTCGCGGGCATCGAAGTCGGCGTAGCAGCAGAGTCGAACGCTGGGGCGAAACTGAATGCAGATCGCCACGCGGAGCCTCCTATGTACACGTGTGGGCTTCTGGAATAATCGGCATAGAAGGTTCGGCGTGTAGAACATTCTGAACACGAACAAGCAACATGGTTCTCGAATTTACCAGAACATTACTTTACAGAGTCAACAAAAATGTGCCTCCGCGGCCAGGAATCGAACCCTGGCTTTCAGCGTGGAAAGCAAACGCGATAACCGTTAGGCCACGCGCGCGCTCCCTACTTGGCCAGCTGCGCGCGTGGCAATATCAGCTCCCGCAACACGAGAGTTGTTCCCGCATGTATGTTGCACCGTGAAATGCGAATCTGCTCCGTCCGCAATCTGTTGCATTTCTTCCCATGACACAAGGTTTGTAACGGATTCCAGTGTTTTTGTCCACGATCTGCGTGTGCGATCTTGATTTCACGTGAGTAGGTTCCACGTGTATATTGCATCGTGAAATGATTCTGCTGTGCACGCGATCTGCGGTATTTGTTCCCGTAACATAAGAGTTTGCAGTGGATTGCTGCGTTTCTGCCCACGATCTGCGCGTGCAATATCGGTTCCCGTGATAGGCAAGTTTGTAGAGGGCTTCCGCGTGTTTATTGAACCATAAAACTTGAAACTGGTGCATCCGCGATATTAGTTCCCGTGAGATGCAATTCCTCGGCAGGTTTCCGCAGGCCCTTCGCACCGTGAAATATGAATCTGCAGCGTCTGCAACCTGCGGTATCCTTTCCCGTGACACAGAAGTTCGTAGTGAATTCCCACGTGTTTATCGCATCATGAAAGGCGAATTTGCGGAGTCCGTGATCTGCGGTATCAGTTCTCGCGTCACATGGTCTGTAGCCAATGTCTTTGTGTGTATCATTAATTTTTGAAAAAGTTTTGCTGTGGCAACCACAAAGATAGCCCACCCCATGTTTTTCACCATTTATCTCTTAATTTTGGGTAGTCATTCTTTCGGAACTTTACAGTAAACATGAAGGCTTATTTACAAATAGATACAAAGTCACAAAATTGCACAAATGTTAAAACCAAGAGATGGTTCTGAGCTCTAACACTACCTTGATGGCCTTGGCAGTCTCCAATGACTGCTCTGGTGGAATGCCAACCTCGCGCTCACGCAGAAGGTTCTGAATGAAGTAAGTTACATTGCGGCCCGCAATGGGAATGTGCTTGATGCAACTGCCAATTACGTAGCCCTCGGCCTGAAATATGATATAACATACAATGAAATATGCAACAAATACACACTGTAACGCTGCTCATTTCACTTGCACATAACAGCTTCAAGAGACATGCAACTTAGCAACATTGATGCAAGAGTGGAGCTAACACTGCACATGTCACTGCGTTTAGCGACAACAGCCGATATGAGTCATTTTGATCCTTATTTGTTAACACTTTCCCAAAGTGTTTACAAAAATTACATTCAAATTTTCCAACATTTCCAGTTTTTCCCTAACTATCTTTTCAAAACTCCCTGACAGGCTCCTAAGGAGACAAATTGTGTCTAAAGTGCAGATTTTTTTCTTAACTTTGTATATTTGACAGCTTTTCCATTTTGAACTTCGAAATGTTGTCAGTCGAGCAGTAGAAATGAACTCAACCATCTGCTGGACACAGCCCGTAGAAACAGTCCATTAAAGAGGAAATGGGGAAGCTTGAAAGACAAGCTCTCGTGTCATGAAGCTATTCGGCAAAGGTGCCATACACAGGAACAGTCCGTTTAAGGATGCAATGATGAAAAGGGGGGGCACGTTCGTCTTGGAGCGTGCATTTCAAGACGAGGCGATTCAGTTTGAATCCCCCGGTTCTCCCAAGACTACGGTTCACGGGCAAATATTCACATCAGCATACCGACTAAGTTGCCTGCAATGTGTGTCGCACCAAACGCATGCCTTTTGCTGTCGCTTAGAGAAAGGAATTCTCCATTTCCCTGACTTTTGCCGATTGTGGTAGAAATCCCAGACTTTTCCAGACGTGCCAAGTTCTCCAACATTTCCCAGTTTTCCAGGTTGTTAGACATCCTGTTTCCATCATAATGCCAGCCTCACTGAAGATCTGCCAACTGCCTCTCATATAGCTTTGGGAAAGAGAGATTGGTCAACTTGCACGCCGACATCATTAACACGAGGTTGTCCAGTGATAAATTATCAGCTAGAGTGTTCTTAGCATTCGGTAGCACAAATGTCTTCAGGCATAATCTCCAACCCTGTCCTTAAGCAGTTCCTCTTTTCCTATACCTAATACATCACACCCAAGCTCTTCCCAACATGGAGGCCTATTAGGTAGAAGTGTGCAAATAGTGGCACTGGTCCAAATCAAATAGCGTAGCATCAAGCCTAGCTTCAACCTTGAAACGGTTGTCATGGCTCTCTCAAACAGCGAAAGTTGCGATTGACACAGTGCTTTTCGATTCAAACCAGAATTTGCACACTATTAGAACATTTAAAATGCGCAACATCCATCTTCCAACCACCCCTTTCGTAGCATTTAATGAACGAGATACAAAGGAGACTTCTGCTTCAATCATGAACGATTGAATGAGAACCCATAATTTTATATAGATAGTATAAAGGCTTTGGTGTGGACTTTTACGGTTCGTCGATTTTATTGCTTAGAAAAATGACAAAACACATGCAACAAGGTAAATTGCCAAGACCCTAAGAACTACAAACCTCAAAGCATAGAGGTGGGAAGCTTCTGGAGGTGACACGACACCACCAGAGGTGAAGCCACAAGTGTGGAGGGACACGCCCCCAACAATGACCAAAACCGCAGCTGTTTTGGTCATTGTTGGAGGCTTGTCCCTCCACACTTCTTGCTTCTCCTCTGATGGTGTCGTGTCACCTCCAGAAGCTTCCTGCCTCGATGCCTAAAAGCGTAAAAATTATGCCAATTATAATTAAAAAAAAGAACACTTACAACTGGAATGCAATGTGTCACACCATCTCCTGAGTCAATCACGAGGCCAGTGAGGGTTCGCTCTCCCATTTGGCGAGATGTCCAGGATGCAGCCAAGGCCAAAACTGCCTGCAATCACAAAAAGGGCAAAATCTTTAGGAGGGATTGTGCATCAGTTCTAACTAAACAACATCCCTCCAGCGTGGCCTCCACCGAGGTATTCATCAAAAGGTTGACAATTGTTTGAGTTGGAGAGCAGCTCCCCTGGTCTGGAGAGTCGTCCCGAGTCGATCACATATAAATTACCCCCTACACAAAAAAACAGGACAATAAGACCTAATACCATCACCAAATGTTCCTTTAGATGGGTAGGTTAGGGCTGCACACAAAATAAGAAATTTCAACTAATGAATTGATGACCTTCTATCCATTAGTCAGTCGAATATTGAAGTGGACAGATTTGTTATTTGTGTGAAATTATAAATAGAAGATTAAAATAGATGCATTTCAGCAACACACTACCATAGAATACTGTGCATCCGCCCATTCCACACTAAGCACCCAGGCCCCAATTTGCGAGAACTGAGAAAATATGCACAGTACATTTATATGTACAATTAATGACCAGGCAAGCGCACACCCCCCATTTTTTTGTGATTATCTCCCAATTTTGAGTGGGCGCTTGCCCAATATTTTACAATAGGTTTTTGTTCCTTTTCTAATTTACACCATTTAATTTACTGGGTTGTTTGACATACCACTGCCATGCTGACGAAAGATATAGGGGAGAGGACAAAGAACCATATAGAGAAATTTTTACTGATCTCAAGTTGCCAGTTTATGGAACAAACTTTTACACAGACAAGACAAAATTAACAATTCATCACCAATTGTGTTTTTGAATTACGTATATAATAACTCTCATATACATGAGTATGACATTAATTTCTGCTGGCAATTTTCTTGCAACTTAATTCTGCCAGCTGCACAAAAAAAGATAAAAAAAAGGATTTACGTATGCTGAATGCAGTAAGTTACCCTGTTTCTTTAGGGGTCCACAGAAGTGGCTGGGACAGATAGGATCTGCTTGGCTATTGGAGCAAGGCCAGAAAACACTCGGCTTCAAATTTTGCACTTATTCCACAGCAATTCTCTACAGGGACGAAGATGATGCCCTTGACAACCCCTAAAGGCCCGTTTACACTCTTGCAACCGAGTACGACCGAGAGAGACGAGATTTGTTGAAACCTCTTAAAATTTCATAGGACGAGAGAACATACTGACACGCTGGCGCCATCTATGTGGTGACCCTGGAACTGCATTTTACAAGAGCGAAGGTTTCGCGGGATTTCCGAGGTCAAATGTGCGTAATACCTATAAGAAAGGCTCATTTATAACATTGACAAAAGTTTTTCGAGCCAAGAAAGCAAAGATTATATGCGAGAGAAATAGAAAATATGCCGGACTGCTAAGTTTACACTGCTACCCAATAGATGGCACCAGTGTGTCCTCTCGTTACAAGAGGTTTCAAGGAACCCAGTTCTAAGAGGTCGCAAGAGTGTGAATGGGCCTTTAGAGGGGGGCCCACTTTTGAGCGATTAATCGGTCAATAATACATTAACTATTTACTTAGTATGTTAATCAGCTAATTTCACAGCTTGAATTCAACACTTGTCTAGCTTCCCCATTTTATATGAAATATATATGTGCTTACACAAGCCACATCATTTAAAAGGGCACTAAAGTGGATCTTGCAGTAATTTTTTATGTGCAAATTTTATCTTGGACCCTAAGCATCTTAGTAAATCCAAAATTACAAACACACATGGTCTTTTTTCCTATTAAAAAGATGACCAAACATTGTGTTACAACCCTTCCCAGGATATATTTCAGGAAAAGGGGTGTGTTGTAATCTTTGGCTGAATTTTAATGGAGAAAAAGGCCATGCATGATTTTAATGTTGGTTTTTCTAAGATGCTTAGGGCATGCAGATGAAGTCTGCACAATAAAAAGGCAACCTCAAAATACACCTCGGTGCCCTTAAGACATTGGGGAAGGAGATTTAGCATGGAAAGCACTTTTTAATAACAATAACTGACAGTCTAAAAATGAGCATGGATTCAGTCACTACAACAAGCTGCTGGAAGGGAGGCTTAGCATACCTGTACAGCGATGTAGAGCCCTGGAACATTGAATGACTCAAACATGATCTCGGCCGTGTACTCCCGGTTTTCAGGGGTGTTGAGGGGAGGCTCCGTCTAAAAGATTGAATTTGGTGCTATGATGTCATGCTTTACAATTTCAGATTCCAGTATTACAACTCCAGATGCGGACATTAGCTACAACTCCAGTGTCTGGGATCTAGAATTCGTGAAGGGTGTGAACACTGGGGTCTGCATCGAACCCAGAGTCCCTGATGACGAAATAAAAGTGACAAAGCCAAAGCTCACTTTTTAATGACATTCAACATTTCATTATCCCTCAAAGGTACATGGGAAGTAAATTACATGAGGGGGGACAAGAAGACAAATTTGAGCAACAGGTAAATCCAAAACGAACAGTAGATTAATAAGGAACAACATGGTGTATACAAATATTTAAAAAAAAATAATAATAAAAAAAAAAAAAAAAAAAAAAACAAGAAGGAGCAAAGGGTGATGGTAACTAAACATGTTAATTATGAATTGTTTGGAGGTGTGCCTTGCAAAGATCTCTGAATTTATTGTGATTAGTTTCATTTACAATTATTTGAGGAAGAGAATTCCAGTTATTAATGGCAAGACCCAGTAAGGAGTTCATAAATTTAGTAGTCCTTGCGAATAGTGGATTAATTTTTAGATTATGGTCAAGGCACATGGAAATGTGTGATGGCGGTTGGCAGTAAAAGTCACAAAAAGAGGAGGAAAAGAATAGTTTGTGGAAAATGACAAGACAGGACAGATTAGTTCTTTCAGACAATGGGCTCAAGTGGAAAGCAGATTTTAGTGCAGTTATGCTGTATTTTCGAGAGTAATCATGTGATATGAAACAACTTGCCTTGTTATAATCCGATTCAAGTTGGTCAATAAGATAGGATTGATGAGGCTACCAAATAAAGTTAGCGCAGTCCAATATAGATCCAAGTTAGTTTAACAGAGGTGCAAGTTATGTTTAATATATCTCAAGGATTTACAAGCACTAGCCACTATAGCAGTAATATTGCCGCGAGCGCAGCAGACCAAGCAGGCAGCGCGCTCGTGGCCTAACGGTTATCACGCGCACCTTCCACGCTGAAAGCCAGTGTTCCATTCCTGGCCGCGGGGACACATTTTTGTTGACTCTGACGTAATGTTCTGGTAAATTCGAGAACCGTGTTGCTTGTTTGAGGTCAGAATGTTCTACACGCAGAACTTTCTACGCCGATTCTTCCAGAACCCCACGCGTGTACATAAGGGGCTCCGCGTGGCGAGCCGCAGTCAGTTTCGCCTCAGCGTTCGATCCTGCTGCTTCGCCGCCTTCGACGCCCGCGACGCTCTGTTATCTTTTTCCTTTCATTTTTGGGTAGAAGTTCGCCTTATTAAACATTCAGTTTACTCAGTCATTCACCGCCTCATCACTTGTCATTTGTGACAATATGAGTATTCCAAGTGAGGTCGTCAGAAAATGTGACACCTAAATATTTATAGTTTGACACTTTTTCAAGGGACAGCATTACCGAGGAGTAGTCACATATTGAAAATATATTTAAATCCTGTTGTAATAACACAATTGGGGTTAGCAATACAACGATAACTAACAATCGTTTGCTAAAAGCCTGATGGAAGATGTTAGATGAAAGTCATTAATATATATATAGGGAATAGAAGCGGTCCCAGAACGATGTCCTGGAACACCAGATATCAAGGGGGGCTCGATTTGTCCTGGCCCCAAGATATACTGCTTGCCACTTACGTCAGGTTAGTTAAGAATTCAGCTATCCAGAGTATAATAGAAGGATGAATGTTTAGTTCAGAAAGCTTATACGAAAGTCGTTGGTGAGGAACAGTGTTGGATGCATTTGAGAAATCAATAAAAATGGCATCAGTAGGTATAGACGAGTGAAAGTTGTTGTGTCAGCAACAAAGTCGAAAAGCTTGGTCTCACAAGAATATTGCCCTCCTGAAACAATGCTGATTATTACATCTTAAATTATTTTCTGGCAGATATTTTATAATAGGAGAGTAGATGACATGTTCCACCATTTTGAAGGTACACTAGTTACTAATATGGGTCTGTAATTTGAGTAGTCATTTTCGTTTCCTGATTTAAAAATGGGTAACTCTCCCAAATCTCCGGTCCACGGGTAAGGTGGCCAAGTCAAGAGACAGTTGAAATAAAGAAGAAAAAAGGTGGGAGGATATGTGTTTTGTTAATTTGAGAAGTTTTGGACAGATATTGTAGGCATCGGGAGCAGAGCTGGAGGAGAGTTTTTCTATTACATTCAAGATACCGTATAGGTGGAAGATGATGGGTTCACACTGAACAGTAGAAATTCTACATATCTGATCACAAGATAGTCGCAATTTTTCTAAGGTAAACACTGATGAAAAGTAGCTGAAGACGGTAGCCAATTCCAGGTTAGCACTTGGTTAAGTTAATGGCATAGTTTAGGAAAGGAGTCATCTTTCCTGGCACATATAATTTTCCACAATTTACGAGGATTGGATGTTAACAAGTTACGAAGATCTTGCTTGAAAAATTTATCTTTTGCTTTCTTAATGCTGCATTTAAAATCTCTTAAACAATTTGAATATTTTTGAAAAGCACATCCAAGACTGGTCTTTTTAGCTTTAGCAAAGAGACATTTCTTTCTATTATACAATTTTCTGAGTATATTCGTAAACCAAGGTTGATCAGCATTCACCTTTAAAACAATCTGAAGTACAAAGTTTGACATCAATTTCCTACATTATTCTTCAAGTAATATTCAAATTAGGTAGACTCGACAGTTCTTTCATTGAAGTTCAGCTCGTATTCTGAAGCAAACCACTCAAGTGACTGGTTAAGAGAAGTTTCATTAACTTCGTTATAAACATTAGTAATATTAGGGGTAATTTTTCTACTTACTATTGGACGAGTCATTTCACCCAGGACTAAGTTATGATCACTTATTTTATTAAGAATATGAATCAATCTCGTATCATCAACATTCGAGGTAAAAACAAGATCCAAAACAGAATTTATTCTTGTAGGTTCTCTATCTTTGTGGGATAGGCCACAGCTATTCACTCCGTCAATAAATGTTGACACCTTCGCTGGAGCCACACAAGACAAAATTGTCACTTCTTTTCAGTCAACACCCGGATAATTAAGATCGCCGGCAAGAATGACAATACAGGCATTGTTTCTTTTTTGTTTTTCACAAACAATATTAGTTTGCTTGGGAGAAGAGCGTGTTGGTTTAAGTCATGGATGAAGAAAGAATAAAACAATTAAAACAGGGACAACACAACCACATCTTTCATTGTGGTTGTGTTGTCCCTGTTTTAATTGATTTATTCTTTCTTCATCCATGAATATTAGTTTTATCTGCAGTTTAAAATACTGTAAAAAAACTTAATGCTTGCAAGCCTCCAATTTTTGCAAATTGGAAAATTCGCCAACTTCAAGTGCATGCATACTATATTTTTATTGTCTAGAGAGGAAACTTCCGCCTTTCAGAATGTGAAAAATTTAATGGTCACAAATATCAGCCCTCGGCCCACTTTGCAAAATATTGGGGACACAGAAATGAAGGGTTTTACACTATTACAATTACAGTTGGTTGACAGGTTAAGTTCAGGGGAAGCTCGTCCTACCTCTTTCCACTTCAGAAGAGCAGACGCTGGAGGAGGCGACCTCCTCTCCAGCTTTCACTATGCTGTAGTGGAAAGGGGTGGGAGGAACTTCCTGTGAACCCTTAAAGGACACATGCAAAGGAAAAAAACATTTTTTTTAAACGGCTTAGATGGAAAAAGGACGCCATAAAACGATTTTACAACGAAGAAAAAAAATTTTTAGAGCTATATTTACGGCGCAAAACGAATTTGTAGTTGGCGCCCGCGGGCACCGCGGAAAAGTGGTCTGTATTTATCACGTGACTGGTCTTTATTTATCACGTGGTGCTTGCGTTCTTTCGGAAGCTTCCTATGGCCTCTAAAAGTAACTTATTCATCTTTGTTTGAAGTATAACAAAAAACTAAGATGAATAAGTATATTTTAAAGCCCAAAGGAAACTCCTGAAAAAGCGCAAGCAGACGTGATAGACCTGTGCGCCGGCCAGACGACGGCGGCGGCGCCCCGAAGCAGACGAACTTGTGCGGCGGCGGCGACGGCGGCGTGGAGAAACGCGTTGAAGCGGCGTTCGCAGAACGCTCAGCGTGCGGCGGCGACGCAGCGCGGCGGCGCGCGGGCCTACCACGTGACCAGCGGCGGCTCCCGCGAGCGCCAACTACAAATTCGTATAGCGCCGTAAATATAGCTCTAAAAATTTTTTTTCTTCGTTGTAAAATCGTTTTATGACATCCTTTTTCCATCTAAGCTGTCTAAAAAAAATGTTTTTTTCCTTTGCATGTGTCCTTTAACCTGTCACCCGACTTCAGTGGGATTTCAGCTAAAACTGTACGAGTGAATTAGTTCTGGCTATTGGAAACAGCCCTTATGGCTGTTTCCAATAGCCGGCTGCTAGAATCAGTGATATTTCTTTTTCAAGTGAAAATTCAACTACCACAAAAGAAATGCATCCAAAAACATGCAATTTGGACTTGAATAGGAATCAAGAAGGAACTTACTAATAAAAAGTAGTGGTCCTCAGGCTCAGCTCTCAGGTACTTGAAAATGGACTGCTCCCAAAAACGTTCCATCAAGTCCCAATCTTCCACAATGCCATGGCGAATGGGGTACTAGGGCAAAAGGAAAAATGCTCTTCTCAATTTAAAGGGGCCCTGCAATGACTTTTTGACTGGTTTTAATTTGCACCGAACCTGAGCGCACTGAACGTAGTAACTTAATCAAACTTTTCTTTTCTCTAATTTCGCTTTATTTTAAAAGTTATAGGCGAATTAGAATTACAAAAACAAGCAAAAAATAACTTCCTTCATGACGTAGTAGGTCCTGGCTTGAGTGGCCGTGAACTAGAGGGGGGGTAGTGAGCTCATCGAGCGTTCACGGTTGCCGCACTCCAGGTCAACGGCTCGAGAGGGCGCCACTAAAGCATGTGATGGATAGGCTGTATGACGCGGGCGGCCGGGGCAGCTCGCATTGCATTTGCTGCGCGATTAAAGACTATTTCGGCATAGCACTTCTTTGGCCACAAACGACAGCAAACACGGGGTAAAGATCAGTTCAGAACGGGAGCCACTTCGCGCTACCATACCGCCAAATGGCCAAATCACCAGCAGGGCCCGCGCCGAAGGCCTTCGGGACGCTCGGTATCGGTCGGATCGTTGAGCCGGTATACGACCGCAGCGCCGCCTCGTACATCTGGGACTTTTCTACGCTGGCCGTTCGTCGTAGCCTCATCCCACTAGTTCTTTCTAGTATGCGCCGTTTTTTCCGCCGCTTGGTGCCGGATATGTCGATGGGTCTTTCCTTGTTTCCGTACTTTATAAACTGCATTTGTTTCTTTTTTGATCTAAAATACTGAACAAAAGCTTCTTTTATAAATAATTGAAACGGTTCGCGCCACTTATATTTTGTATTTCGACTACGAAAAAGCTTTTAGCGGCTCTGACCAGTAGTAAGCCTAGGACCAAACACGTCACATTTTGCGCGCTTTCGGTACCGCAGGTCGCCCTCGTCGGTGGAGGTGGTTTCCGCGTCGTCCGGTTAAAATATGACGCACTGATATTTAGTTACTCTCTCCGTGCCCGCTGGCTTGCCCTGACCCCAAGAGACGTGAAAACCGCAAAAAAGGTAGTTGCTTAAATATGATTGCAGGGCCCCTTTAAAGGGAAGGTAAAGAGGTTGTTGAATTAGGAAGAAAACTTTCAGCCTTTCCACTCTGGTGAAGAAGGAAGACCAGCGAAGTTGTACTTTGGTGGGAATGAAGTAATGGCCGGCCGCAAGTCGGCAAGCCAGAGTGGAAAGGCTGGAAAGGTTGCCGCCATCTACGAGTGACGGCGGCCATCAGACAACCGGCAAGCCGGTTGTCTGGTTGCCGCTATAGATGGCGGTAGCTGTCCAGAGTGTTGTGTCGACATTTGTTTGCTGGCGGACACGATCCTGGGGAAACTAGCCCTTAAGAGCTCCGCTGTAAAAACTGCAAGTTTTAAAGGGATACTTCAACGAAATTTCAAATACACTCGTCGTGTTCAGAAATGGGCTGAATATGATCCACAATATCCGTAGATGACAATCGCACAATTGTATTTTGAGCCCGATGGTTGTATTTTTGTTAAAAACGGCCCACTCCGACAAGCGCTCGGAGAGCAGCTAGCGGAGGCCACATCACATTTGGCGCAATCGTGACAGTTTGTCTTGGGATGAGCAAAGCTGCGGCGAGGCTGATGTCAGGATGCCCTAGCTGTTCCAGCCACCGAAGCGGTTGAAGCACGCCAGTGATCTGGCCACCGCAACTAACCACAAAGCTGCTTTTGTGTGAATTTCGAGTGACAGGTTAATCTTCTATAATCTTGTAGAGGGAGAATAGCGACCTCTGGGACACACAAACGAGAGTTCCGTTGAGTGGGGAGTTCCTTTCTCCCCTCCTCCCTTCTGCTGGCTGCAAAGCTGCCGGGATGACGTCAGGTTCAAAACATGTATAGTTCTAGGCGAGACAGTTATCGTCACAACCTGTCAAGGTTCCTAGACGAGCATTACAAACGAGGCTTTAGCAACATCCACCAGGTGCTCTTTGCTAATAGTTTGTTTTAAAATTCCTTTTCGTATCTTTTTTAACAAGATATTGGTGAGTCTGATGCGATACTGATTTTTTGAACACGTATAGACAAAAAATAAGCGCCGAAATTTCGTTGTAGTATCCCTTTAATGTAGGCACTTTCAAAGTTGTCTCAACGTGAAATGTTGGTGCGTTGGGTCGCCAGATTTAGTGAAGCCCCTAAAATCGACCGCAAAGCTTGGATTGACGCCATTTGGATGGTAAAAAGGTCATGTGATCAACGGCGATTGGCTGGTTTAGGCGAATATGGGAGGTTCTGGAAAACCGTTATTATCCGATGAAGAGCTCCATGAGTGTAGGTGCCAGGCTCGGCAACGTGCCGGAGCGATACCGGAACGTTTCACGTGCAACACAATTGCCCGGCAGTTTGCTGCACAATTTCTTCAGTGCATCGTAATCCCCAATATTCGACGTAGCCCGCTGCGGCACCGAGCGCTGGAGAGCGGCGAAAAAAATACTAGCAAGAGTGACGTCAGCAGCAGGATCAGACGACCCTCGCTAACTACTAAGCTGGCTCAAGGATGATGACATTACAACATTTTGGACAGGTAAGAGGCAGCAGAGAGGCTCGCCCTGCGTCAATCGCTGCACATATTTGTAAAAAAAAAAAAAAAAATGCGGTTTATGTTTACTTTTACTCAAGTTAAGTGCCGTAACTGAATTCATGGGACAAAAAGCTATAGAAGTCTATTCCTAACTCAGATCTCTCGAAAAGTGCTCCAGCTTCCCTTCAAAGAGAAGCTGAGGCAAGATATTGATGGGCGTTGAATTTTATAAAATTTTCACCATGTGCTAAACATCCACCAGTGAGTATGTCTACGAAACATTCATACAACATATTGATTTTCTTTCGAGAAAATAAATTTGAAAGTTTAGGCGTAAACCTCAGAATCACTTGTAGTCGCTCTACTGGCAACAGCGAGAAGGGGCACTTGTGACGTCAAATGTTGTATCCGAGAGCAGAGAACGCTCCCTACTCCACGGTGTTGTGGTGATAGTGAGCGTGTGTGGTTTTGCGAACTGAGCCTGGTTTAGGCTGTTTGTGGCCTTCAATGGAGGGTGGGGGCAGGGGTGATGGGCTGTGGTTTGCAATAACACCAGGAAAAAAAGCAGCAGAGCGACATCTTATTGGTTTCCGAACGAGAAGTCTCTGGGACAGAAGTGGGTCCAAGCTGTCCGACACAACGTTTGCGTCTTGGTAGAAAACAGTTCACACCTTGCTAGCAAATAAAACCTTCCATGCCATTCTGCTTAGAAGCGACATCCGAGTCCACATGTCAGTGGATCGAATGTGAACGGCGAATAGCCTGAAATCTTGTGCTGAAAAACTTAAAACCTTTGCTGGTCATTGCTTGAGTAACACAAGCTTGATGAATTGCATGCCATTATTTCCCACAGACAATCGCGACGACGGCCCTCCGACTGCTGACCCTGGGAGAAACAGGCTCAAACTGCCCATGTGCTGATATTTAAACAACATCTGACGTCAGAAGATGGCAGAACAGCAAAGTTGCAGGTTAGTTTCGGTTCTATCGTATTTCTATGATTAAAAACTATTTAAAATTTTTTAGGGGAAATTTATTGTTGCTTTTGGCCCAGTTTCCCGCACTCTTTCAGAAGAAATGTTTTACTGAAAACATTCAAATTGACACTGGAGCTTAGTAACTGTACAGTCATAGAGGCAGTTACCAGGGCTTTCATGGCACACTGCAGAGTACTGCGATTGAAAGTGTTAAACAATTCAATTTCAAGGTGCGCCAAAAGGTTACCCTCTAAACTGTCGAAACTTCTGCAGAAGAAACTGGACTTCGGTGGGATAAACGCAAGAGAAGTCATAAGATTGAAAGATATACACTTCCATTTGGTGCTTACCTTTACAGCATAGCCAGAAGCATCAAGAGCCTCATCCCCAATAAAAAAATCCAAGTCGTCAATTCCCTTGGCTAGTCTTCTGGTTGCCTGGTCTCCAATTTTGGCACTCTCACGTATTGCTATGGCTGAAGAAACAAAAACGCAGAAGAATTCGTTACCCCATAAAGGCATTGCCTTTGCACTGCTTTTGCTGGTGTATTTTGTTTGTGCTATCCACTACATTTCATGCAGGAAGGCAATATGTGTAGTAGAAAAGCTGACTCAAGTGTGCTTTGAAGAAGCAAACATACTTTCTTGCTGCTAATTACTCATGCAAACTCACGAGACTGCAGCAGTCCATGAATATGCGATACAAATTACATGACAAAGTTTTAATTGCCGAGCTCAATGATCATTAAACATTTCATAAGAGAACAAGAAATAAAATAAGTAAAACTCCTGTGAGTCGGGACTTGCCAGTGCATTTTCAATACTTTCAAGAACAAATGTGTTTTACAAAAGTTGTGATGCAGCGACGGATATGTAAACACAATGAGAAATTTCGAATTCCTCACCAGATGGTATGATGAATTGTGGTTCCTTGTTCCCAGCAAATCCAAGCTTTGTGTAGCTGTTCGAAAAGTGGTCGTCAATTTGGGATACACTTGAGACATTTTGTAAAACGAAACGAAACCAGGCAATAGAAAAGACACCAAGCTTGCATGATAAATGGGAATACAAGGGGAGGTAAGAGCAAAATTAGTCTCTGGGTCTTCCAAGACAGCGGAACGTAGAAGGTACATGTCGACAAAGTCCTACTATGCAACACCAGGGGGGCTATGTTGCGCTTTTTGGACTCTCAGGAGACTTGGAAGAGGGAAGTGACGTCAACGACTAGAGCAAATGCAGATTGGATGTTGACAGAAGAAAACGAAATCAACACCCAATCTGCGTTTGCTGTGTCGTTGACGTCACTTCCCTCTCCCTAGTCTCCTGGAGGGCTATGTTGCGCTTTTTGCACTCCCAGGAGACTAGGGAGAGGGAAGTGACGTCAACGACAAGGCAAATGCAGATTGGATGTTGACAGAAGAAAACGAAATCAACACCCAATCTGCGTTTGCTGTGTCGTTGACGTCACTTCCCTCTCCCTAGTCTCCTGGGAGTGCAAAAAGCGCAACATAGCCCCCCAGGGAGTCCAAAAAGCGCAACATAGCTCCCCAGCTCGCCCGCGCCCTTATTCGATAAAGTATGATAACACAATCCGGAAAACGTGTTGTCTTTCACAACTATCACATCGGTGGCTCAGCACAAGAACCTATAAATCTTGCTCCAAAATTTAAAAAAAAAAAAAAAAAGCTCTTCTGTTTTACAAGAATGCACACACTCAGGAAAAATAAATAATTTATTTTTCCATCAACAAGGAGTAAGATAAGCCGGCTGTTCCCGTGGTTCAAACTTCCAGTGGATAACGACCGTCTTATTTCGGATAACATCGAAACGATTGAACCATCCAAACAGTATTTATGGAGCCCTTCGTAGTACAGCGAGCACCTTGACTTGCATAAACTTCATGCGTGAAACTGCAGCTCCCAGATACATTTGCATAGCGAGACTCATCAGAAAGGAAATTACTCATGTGTTGGAAGCGGCAGCAAGACACACCCTGCAACACTACGTTCACACGTCGCCCTTATTTTTTTTTACACACCCCTTACGATGCTCGTGGAGTTGTAATTTCAGTTTCCACGCGTACGTTGAGCGACGCCTAACATTTAAAGTGGACGAAATCAGCAATTCACACGAAGCCGGGTTAATCGGGTACGAGTGAAAAAGCCAACGCGAGATCGAGCGCCGGTCTGGTCCACGATTTACAAAACTGTTGGAAGACTGGTGGGCGGATGAAAAGTTTCGTTCTAACATCAGATGAAGAAAACAAATTGAGAACTTACCCGGTGCCATTGTCTATCACGATCGCTGGCAGACGGCCTGCCATGTTGCGAAGAAAACCGACTTCAGTCCTAGAGGCGTTGGGGGCGGCCCAAGGGAAGTCGCGGGTCGCAGGAAGCCAGTCGCAGACGTACGCGCACGCTGCGCCCCTCGTTGGCCTCACTCGCCTGAGCGGCTCGCTTTATCACTTCGCACAGCGCATGCGTAGAGTTCTCTTCATACGGATAGATTGATAATTCGTCAGGTACCAGATTTGAGTGGTGACTAGCGCCACCTAACCCATATAAATTATACTTTAGTGATTGCGCCAATTTTTTAAGTCGGCAAAAGAAAGGAAAAAAAAGTATTTTTAGTTGTTTTCCTGTTTAGGCACTGTTGCCTTTCTGCAGTATCTGTCACTCCTTAAAGTCAAATATTTGCGAGCATAACGCGGCATTACAACGCAATGAGGCGCATCGAGTTTTGGAACAGCCTATTTATCGGGTCTATTTATCCACGGAAAAATAAAATGAATCATCAACTACACATATTGGCAAGAACACGTAAAACGCTACAGGGAATGGTTGACAATAAAACATAGTGAACACACCAGAACACTTTTTTAATACATGTACTGATAATGTACAAAATACAAAAGATGCATTTCCAGTTCTTCATTCAATATCACTGGCTGAAAAAGAATTACGGTACTCATATTTACAGTAAGAAAAAAGGGACATGACAAAACCTGTAGGCAGATCGGGCTACTATTTACAAGCTTACATTATGTTAAAGAAATCTTGTTATACAATGCTGTGATGGCAATAAAACTTTAAACACATGACAACTTACATAACTAATTAAGCTACTACACGAAATCCACATCCTGCATACACAAGGCACCCTGATATTTCATTGTATGAAACCCAGCACGTTAGTTCAATTCAAAAAGGAGAGATCACAACTGGACTGTTACTTCATAGTTTACATCCACAATTTTCAAAATCATTTAAAAATGGATGCTGTGACTGGCAAGTTAATGAGTTCTGAAACGAATGCAACTTTGTTTGAGTGCAACACTGCTATACATGCCGCAAGGAGATATTCGAAAACAATGTTCATGATTGTTACATCACATTAAACCTCAAAAAAACTTGTTGAAGGGGCTGTTATTTTTTAAACTTGCTCCCTCTCATAATACCAATTATTGTCAGCCGTCGTCATTCACAGAGCCCCTGCAGTTTAGTGAGAGGTGAGAATTTATCTGTTCTTGCATGGCACAGGCTATAGATGGCACACACGCCTAATAATAATCATTACGTCGCTCGCGCCCATTCCTAGAATGTCGTTCGTGGTCTCGCTCATTGTGCTGCCCACGATCAGTGATAAGAGAGCGCATGCGCTCCTTGTCGGAATGCTTTTCTCTGCTGGGCGAGGCTCTTCTCTGGCGTGTCTGCCTCCGAGACTTGCTTTGAGTAGACTCGTCATGAGAGATTCCCTTGACTCGGCTGTGAAATGCATTGTCTTCGATTTCCCGTTGGATTTTTCGCGAAGACTCCAAGTGGCGAATTTTGCCATCTAAAAAAAAAAGAAAAAAAAAAAAAAAAAAAAGGGCCAAGTTAACATTTTATTGCATAAAATAAACAATTTTAATAACTGCCATTGTAAAAGTAATATTTCAGCATATTTGGTAAGATACAGTAATTCAATACATTTCCAGAGAACTTGATGCAAATTTCTATCGACCATGCAGCGTGCGACAATATCATGCGATAATGAGCAGACTTTTCAGGGCAGCCGACAGTAGAGTCCACAAAATTCACCCAAAATACTTGCTGCAACACAAAGATTATATGTAGCACAACTGTCCTCTAAGGGGTGGAAATGTACTGCATTAGACACATTCCATAATAGGGAGGCCTGGCTAGAATCAAAAGGTAAAAACAAGGCTATTGTGGTGTGGCCTATTACTTGGCCACAGGAATATCCTTTTCACCGAGATTTCTTCACATTGTCATGTAGGGCAAATATAACAAAGCTAAATAGCCAAAAAAAAAATAATAAAGAAAACTTTAGTAAGACTAATTTTTGCTTACAAAGAATAGCTAGCCATTGGTATTTGCAACGAGAAATCCTGGTGAGGGGAGTGTGAAGCAAGCATGTAACAAATGGACACTTTTCATAAATCCATTGAGCAGTATTGGCGGTCGCCATCACTTGAGCACGAAGCTTCTCATTAGATCAGGGTCCTCGAAGAAACACTGATGCAACCCTCACCCAATATAAGTGCCCGGAGTATGTACCCAAACAATGGCAGACTCAAATAACTGCCACAACTACTAGATGGTGCACTGCTGAAAAGTGCCTATTGAGCTACATGAAATACTTATGTGGCAACAATTGAAGCCGTTTTGCTCCTGACCAAAAGGCATTAAATGGTAGTGGCACTAAACACTTTTGCGAAGCTTCACATATTCACAGGACATCCGTGGCTTTCCACAGTTAAAGAGGTACTCCGGCGATTTCTTCACGGTCCCCGGTTTGCCTGAAAATTTGCTTAACACATCAATGAACACCGCTGAAATAATATCCCAAATATCAGGTCAAAATATTTGTTTTTTTGAGAAGTTATTGAATTTACAACTTTGGTCCTCACTGTGTCTTAGAGTGCAGCTCTTAGGCACCCGTTTCCAACTTGAGCGGCGTCGCCTTCGGCGTCAGCGTAACCTCGTGGTGCATTATGGGAAACATCCCATAATGCACCGCGCTGAAACGTCACGAGAGGTTTCGGCGCGGTGCCGAAACATCAATCGCGACGGAACGTCACCACGTTTCGACACCGCGTCAAAACGTCGCGTGACGACGCGCGTTTCGCGCATGAAAGGAGGAGAGGGTACGGATGAGGAAGACGGGCATACCCTTCCCTCCTTCTCCTCAAGAGCTGCGCTCTGAATTGGCAAGGAAGTGTAAGTATCTAATTTTTTTTTTTTTTTTTCAAACTGGAAGTTTTTGCTGGCAACAACGAAAAAGTGACGCCTGTGGAAGGCATTTGTTGACTCTTTGGAGTGTAGATTTTGTTCCCAACTGATTCCAAGCAGTTTCATGGTGTCAAATGAATCCTCCGTAAGCTCGCTCCAGTCCCCGTGCACTAGTACGGAACAAATGCTTGCCAAAGTCTATTTTTTAGACTGCTTGCTCGACTTGCAAGCCTGCCTTCCACTGACGTCACACCACTGGAAAGTGCGGGAATATTTTAATGTTAGTTTTTGCAACACTTTTATTTGCCGATTTCACAACCACTATTATGAATTTCGTGATACTAAATAGCATACCAAAAAGGGTAAATGCCTTGGAATCATAGTCAGTTCGGGTAGCTCAAAAAATCGCCGGAGTACACCCTTTAAAAAACCACTGAAAAGAAAAAAAAATGTTTTTATTAAAGTCTGGTTCAGACATGCGTGTCAAGAAATGAATTTTACACGAAAAAAAAAAAAAAACAGCCCCACTTCCTAGAGCAACATTGACGGCACAAAACGCAGTTTAGTCGATAGTCACCTCCTTTCCACTTTTCTCTCTTGGCATTTTGGGCACGTGGAGGAGGTGGATCGGCTTGGGCACGAGGTGGAGAGAGCATATGACCATCTCGTTGAGGTGGAAAGAGTGTATGACCATTCCGTGAAGTCATGGACTTTGCGCGCAGGATTTGAAATAAATCTTGCGCCGTCAATATTGCTTTAAAATCTATCTTTTTTTTGCGTAAAATTCATTTTTTGACACGCGTGTCCCAACCACTGTTAAAATTTTTTCTTTCTTTTTTCTTTTCAGTGGTTCTTTAAGGTCATCAGTCAGGGTATAAACTTGTTGCCGTATAAGCTGTCCTTTTGATTTAAAAAGAGGACACCAAAACCCAATACATTATTTAATGATAATTATTCTATGAAATGTTGTCATTCCTCACTCGAACCTGCGACGTCGTCCATGTGCCTTTTTGGTTGCTTCGTCACTTCACTTTTGGTTTGTGAATCCTTCTTTGGCTTCTTGGGCTTGTGAACACTGGATTGAGTTTTCTTGTCTTTCCCTTTTTTACTTTTCTTAGCACCTGCAAAAAAAAAAAAGTTTTCAACGACAAATGACTACATAAAACAAAAAGCAATTAACACAACAGAATTGAGATGAAGAAAAGGAAAAAAAAATAATGTAGACGTTTATAGTTGGTGACCGGTTAAGAGTTCAGGGTTGGTGACCGGTTAAGAGTTCACTTTAGCAGAGCAAACGCTGGAGAAGTCGCCTCCTCTCCAGTGTTCTCTTTTAACCCTTTAACTCTTTCCTGACAGCCGCCATAGGCCATTGATCACCGGTGATCGATGGATTCCAAGCGAAATCAAGAATTAAATTTAGTGCTATTCAAGAAATTAAATTCAGCTATCCACAATATCGTGGATAGCCGAAGAACGCTAGTTTCGGTTTCAAAGTAGGTTTAAGCTCTATCATAAAGTGATGGGCTGTCAAAGAGGGTCCAGGGAATGGTGGTTGCACCTGTCTAACATGGCTAACTGCTTGCATTAGTCCTCGTAACAAAGATGGCATTATTTACAGAATTCAACTGTCCTGTTGCATATTTTTTAGACCACAAGAGCTCTGGGGACACTTTAAATTAGATGTGTCGATAAGCATCATTTTTGTTTTTATCCGGGATTTTGTGCACGAACGTCGTTCAAAGCCCACCCTTGGCGGAGGCCGTGGGCTGGCCTTCGGCACCCAATACCCGGTATTTTTCTTATACTCTCAGATGTTATGGGAGGGGGACCAAATAAATCCCTTTCGGTATAACTCACGCATCGGTAACCCCAACAACGCGCCTCATCGCCCGCAGATCACTGTGGTCATCTGCTGGTGGTGTCTGAAACACCGAATACCCCCCTGCAAACATCTAACCGTTAGAATCTTAATGCCGGCTCTTCCTAAGCCCAAATCCAAAAGGGCCCTGGCACTCTTCCGGGACCGCACGCCCCGGCAGTTCATAGTTACACTAGTCACCACGGGAGGCGATGTGTCTTCGCCCTGCACCAATGTAAGGAAATCGGGCACGGAATACGTGGCCACTTTCCTCTCGTGTGCCACATCAGGAGTGGAGTAGGTCCCCACGACTTGGGCATCAACCACTACACACTGCGAGCCCCGCCCTATAACCAAATCCGGCACATACCTACTTTGAGGCGAGTGGTACTCCGGCTCCACGAGGACTTTTCAGCTCTTTTCTTTGAGCTCTTGGGCTACATAAGACACAATGCAGTTGTGCCTCTTGATTCTCGCACTGAGTCCTGAAGCAGTTTTGTGAGATATGCCCAAGCGACTCCGGGGACTGGCAACCGGCCCGACACTGGTTAGGGACACTCCCCTCCATCGTTTTGTTCGCGTTAGGTTGGGAAACACGTTAATCCGGAATTTCATCATGTCGATGAACTGCCTGCCAGTCACCAAAGTGGTTCCCTCGCCCACCCAACTGGTGGCAGCTGGAACCCTTCCGCAGTCCTCGAGTGCCGCACCATCGACACTGCTATGAAGAGCTTGTGTCCAGAATTTGTGAACGGACTGTTTGGACACCAACATCTCGCCCTTATAGTTACAGGACCTACTTAACCGGTTCTTCAAATCCAGTAAATGTGGCAGACTCAAGGCAGCCAGGCAAACGGGGTGGGAGGAGGCACTTAGGCCTCCCAGTCTTCTGAGCGCCATGCCTGGTATGACCGTCCACAAACATGTAACCCCTAACCCCCCCTTCCACCACATGAGCGTAAAAATAACCCAGTGGCGTGTCATGTGGCAATGCCAACCTCTTCCTAATAGATACTCTAATCAAGAGGTCGATTTCACGAGGGTTCCTAAGGTCCAGGGTCCACGAACCAGCCGATGGTAGAGCCTAGGTAGGAGATAGTATCTCAAGACTACCATTCGCTGCTGTGGTTTTAATGGAGCCCTCTTAATCCTAGCCAGCAGCTCAACAACATCCTGCTGGATCGGAAGATCCCTCGTCGTCCCTTGGGGTCGAACATAATTCCGAGATATTTCGACGTGGAAGTTAGGTCCTGTTTGGGAAGCTCCCTGCTGGCTACATTGAAGGTGCAGGTAGTATCAACCTTCATCTTCTTGACCTTCCCAGAGGGCAACAACGCCACGATGAATGACTTGCCTTCCTTCACCTCCAGGCCTCTCGGGCTAAGATAGCCTTCGAGCTCAGAGAGCCTTTCTTGCAACCCCATAGGGGTTGACGTAAAGATTAACAAATCATCAGCAAAAGCCATGGCATCCACCCTGAAGTTGCCACTCGCGAACTCCAGTCCCGGCTGCATGAACTTAAAGTACCCGTCCATCGCCAAATTGAAAAGGAGACAGGGGATCGCCCTGTCTCACTCCTGCCGTGGGCTGCACAACCTTTGACTGTTGTTCAAAGGACAAAATTGTGATTGCATTTTCATAAAGGTCATTAATATAGTGGACGAACGAGTCACCCAGCCCGGCGCACCGAGCTCCCTCCAAAATGGCAGCAGTGGAAACCTTGTCGAATGCCTTACTAAGGTCCACGCTTGCCATATACAGCGGCCGCAGACTCCTGCGTGCCTCCTGAATTGTTGCAGACAACAGGAGCACATCTTCTGCACAGCCATCGACTGGCTGCAAAGCTCTTTGGCGAAAGTCCGGAGTCACCACCTCGGACACACGCTGCGCCAGGATCTTGTTGAATAATCGCAACAGAACTGGAGTTAATGTAATCGGACGGAAGTCGGATGGAAGTGTAGCCCTCGTCTTTTTAGGGATAAATACCGTCCTCGCCCCCTTAAGAGTGGTAGGGGCTTTCTTCAGATACATCAAAAGATTCAGCAGAACCTTCAACATTATCATTGGCATGGACTTTAATTGCCTTGCCGCGAGTCCGTCGGGTCCAGGTGCGGACTTAACGGGCAGGTTTTGTTTGATTTCTGCCGACGCAACAGGAAAGAAAAGAACCACCGACCTGCTTACAGGCATCAGAACAGCCGTTTGATCAGGAAGATTGGGGTCCAGTCATAATCCGTTCCCATGTACCCAAGAACTCATTCACATCAGCCACCTCCGCCTGCTGTTCTCAATCCAGGATCGTGCAGGCACAATCCGCCTGTCGCGTCTTGAACAGGTCTTGAGTTTGTGCGAAGAGCCTCTTCTTTCTCTTCCTGTTACTTTCGTTTGTCCTGCCTTTCCTCGCTGGGTACGTTCTTCTTTGCTTTGGCTCTACAAAAAGAGCATCTCTGATGTAATCATTAAGAGGACGCTCTATATCCACTCCTCGCACAGCAAGGTGACCGACTTCCCATAGTCGTGGGCCCTGGTACACCTGGGGTGCAGTCTTCTTTAAAAGAGACTCCAGTACCTTCACCACCTCGGGGCGGGCATACTGCTCCTTCACGTCTAGGAGATCAGACTCAGTGGATGACGAAGTGCTGAATCGATCAACCTCCGAACTTTCCTGCAGTGTTTGTTCAACTGCCAGTTCCGGTTCCTCTCGAAGCAGTGACTGCACCAAGTCTCGGTAAGGCCGCTGCTTCCTGTGCCTTTTCAGGGAGCCGAATGTGCGAACGAATCTTGCAGAGCCTGAAAGATTTTGTATCGCGTCCCATAGCGCCTGGTTTATAAATTTCGTGCCTTTCCTGATGAGGCCCACTTCAACCTTTTGCCAGCATCAAAGATTCTTCTTTACTCCATCTCGCTTGTGATCGGTCGACATTAACGTCCCTGTTGTACTCGGACGGGTGGGCCTGTCTGCAATGCTGACAAAGTCCCGTTTTTGTGGGAAACGCCCTGTCGCATTCAGAACAGGGGAAATTTAATGGTCCCACACCATCAATTGGGACCCGCCCTGAGGGGACCTCTGGTCCTCCGTCGCCTCCATTTGCGTGTCTCTTATGTTGGGCCAGGCTCCTCAGAAATGGGAACCGCTTGTCACAGCTTGGACAGTCAAATGGCAGGACACCTCCCTGCCCGGGACCCCCAACTTGGTCCCCAGAACCCTGAACTTGGGTCCAAGATTGTGTAAAAAAGAAGAGGAGATGGATGAGAAACATCCATCTCCTTCGCGGTGGATCTCAGGTTGACTGCATCTTTCTCGACTTTTGCAAAGCCTTTGATAAAGTATCTCACCAAGTACTGTTTCTTAAGCTTGACAAACTGAATATTGATCCTAAAGTCTTGTCCTGGATTAAATGTTTTCTAACTAATCGATCCCAGTTTGTTACTACTAATGAGGCAAATTCTTGCCTCAGTGCCGTCACCTGCAGTGTTCCCCAGGGGTCTGTTTTGGCACCCCTTCTGTTTCTTATTTAATGACTTACCAATGTGTGTATCATCCCCTATTAGCTTATTCGCAGATGATTGTGTAATATATAGTGAAATTACTAAAAATCCGACGCGGCACTAATTCAAGCTTATTTATGTGCGGTATCAGAATGGTGCAACTTATGGTAAATGACTCTGAATACTAACAAATGTAAAACTATGAGGGTGTCTTGTCGTAACACATCACCATCACCATACTCAATATGTAATATTCAGCTGGCATCTGTAACCTCTTTCAAATATCTCGGTGTTCACGTCACTTCTAACCTATCATGGAAAACTGATTCTGATCATATAGGTAATTGCTAATGCAAATTCAATGCTTAGATATTTAAAAAGAAACTTTTCCTTAACCCCTATGTCCCTAAAACTTCTCTTGTATAAGACTTTAATACGTTCAAAGTTGGAATATGCCGCAGAAATCTGGGATCCAGGTCACTCAACGCTTATAACAAACATCAAAGCGCTGCAAAATCGTGTTGCACGATTCATAGTCTGCAACTATCATCGCACCGCAAATGTCTCATCTATGAAAACCGCCCTAGCCCTGCCTCTTTCCTCGCGTCGGAAAATATCTCGTCTATGCCTCTTCCATAAAATCTATCATTCCAACGCTTCACTGAAAAACAAACTATTCATTCGCCCCCCCCCCCCCCCCTTCATTTCTCCCCGCATTGATCACAAACTTAAAGTTGGCATACCTCATTGCAAAACTTCAGCTTACATCAACTCTTTCATCCCTAGAACGTCATCTGAATGGAACCACTTCTTGCATCCCCATTAGTAACTATTCCAGATTTATTTAGAAAAGCTCTAACTACTCACTTTTGCTAGGATTATGCCGTACTAACATTTATAACCAAGTTGCCTTGTTGTTTGAATTTATGCAGAGCCAATATTTTATGTTCACCCCCTCTGTAATGCCCCTGGGCCCCGAGGGTATTGAAATAAATAAATAAATAAATAAGTTCCAAGGCTGTCCTGAGCCGGCGTGCACGTTTTATGTTCCCAACAAGGTGCACAAAAATTCTAAATATGAGGGAACTGCAATTAAGGCTGTGACAAAACCAAGGTAGAACATGAAGAAAGCATTCTGCTGGGGATATGACATGTACTCTCTGTGCTTCACCAATATAAGCATTCCTTCGTTGAAAAGCACACATGTTACGGCGGCTAACTCTCCGACAAACCAAAAATAGATATCAGAGTGCACTAACTTTCAGAAGTAATAGCCGTGGATGTGGGGAACATTTTGTATCTTCTTAATTTTTCTTTTATTTGTCGTTTCATTTGACAGAGGTGTAAAAGTTTCAGCGTTTATACGTCTTCCGCGCATACATGGTATTTTCAAGAAATAAAATTTTAAAATCTTTTTTCAACATGTACCAACTTGTTTCTCTTCCTGTTTCTTTTGGAAGAAAAATTAACCGGTAACAGTTTCACGTGTCATATTGCTCTATACACAAATTAGTTATCGTAGAATACCGCGCATCTGCCCACTCCACACTAAGCGCCCATTCCCAAATTTGTAAGATGTGAGAAAATATGCACAGTACATTGATATGTAAAATTGATGACCGGACAAGTGCCCATCCCCCAATTTTTCACGATTATCTCTTATATTTTGAGTGAGCGCTTGACCGGTATCTTATGGCAGGAAAATAGAAGCGTTTGCAGGGATCCTTTGAAAATTGCTACTTTCCCGTGGTCAGGAAAGAGTTAATGCAATTCACACTGCTATAATCTCATTCCGAAATGCCCCTTTAAAGGGACAGTGACACCGCCCAAACCATTTTTTTACTTTTTTGACAGGCAATCTAGTATGGCGTCAGAAGACTTTCCAATCAATATTCAGCTAAAGCGTCACATATATTTTTAATAAAGACAGAAAACGCAACTGCTTGAAACCCAAACTGGACTGGGGAGGAAGAAATATAGAGGAGAAATTTACCAGCAATCATGTGGCTGTGCAACTTTTTTTTTCTTTTTTAATCAATGCATTTGCAGCTTTTTAGAAGATACAAAAAATGGGTATCATATTTTTGTCTATTTTTAGTACTGAGAGAGTGCTTTCAATGACCCACGACTGATTATCTTTGGTGGCTGTGTCTAAACCATAGAAAATGGCACGTGACCACAGAAAAAAGAGTGAGCGAGATTCAAACCGGCCAGATCTTGATCGTCAGTTTTCGGGCAGAAAGAAAACGAATATCAAGCAGCAAATGTACAAATAAAAACCTTGGTGAGCATAAATAGCCTGTCAGTGCCCTTTTAAGGAAAACTGAAGCAGTCCTGTATTTGACAGGAAACACTTAAACCTTCACTTGGCCTCCACGATCACAAATATAAAGATTATATCTTTGAATAAGGCTCCAAGTAGTCACAACAACAGCGTCCTGAATAGGCAAATAAAGTAAAAAATTTTAAGGACCACAAACTCTGAACATGTGCAGGTTGGAGAGTCGTGCTGACTGGGTTTCCACATCCCATGAGGGAGGCAGAAATTTCTGGCTGATAGGGGTCACAAGAGTTGCAAAATAACGCCAAACGGAGTTGTTGTTTTTTTTTTTTTTTTTTGTGTTATTTTAAATCGTTTACCAATAGACGCACCCCCAAGCTGCAGTTAAAATTGCCGCACATCTAAATACGCATTTCCCGGTTAAGGGTGGTTCACTTTAGAAGTCTGCACGGGTACGGGCCAGCCCCAGGACACGGGCCGGGCTTTACGGCTACATTCATAAAGGGCCCGGGCCGGGCACAAGCCTTGCATTCAAGCCATTCTTATGGTTCTTTTTAAGCAGTGGTTATGTTTTTTAAAATTTGTTCGGGGGGGGGGGGGGGGGGGGGGGGGGATAGAGACCAAAGAGGATGATATTTTTTTACGAGCTGCCTAGGCCCACAGATTTGTCAGACTAATAAAGGATGCTTACTACATTACTGTAAGGTACCATAGTCAACATGTGTAGCAATGGCAAGCGAGCTGCCATGCCGCACAATTTGTGAGCTATTCATACTGGGTGAAAATAGAGCAGGCCTCAGCGGGCCCGTGAAAATTGGCGTCGGGCCGGGCCGGCTGTCGGAAATGGATAGCGGGCCGCGGGGTGGGTCCAAGAGAGAGCAGACCGGGCTGGGCCGGGCTCCTAAATATCAGCAGGCCTTTAGTTCACACACTTGCGTTCAACTGTGACATACAGTAAAACCTCATTATAACAAAATTGGATATAACAAACTAATGGATATAACAAAGCAATCATAATTCCCCTTGCTTGCTAATAGTGGGAAGAAATGGACAGTGGCTATAACAAACTAATGGTTATAACAAAATAATTACAACCGCTCCTTCAACTTTGTTATAACGAGGTTTTACTGTACTACGCTACAACCGGGCTTTAAGCCTCTCCGGTCGAAAGCAGCTGCAAGTGCGTGAACCAGCTGCTGCAAGTGTGAACCAGCCTTTACTTGGGAGGAGCTATTTCTCCTATCCTGTTTGAACTATTTATTTCTCCTATTCATCAGTTTAATTTGTCCAATTTAATTTGACAGAAGTGTTGGCTTACCTGCATGAGCAGCTAGAAGGCCTTAGCGATATTGTATTAAGAGTTTTTCATTCACCTTTCTTCCATTTCCATATTTGAAATATACTCCACGATTTTTGGTTTCATATCACAGTAGCTCTTATGTGTGCCTTGTTTGAACAAAAAAACAAATTCTGTGCTTTCTTCTAATCATGTTTTGTACATAACCTACCTTGCATGTGATGTGTGTGCTAATAGACTTGGGTAAAGTCATGCAAATAACAAATACACCTATGGTATACTGCTATGCTCAGGGGCGGACGCAGGTATTTCCAGAGAAGGGGGGTCAAGCGTTGGTCAGCGTATCATGTTTACTTACCTCCCCCCCCCCCCATTAAATTTTTAAACATGCAGAATTCAAGAGGGGGGTCAGGACATTGGGACACCCCTCTGAATCTGCCACTCGATATGCTAATGGCTATATTGTTTTTAAATATTTTGACTGTTTTATATTTATGTGTGTCCCGTCTTCATTTCGTATTTCAACATGCTGCAACTCCTCAAAATTAACAAACAAATAAAGCATGCCACCACACCTGGTCCATCTGATTTGAAAATATACCTCGCAACTATATGAATTTGTTCAAATTTGTTCTTAAAAATGCTGTAGCAGAGACTAATATCCAAAACACCAACTTACGAGGCTCATCCTCTGAACTGCTGCTGCTGGAATCGCTGCTGGAGTCGCTGCTAGAGTCGCTTGAGCTACTACTACTGCTACTGCTAGAGGTACTGCTGCTACTGCTGCTGGGTGGTGAAGGAGGCTCTACAGGAGCAATGGCCATCACTGCCTCCGGGGGAGGGACCAGTTTCGGTGCAGACTTTAGGTGCTCTCGCAGGTCGGCCCTGTAATTGAGCCATACCCAGTCATGAAGTTTTGCAAGGTAGCAGACCACATACGTAACAGTGCTTCAACACTGCATTTGTCAACCCTGGGCCTTAAGCTACAGAGCGGGACCAAAGGACTGAGACATCAACGCCTGCTACAATTGGATAGTGGCTGTCAAACTGCAGCAGCCGGCAATATCACAGTCCCTTGGTCCTGCCCCTTAGCTTAAAGCCCCTAGTAATAATTACCCCCGCCCCCCATATATTTTTATGCAGAAAACAATGCAGAGAAAAAATTCCCTGACACAAGTACACCCTTGACGCATGTCAATAAAAAGCTGAGTATTAGCAAAATTTGAAAAGTACCCATAAAAACTTCCTGGGCACTGCTAAGGCAGGTCTGGTTGCCTAGCATTTGTATATCCACTAGAACAATAACAGGATAAACACATCCCAGGACACCAATAGACCTTTTGCAAAGCGTACAGCGCTGTCCACAGCACCGAAAGGAATGTCAGGAACAACTGGTTGTAGCAGACAACAGAGGCGACAGCGAGCAGGCGGAGGCAGGTGAACAACTGCAACACCCCGTCACTTTCTTCAGTGTCACGTAGGGGGCTTTGTGCACGGCGTTCTGGGAATTTTAGCAAAAGGTCCATTCCCAGGACCTCAGCTCCAGTCCTTAAACCAAACATGCCCTATTAACATTAGAAGCACGACTGAACAGCAGCGATTGTCATGCCTACCCTGCAAAATGGACGCACACTTGTAGATTGAATGGGGATTTTATACCATTACATAGAAATCTGTTAAAAACAATTGTGGGAAATTAACTGCATTCTGGAATCGTGCTTCATGAATATTCTAAACCACAAAAAAAGGCAGTAGAACTGCATTAAAAATTCTAAGAAATATGCTAGAATTCAAGAAAAAAAAAAAAGTAAAGCACAGCTTAATGACATGCAAGAGTGTTTCACATGCAGGGATTCCTCTCTTCAAGCGGTGCGATTTTCTAATCGAGCACCACAAATGCAAAAGTTTAGTAATCCTGTTTGTACTAAAAAAAAAAAAAAAATTTGCACTTACGTTAGGCCCCCGAGACCAATTGAAGTGAAAAAGTTGATTGCAAAGCGCGTGTTCTTGGGCAGGTTCCTTGGAAAAAGGCCCTCAAAGGCAGCCTGCAGTGTACTGGAAGGCAAACACAACACTTTCACCTATTGGGTCTAGAAAAGGAGCCATAAAACACTGCAGTCATGTCGCAACTGCCATGCATCGTGCAAGTTCATTAAATCTGGTAATATTTCGTTTGCTATTTTTAATTGCAACGTCACTCGCGCAAAGAGAGAAAAAAAAAAAAAAAACACTTTAGAAATACTAGCTGAAGTGCATGCCATGTCCACGGGCTTTCTGTCGCACGAGACTGAAAACTGCAAGCAGAATTGCACCATTTGAAATGGAGTGAAGAGCTATCAAATCACAAACTTACGGATCCTTGATTCTTTCATTGAGTTTGGGAAGGCTCATGTATTCACACAGCTCTTGGAATAATATCTTGATAAAGATGCGGCTTGATGAGGTGGTGTCGTCTTCTGTAAGCTTGATATGGCCCAGCACCTAAGTCAAAAAGAATCATGTTCCACAATCATGTTCCATTCTCAATGGTCGTTCAGATCAAACATTGATGAAATCAAGCTGACAGAAACCAGCCTCTTCTCCTGTTTATTTTGGTAACATAAATGTGTTTCCCAAGTAACATGACAATGCACCATTGGAGTTATAAGGCTTTTCTCTGAAACAAATATTGCTTCCCAAATCTGCTGCTTTAGCTGTTTGCAAAGTCATGGGGAAATGAAGCAAACCATGCAATATATGCCAAAAACCTCGCAGCATGAAAAGATTAGAGACCAGCTCTTATTTACATTGTTTGTTAAATCACTGGGCCCGTGCTATGGATTCAGTCAGACCCATTAACAAATAATGGTGAAAGGTGCCCATGCAAACAGAATACACAGCAACTTTGAACAGAAAACTTTTCACTGTGGAACCCACATAAATGGCATTTCCAAGCTGCAACTCCAGAGACAAATGACATCAAAAGAGTACAGGTGTCAAAATACATCTAGTTTTATGAATTAAAAAATAGGGCATTCTCTATCACATACACTTCAGTGCTTCCCGTGCCATTTGGTATCCTTAAAGGGACATTGAAGCCCCCCCCCCCCCAAAAAAATTTTATTGTTTGCCAGGTGATCCATTATAGTGTCAGAAGACTACACAATCAATATATTGCTACAGCATCACATATATCTGTAATAAAGTAAAAAAACGTAACTGCTCGAAACCAAAACCAAAACTGGAGAGGAAGAAATATAGAGCAGGAGAAAGTTACCAGAAGATGGCTGAGCAACTTTTTTTTCAATCAACATATTTGCAACTTTTTAAAGACACATAATGGTTGTCATATTCCTTCTTTTTTTTTTTTAATATTGTGTGTGTGCCTTCGATGACCCATGACTCTGATTATCTTTGGTGGATGTGTCTAAACCATAAAAAAAGACACGTGACCACGGAGAAGAGTGTGAGCATGACTCAAACCGGCCAGTTCTCGATCGGCGGTTTTTGGGCGGAAAGATGAATTTAGAGCCGCAAATTGTGTTCCGGGTAATTGGGCTCTCATACTATGTCAATTACAAATAAAAACCTTGGCAAGCATAAATACCCTGCCAGTGTCCCTTTAAAGATGAGAAAACCACCCTCACATTTCTAGTGTTGATTCCTTCTAAGTCTGTATCACACGAAGTGTGTGAACCTATAAATCCACCACTCCTGAGTAGCCGACTTCGGAACCATCCCCATAGGTGTGACCCGAGAAAAGATAAATGGTAAGAAATATTCTAGCTACCTCTGCTCAGAGAATTACCCAGCTGAAGGAACTATTTTTATCGAAGAATGTAGTTACGGCTGCAACACTCGGCATGCCAAGCATAAATAAAGATGGAGTCTAGGCAAGATTTGACTCATCCCAATAAGCGGGCCAGACCTACATGTTCTATTCACTTTGAATACTCACACTCCACGGAATTGCATCTGTGAACAGTAGGTGAGCAAAAAATTTGGCCACGTTGCGCAGTTTGTTTGTCTCAAAACGGTGAATGGTGTCGTACGAGCTCAAAAAAATTTGCTCAAATGGTTCAGCATACTCCTTCTTCAACTGGCAGAAGCGCTGCAAAAGACATCCAAAATTGAACAATTAGGGCATTTAAGAAAAATAAACCAACAAATTCTGGAAACACGTATACAAAATTTGGGCTTAAATCATAATGCTTGTTGTAAAATGGCAAGACAAGAATACATGCACAGACCTGAGCTAGAAGGCCAAAGAACTTCTCATATGTCCGCTGCTGTGCACAACAGTCAAGCACCATGTGGCATAACTCATCCTGAAAAGGTTAAAAAGATATTAGCAAGCAGGCACCCCTGGCACTATTCAGTTCTACTACTCTCTTAATCCCGTTACCAAGATCACAATGAAGTGACAGTCAGAGGCTCTCACCAACTGGCCAGGTTTCAGCTCAAGCTTTAGCAGCTTGTGAGCACACTCTTCAAAATTTAGACTTGACTGGATTGTCAGGTAGATAGTTCTCCGTAGGGCAACCAGGTTTGTCTCCGTGTTGTCGATTATTTCACCATTTTCATCTGAAAGTTTTCAAAAAAGGTCAGACCTATAAAAAAGAAGTCTCAAACAGTCTTTCACAGACTGATACTGTTGAACACAGAGAGACATGAATCAAGGCTTCCAATCAAATGCAAGTCTCAAACCAGGATAAACATACCTTTGGGGCCCTGTTCAAATAGTGAGAATTTACGGACTTAAACTGAAATTAGTTCAGCTCACACGGCAGAATTTACAACTCTTTTTTTCCGTTAAACTGAACAGACGTGACAACAACACAGACGAGTCCCATGTAAGACAGCCCAAACTTATTCAGGGGTGGAACTCGTGAGATGTACTTGGGAGCAGCCACGGGAGCAGCTGAAACAGCTGTTTTGGAGCAGGTTGCGAGCAGCTAAAACTACATTCTGGAGCAGGTTGGGAGCAGCTCAGATCAGTTTTCATTGCACTTCAGCTTATGTCTTAGACGAGCACGGGAGCAATTTCAATTGTGCTTAGCAGCACAGATGAACATGAGTGGCTAGGGACCTTAGGTAGATGGGATAACAGTGTAACAGATGGGAAAACTTGAAACTTTGTGAGCCTTAATGAGAACCAGAAAGAAAGTACCATATGTTTCTGAAGATGGTGTCCTTGATATTTTCTGAGTGGCTTTCAGCTGCTCAAAATGCAAACCAGCACTGCTAATCGCACAACCCACACATGCTCGACATAGTAATTATGTGTGCGAACCACATGACGTGCGTAAGCAACGGGCGCGCAGTTGCATGGAGGAACAGGGCAACAAATCTCGAGTTTATCCTATTGCGCAACTCAATATTGAAGCAGCTGCAAACTACGATTAACGGAGTTATCGTATTCAAAGCGATAAGCAGGAGCAAGGTTAAAGTACGCCGAGCAGATCTACCGCTCGCGTGAGAGCTGCTGGCCCGCAAGGTTTCGGATCGGACCGCGTTTCAGTTCTATCAAATCACGATTTATCTTGCGGGAATGCAGTTCCAACTTCTATCGATAAAGTACCAAACAGGATCTTTTGCTCATTTGTTTTCATCTGGCTGACGTCATGATCCTGGGACGCAGGACCCTCAGGCATTCTGACGGTTAACGACTCGACCTCACCTCGACCGACTTGCTTAACCGCTTATGGTTGAAGAATAACAGTCCAGTCACAGGTGGTGTAGCGCTTGCAATCAGACCCCAGAGTTTTTTTTGCGCTTCCGACTCAGGATACAGAGGGAGAATAAACAGAACAAGGGATTGCAAGACCGACCAAGCTAAACACACTCTTTGTTCCCAATCGAGTCGATAAAAACCGAAACCAAGGCAAAATACAATTTTGTTGTCGCACGTTGTGCGATTTGGTGCGTAATGGCGCAAGGTATTGGCTGTGGCGCCGTTTCTGCAAAATGGCGCAGGATGGCGCAAATGCATCTGGCGCAGCCGTTCCACCCCTGTTCTTTACCAAGCTGAAAGCTATCAAATATTCTGGCATACTGGCAACTTCATCAGTTTTTTTATATCTACTTTCACAGCTCTGTTTAACCAGCAGGTGTTGACCACTTTGGCTAGGATCACGAAGTGGCTGTATCTACTTTCCCATTTTCTTGTCTTGGCCACTTGAAAGTCATTGTGTCATAAAGCAACTTTTTTCCTTAAAACATGAGCCTAAATTTAAAATTTTTTTGAAAAGATTAATTTTTGAATTTTGAGGTTTTCGGTTTTAGGAACTAATTATACATCCTTACACTAAATTTGATAACCAAATGCCAAACAGTTACATTGATATAAAAATTTTCAACACTTGTGAGGTAAAAGTAAAGGAGTTAAATGTTTAAATGCCTTTTTCTTAGTTCCACTTTTTGCTGCGAATTTCATACAAAGGAAATCTTTTGTTCGAAGGTAAAAGCATTCTGACACCACAATCAAGATTTTTCTGAACTGAAATTTACTGGGGAATCGGGCTATCTAAGTTGAACTCCTCATTGAGAAAAAATTGTTTTCAAAAATTGACATAGGACAGATATGCATCTCAAATTTTGAGGTGATGACTCTTCCTGAAATATTCACATTTGAGTTACAAAAATTAGGTAGCCCAAAGTCCCAGATCCCCCACTTTATATTCAAGCAGTCAAAATGGTGCCTAATAGATTCATTTGCATATCATAGACTTCTTAACAAAGAGTGACTCATCTTCTTATGCAGGTATATTAAATTGTCCTAGAGAGCGGAAAGTTTGCACAGTACACCTACATCTGATGTTAAATCTCCCCAGCAAACTTCATTCCAATAACTTGAGTAGTCCAGAAGTTAAATCTCAAGCCAGTGTCCCCCCTTAATCGTTTTGAAGTAGAATGCAATACTATACACTGGACAATATGGTAAGAGCTTTCTACTATCCTGTTGTCTACCCATGTTTCCCCTATAACTCCTAACATTTTGTTTCGTGCCTTTGACCCTTTAATGAGCACAGTACTATAGGTTTGATTAACACTTTTAAAAATGCAATAAAAAGATGCTGCATTGAAAAGTACCTTGAACTTCTTCGTCGTCCTCCTCCTCATCAGAGCCCTCGCTCCCAGAGCCCTCACCCTCTTCGTCACTTGGCACAATGTCTGAAATGAAGTAGCATCGTTACCACCCAGATCAAAACCCACAAGAAGCTCTCATTACCTCTTGAAATTTCCTTGTACCTCTCCTCATTCTCGAGGTACTCGGGGTCAAACTTGAAGACATCTGCAATGAAAAGGTGATGCAAACTTGGAAGAGAACTCCTTGCAGCAGATGGGTCACTATCATTGGCTGAGGTGATGACATACTTAGCCCATCCTCCCCGTCCATGGGATCGTCGAGGGCCAACAGGTGGGTGTACTGTTCTTCTTCGCTAACCAGGTCCAACTCCTTCAGTACGCTGGGATGGGCCTGGGAGAGAGGAGTTCACGATGTCAGTGGCTAAAGCTCACCAAAACTAGGAACCAAGAAATGCGACAGGGGATAGCTTGCACGAAAACTTACGCTGAACCCGTCTTTCCGGATAGCGAATATCACTTCAATCATGTACTGAACTCGTTTCTCCAGATTAACTTCGTGCAGGATGCTCCTAAGGCGCTCAAAGATGGCTGAAATCAAATTTACAAAATAGGTGTAATAAACTGAAATTCAATGGCACAACGATTCTCAGCCCCACAAGCACCCAGAGGCTGGTAACAGGTTCAAAAGAATAAGCTCACGTGGGTCTAGCCTAAAGTGCACCAAAATGCTTTAGAGCGTTATGATATGATAGTGTTGTATGCAAATTTATATTATATATTGAGGTATCAATAATATATAGGTTTCTATTCACCTTTTGTCCCACCAAACAGCTAATAAATACAGATACAAATATGACAAAACTATCAAATGCCTCAACACAATCACTACAGCTTCCACCAAATGCAGCAGCTAGCTCTCTCCCCCCCACCCCAGGAAGGTTGCTTGTGCTCCTCACCATGGATTCCCTTTGGAGTCAGTTCAGTCAGCTTCATGCCACACTCCTTGAGGAAGGCTATTGCCACCTCTACGGAGTCATCCGTTGGATTCCCCAAAAGCAATGTGAGAAGTTCCAGTGCCAAAACCTCGTGGGCCTGCAAAGAATAACATCAAGGGCATCTGTACGATCCCATCATGTCCTAACACAGAAGCTGGTTGATACATTCCTTGTTTATAAGTTTTCCAGGCTGTTACGTTCGCGAACGCCGTTCCCATAGAATTCCCAGAGCGACAAGTGCATTAATTTCCAATGGGTTGCGTTTGCCATCCCAGTTCTTATATCCAAAAACAGCCACCCGACACGGATGACGCAAAAACAGCCTGCTTCAGACAAGGCAATTTTCCCGGTAATTTGGGGGCTGCTGGCGAATTGTTTTCTATAATTCCCTAGGGCCCCACGCCGAGACTCGAATTGCTGGTATCGAGTCCAGCTCAAAACGGGCAAGCAACTCCAACCACTCGGAGACTTTTGAAGAGGCAGGCCAGTTATTACCGTCACCACCACAGGAGTGGTCATGCGACCACTCCTGTGGTGGTGACGGTAATAACTGGACAGGAGGTTTAACTTGATTTTGGTTTGAAATACCGTAATATACCGCTGAAGCACCCACTTCATTCAAGCACCCACTATAAACATCTCCCAAACTTGGGAATTGTGGGAAGCAACCGATCTGACCGGTCAAGCGCCCGTGTCTAGATTAACCAAGTTTTCAGTGAAAGAAGAGTGGGCGTTTCCCCGCTATTTTACGGTACATTGTTTTTGCAACTAAATGGTTTCAAGGAGATGAAATAGTATTCACAATGCCATGAAACGATAAAGAAACAGACTATTAACGTGTAAAACTTTCTGTCTAAATAGAGTAATACATTTAAAATTTTAATGATCCTGATAATAAAATGCAGCAATTCAAGCTTCACGAGTTGCTACGTGTGAACGCTGGAGGCCCATGTTCCTGGTGTTGTGACGTCAAGATGTTCGGGGAAAATTTCCCATCTGAAGAGGGCTTTAGGAGCTACATCGGCAACCGCCCTCACCTTCAGGCTTCAATCCCCCTCTTTTTCATCTCAGTGCCTCTCTGTGCTACCCTTTTTGCTTGCCCAGATGGGCACAACCTCGTCATTTTTTTTAATGCGATTATAAGATGACCACTTCTTTACACCCTTCCACCAAAAGACATTTTAACAAGTACAATAGTCCTCCACAGCCACGGAAGTCCACTCAAAATATATTGTGAGAGTTGTTTCCAGTCTTGTTGATAGCACCCCTCAAAACCATGATCGGTTTTTATGTATTTTTAGATCATACATTGTTTAACCGCAGTCCCCTCGAAAATATATGTGACCAACATTTCATGAAGGAATTAGCTGCTTCAGGGCCATACTTAGACTCAGCAAAACATCAACTACCAGTGTGAAGGTCCCAGGAGGTCTGTTTCCATGTTCTTCGCACCATCTATTATCCACTCACATTTTTTTTTAATGTTAGTGTTACATTTATTAATACCTGCAAGGCCCTAGGAGACCAGCCCACCTTATAAGACAAAATGACTCACCACTTGTTGATTCAGCAGGTGGGCAATGAACCGGACAGAGGCCATACAGCTGTTTTTGTCGTTACGCTGGAAGGCCCGCCGGAACTGGATCACTAGACGTTTGAGGATCATCTCCCCCGTCTGCGGAAACTGTTGTAACAGACAGACGAGATGTCAAATCTCCAGGTCAATTCGGCAGAGACGTTCGTTGCGAGGACTAAGAAGAATCTCACCTTGGTGTTGATGACAGAAATTATCGCCGCATAGACGTGCGTAAACGTGGGAGATGCAGCTTGCGCTGTCATAATCGTCCGACACAGGACACCTCTGCACAAAAGGAAATTCAGCCCATGGTGAAACAGTTTCTCTTCAAACATGCACGCCTTGGAGGGCATCCAAAGATTACGTTGCCCCTCACCCTGGCGTTCCAGGTATACCCGAGTCAATACCACCTCAAATGCAAGGACCCTCCCCACCAAACGTCATCATGAGTGGATCCACGCAGAGCCACCTAGATCGCGTCGGTATCGCCGCGTTGTGCGGTGTCTCTCAACGGGAGCGATGCCAGCACACGGCGACACCGAGACAGAGAAGTTTCTCGTTGAGCTTCAGCATGTTTGGTGCTTTGGGGTGGATCCACTACCGACGATGCCACGCACAGGCCTGGTCCTCTAGGTGGCCCCAGAGCCGTGTATGTAGACAGTTTGGTCATTAATTGGTAAGAAAAAGGCAAAAAGTAAGAATGCGTCATTGGCCGAAATTGTTTCAATGACCTTGGGCGCGATGATTGACAGCTTTTGCGACCAACCACTAGCCTCAAATATTCTCCGAGAAGAGGCAATGAGCTTAAGAGGGCATAGTACCTCCAAACACCATAGAGAATACATGTAGATTTTTTTATGTTTTCAAAAAATTCCTACATGACAACCGCTCTTTGTATTTGCTTGAAACGTTTACGATAAAGAGATTAATACTTAATTGGTGCATCGCTGCAGATCACATCTCTAAGTATTTAGTACATATTTTTTTTTTAATTGTGAAATCAACAAAATACTGTTGTTTTGACGCTTTTGGGTTTAACGTTTTACATAATTTTTAAAAAGACATTTGTGTTTGCAGCATTTTCTATAGAACTTAATACGGAATCGATGGGTATAAAAATAATTAGTGTAGGTTAATCCGTTTCAGAACTACAGCAATATTTACGAAAGCAAGTTTTTCAACTATTTTTTATATGTTTTGCATTTTGTTTTCCTCCCACTAGATGGCAATCTCCGTCCGCAAGGACTAATAAGGACTTCGCAAATTTTACAAAAAAAAATGCACCATCTGTGGGCAACGTTGCACAAAGTAGTAGCGCGATAGGTTAAGAAACCAAATTTTCCTTGCGATTTAAAGAGCCTGGCGTCTCCTTGTTTCACCCTGTAGAATCATGTCCCGTTTTCACTAGTTTCGAAATTGGCACCGAGCGAGTAGAAGCAGATCGATACTATGCCTACTCGTTACAAGTATATTTTACGAAAAATGAAAGCCGTTTACAACACTCTAAAGCGGTTTACAACAATCCAAAACTTTAGTACCCCCCCCCCCCCCCCCCCCCCCCCCCTTTTTTTCGATGGAATGTCCTGTTTTTTACCTTGAGGAATATGGTCACCCTACTCAAAAAATACACATACCAGCTTTTCGTTTCGGGTACGTCTTGAACTAATCTTTTTCACTATGCGAGCACAAATCGATGCAAGTACTGAAAGCAATTATGCAATTTTGACGTTTTTGTAATTTGGTAATTTAAATAACTGTATATATTTCCCTTTTTTTTTAAGAACGTAGACATTATAACCAAACAGGAACTTCTGTACTAAAACGTGCCGTGCGAATTGAAGACAAATACTTCTTTTTAATGTCCACAAAAAATAAGCTATGCAGCATCGATCATACCGTTTCCTTTTGCACATTACGTGATGTCCTGTAACGCGAAAGCACTGATGTAGAAGTGCTGTGGAGGCGACACGAAAAAATTAATTTTGAAGTGAACCAAGGGAAAGGAAAAAAAAATTGATGAATTTTTACGTTAAACATTTCACTTCAAAGTAGAACTTCAACCAAGTGACGGTTATGCACTATCATGCCCATTTCAACAAAGTTGGGAGAACGATATATTGCGTCTTGTGAATACACATGTGGAGCAGCATGTTTATGTTACAAGCATTGTGTGTAATTGTTGCGTAGTACCTGCTAAAATAAGATATTATTTGAGCACAGTCTCAAACGTTTCCGCCTACGTGTGCTATGAATACAGCAACTCTGTTCATAGAAGAAGTGATGAGAAAATGGCGTGACGTTGATGATACGATTGTGATTATGAAGTAAAACGTTCAATCAACCAATAATTGCGACCTGTCCGGTTGCCTCGGACCCCGACAACTATATCTTTTCTGGAAGGTCCATTCTAATATTTATATGTTTTGTGGAGCTCATCAAGCAAATAAAAATTTTCCAACAATGAGTTGAACCTACATGAGTTCCCAAATCCAACACAGTGCTTTTGAATTTTAGCACAGTAGATAGTTCTGCGAACAGTGTGCACTTCTGTGCAAGTATTCCTTTAACAGTTTTGCAAAATTGAAGATCATCTGGATTACTCAGAATCACTGCGGTGTTGATACTCGGGGAAGATCAGACGGGGACTTTGGCACTGGGGGTAACGGACCGTGGCATTTGAGACGGGGGACCTGCCGCAGGACAAACGTGCTGCAATCGCATACCCTTTCAAGGTCATCGCTTGGAAGAGTGCAGGCGTCCAAAAACCTGTTTTTCTTCTTGTATTTTTTTTTTTTTTAGGGGGGAGGGAAGGGGGGAGGGAGAGGCACTGACTGTCTTCTTCTTTTGAGGCTTTTGACAGAAGCACAAGGAGAGACTGGCAGAACAAGCCCACGATTCAGTTCTCTCAATGGATGCGTCCTGCCTATGTATGCATACTTATTTCTTTTTTTTTCCTTTTAGTAGTTGGTGGTTCTTGCCGTGACTCGGGTGTCAGTGGGTGCGTTTCGTTAAATGCATACTAACTTTTTTTATTTTTTTTTTATGGTAGTTTATGTGTTTATAAAGTATCAAGGTAAACAAAAAAAAAATTGTGCTTTGATAGAAAAAAAAAAAAGAAAAGGAGAAACTTCCTCTGCCCAACAACAACGTCGCACAACACCGTTCGGGGGTTCTATTTCACACAGCTGATAATGCAGGTTTTTTCACTTCGATACTAGCCCCCATCTAGATAGAAGTCTCGCGCTCAACCACTTAACGAGCCGCGCATTATCTGGTGTCTGAAACAGATGAATAGATACAGGTACTGCGCCCTCTTAACAAATACCCTCCAATCACAATTTCTAGGTAAGGATTTATACAAGTATTAAATTTCAGCACGCTAGGGTTGAAATTTGCAACTCTTCGTTACTGAAAGGGCAACGTATGTAACGTTGTCGCCATGGCAACCTTCAGAATGTACTCAGTTTCTTTTGACTGCATTCGTGACCACGAAGGAATGGACAGTAAAAACTATGAATTTGGCTCCGTGGAACTTTTGACCTCCTTCCTTCGCTTCCTTCCTTCACCCCCCCCCCCCCCCCCCCCCAACCCCATTTGTGCACCCTACATTCGCAGTGTTGCCTCATGTTTCAGGAAATATTTCTCATCAATGACGCCTTTCGTGGCTCAGTAAACACACTGCACCTTAAAACTCTCCTGTTACAAAAACCTCTTACAATTATACATTCATGTGCTTGCAGCCTCATCCAGAAACAAAAAATACCTGCACCACGCTATGCGAATCCAGCGCATTCTTACTTTGCAAGTTAATCACGGGAGGAATATGCGGCGCTGGCGGTGCCGCCGCTTTCTCCGCTCCACCCCGGCTTCCACCGGCTCCTCCCATTGACCCGACTCTCTCTATACACGGCTCTGGGTGGCCCGAGCCAGAGTTAAATCAAACCAAATCCGCTCGCACAGAACCACCCCAGACCTTACCTTCCGCGGACAATGTTCTCGTGCAGCAGCTCTTCTATGATGATCTTTATGTTGCCTGTGTTGGCCTTGTTCACCAGACCGTTGATGCTCTTCTTCAGTGCTTCCCAGGCAATGCGCTGGTAGGCCATACTGCACAAAACGAAAGCCTTGTTTTATTTGCATGGTATAAAAGCATGATGAGCTGAAAAATTTAGTAACTGAAGCATGTTTTAACTGCAGTATGTAATGAAAAAAAGAAAAAAGAAGAATTAATGCACCGCAAAAATGATAGCTGAAAAGCTGAGAACCTACCACCTCGTGGAGAATGCTTGTACTAGCAGAAGCTCTGAAGAGCAGACTATAGTTTCTGTTCAGATTGGAAGCTTGTTGCTCCTTATGCGTGTTAGCTTGTCTGGTCAATTGCACCATTTTAAAGCTGATTTGCACACAAAGGTGTCCTTGGAAGATTTCATTTGGAAGAAAATGTTTAAGTGGGCAGGGAGTGTTCACTGATCAATTCAATGTGGTCTGGGATAATACACCCCATGACTAGCTTTACGCTGAACTCCAAACAGTGACAGTTAACTGCCATCTCACGAATGCAGATAGACTTCAAAAGCCTGCCCTTATAAATGTTTTGGTTTGAGGGCTTCTGTGTCAAATTAGTAACCTTACAATCAATTTCGCATTAACAAAAATCTGAATAGTTAATCTTTAAAATAACTAACAAAGAAGGAATAAAAGACACGGTTATTTATGAGCTATATTATTTAAGGGGAATGGAAGGGAAGGGGGAGGGGGGGGGAACTGTTGGACGACATTTCTACGACAATCAGTTTGGGTCTAGGTATGCGATGTCCAAAGGAAACCTAATAGCATTCTCTTTTATTAGTTCTGCTTTGGACCCTTCTCAGAAAAGGACTTGCGTAAGTCTTTCCTGAAAAGAGTTCTGTGCCTGTGCAAGCTGCCCACATGTACTTTGGTGAAAATGTTTTTGTTTTTTTCTAAAGAGTATCCTCTTCAAAACAGTCCAGGAAAAAAATCTGTTAAAATGTGTACAAGTTCACAAGATGTGATTTTCCCGTGCCGCATCGCTCAAGCAATATAGCTCTGTCACCTCAAGTATAAAAGATTGGAGAAACCTGACCAGTTTTACCCCCTTTTGTCACGGCAATGCTGTGGGTAGCAATTTCACCTTGTGTTATGAAATCACCATGTGTGTTAGGGCATGGTACAAACCCAGATAAGGCAGTCATATACTTTCATACCCAGAGCAAATTCTGCAACAAATTCAAAAGGTTTTATAGGTTGAACTCCCAGATCTGAAAAGCTTAGGCACAAACTACGGTAATAAAATATTTCAAAAAAGTGATTCACTGGAACTTGTGGCAGGTCGTTCCGAAGCCGGAGGTCTGCAATAAAATGTGTTGCACTACACTTTTTTTCACCTCAAGAAAAAAGGAAGTTTTGCGCATTGTCGATATGCTGCGCGAAGTAGTTCTTACAAGATTTGGTTGTAGTAGAAAGAAGTGATGCCTTTGGCATTTGAAACTTGGCAAGGTAACACATATCCAATCTAAGATGCACCTACATATACCTTAAATCTCTACATAAAGGGAAATTAGTAATGCTCCGTGAAGAACCACTTTTTTTACAACGGTTCTTGAAGTGAAAACGAGTGTGCGGAGAGCAAGTCATCTGCTTCTTGCGCAGGGGTTGCGGTGAGGTCAGAACGACGCCGAGATCCGATTGGCTCTGATTGGAAGGGTAGTGGGTAGAGCTCAATACTAGATGCCTTGAGGTTTACTCGCTATTTTTTTCAATGAGCCAATAAGAGCTTGGCGTTCTGACATCGTCGCAACCCCCGTGCAAGAAGCAGACGAATTTGCGCTCCGCATAGCAGCAACTACTTTAATCTACTGAGGCTCTTACTGCCTCGCGCAGAAAGGCATTGCTGCATTTTAGAAAGGCCGTAATGCTGCTTAGGAGTCTTTCATAAAATACAGAAAAGACTGTCACAAGACTAACTTCCTTGTCTGCCTTGCATTTCTCCCAGAAGAAGCAAAAACCGCCCTTCCCATGGAATTGTACCCACCTCGATTTGTCTGTGATCTGTTCCTGCATCATGCGGAGCCGGGCTGGTGGAATGTAGGCACCGCCCGTGCGGCTAGTGATCACATCTTTCTTTCGTGCCGGCTCTTCTGCCGGAGGGCTCCGACGAGACCTCCGAGTACTTCCATCGACTCGCTCCATGTCCTCTCTCCTGTCGCGGTCAGGGTCCCTGTCACGCCTACGATGGTGGTCTTCTGCCCTCTGTCGATCATGGTCATCTTCCCTCCGCCGATCGTGGTCATCCTCCCTCCGCCGATCGTAGTCGTCTTCCCTTCGCCGGTCATGGTCATCTTCCCTCCGCCGGTCGTGGTCGTCTTCCCTCCGCCGATCATGGTCTGCGTCACGCCTCCGGTTGTGGTCAGACTCCCTCCTGTACTCAGGCTCCTGCTTGTCATCTCTCTTGCGGTCATGGTCAAGTTCTCGCCTCCTGTCGGACTCCCGCTTCTTGGAGTGGTCTGGATCTCTCGGTGGGCTGCATACAGACCATTGATGATACTCAAAATGGCTTGCACAGATCTGAGTGTGGCTACAGGAACTATGACTGTGAATTATTAGATGGTAACAATTCGACTGCAACTTTCCCCATGATTACCAGAAGGACCGAAAGCGCGCGAAATGTGAAGTCTTTGGTCCTGGGCTTACTACTGGTCAGAGCCGCTAAAGGCTTCTTTCTAGTCAAAATACAAAATATAAGTGGCGCAAACCGTTTCAATTATTTATAAAAGCAGTTTTTGTTCACTATTTTAGATCAGAAAAGAAACAAATGCAGTTTATGAAGTATGGAAACAAAAAATGACCTGTCGACGTACTCGCCACCAAGCGGTGGAAAAGTCGGCGCATACCAGAAAGGAGTATTGGGATCAGGCGCCGACACGGAAAGGTCTCGGATGTACGCTGCGGTCGTATCGACTGGAGGATCCGACCGGTTCCGAGCGTTCCGAAGGCCTTCGGCGAGCAGCTTTGTCTTGCGGTTTGGCCGTTTCGCGGTATGGCAGCTCGAAGTGGCTCCCATTCTGAACTGATCTTTACCCCGTGTTTGCTGTCATTTGTGGCCAATGAAGCGTCATGCCGAATTACTGTTTAATTGCGCAGCAAATGCAATGAGAGCCTCTGGCTGCCCGCTGCATACAGCCTATCCAGAACATGCTTTAGTGGCACCCTCTCGCGCCGTCGACACTGAGTGTGGCAGCCGTGAGCGCTCGCTGAGCTCACTACCCCTCCTCTAGTTCACGGCCACTCAAGCAACCGAGGACGTCATGAAGGAGGTTATTTTTTGCTTGTTTTTGTAATCTTAATTTGCCCATAACTTTTTAAAATAAAGCAAAATTCGAGAAAAGTGTTACTACGTTCAGTGCAATCAGGTTCGGTGCAAATTAAAAAAAAAAAAAAAAGTAAAAAGTTCTCGCAGGGTTAAATTGTGTGGACGACTTATGCTGCATTGCCCTTTAATAGGTAACAAATTCACCATTATATATATATATATATATATATATATATATATATATATATATATATAGATATATATGCCAGACTAGCAATTTAATTTCCCACAAGGTTAAACTTCAAAACTCTCAACCGTAGCGGCCTACATCCGCAGAGTTCAGTGTATCAACAGAAACGACCATCAGTATTACGCGCACGTTCGTACCGTATAGTTCACACGATTCAAATTCAGTACTCGTTGGTGAATTACTATGATCAAATTAACAAATGCGTAAGAAACCGGGGAAAAAAAAAAGAACCCCGAACGCACGCTCAACGTTCACTATGCTTTCAAATAAAGTTCTACCAAAGCTGGTTCTATCCCGCTACTGCTCACATCTACGACGTGCTTTACACACGAGGTAGTCCTTCACAAAAATTGCGCTAGACCAAACCACAGTAGACCAAACTAAACAGAAACAGATCGAACTTTAACGCACATTTCCAACACAACAGATTGCTTTTTGCAAACGACGCCGACAGCCCACTCAAAACACGTGCTTAAATCGGACGTGTCAAACGTATCTAAACTGAATCGGGTTGTTTCGATCGACAAGTCACCTCGTCGTGTCAGACTCCAAATGAAAACACGAAATTTCCATAATTACGTAGTTGCCGAACCCGCGTACAAAAATCACAATGACATCGTAGGTATCCTCCTCGTACCAGATACAGGTATTCGTTCAATAACAGCAACTGGGCTTCAGCAGATAAAATGAACTCCACGGCTCTTTAAAAAAAGCTAAGCAATTTCAACAACGCAAAAGAAATTTAAAAAAAGAAAAAAGGGGATAGAATACCTTTCAGACATTCCTGTTTACACGGGGAACTTATCAGAACGTTCCGTGCGAGCGGTAGAACGAGGTTGACGAGTCGCCGAGTCGCTGCGACCATAAACGCTATAAAGGCTTAGGAGGGAAGTGGCGCCCCCTGCCAGGAGCTACGATGTAGTGTGCAGCTCGGAGACGTCCACTCATCAGTGGGGACGTTCGCTAAAAGATCGACCCGTACGCAAAGCTTAAAAGGCGCAAATGCCAGAATTTGGGTAATAATATTCATACTCCTGTGGAATTTCGAACAATTTCGGTTAGTACCAGACGCAGTCAAACGACATTTTGGCGGTTGTTTGCCCGGTTTGCCCGTACTCCCGACGTCATGTAAAAAATTGGTCAAAGAAATTTAAATAAAAATAAAGAAAAAAAAACTAATAGTAATAATCAAAATTGGTCAAATAAATTTGAAAAATAAACAAAAAAAAAAGAATAATAGTAATAATCGCATGTCGCGAGAGAAGTCAAGAAACCACATAAAATAAATCTTTATAAAAATCCTCAAATACTCAGCATATTACTGCTTAGGATACAAAGAGAGAAAAAGGAATGTGAAATAATGAATAGAGGTTCTTGAATTTGTGGCAGCACACTAAAATTAATAAGATGTTCTGACCACTTGTGACCAACTGATGAAGTGAAATTTATACACATGTGCTCACCCTTGTTTTGTACGTTTGTGCCAGGGGTGCAGTATGCGCATCCCCAAGTTTTTTTTGTTTTTTTGTGAAGTTGGTTCTGACAAAGTGACCTCAGAATATTTCTGCTTAGGATTCAGAGGAAAGCAACTCGACAATTTCTATAGGGTCTTGAATTTGCAATAGCGGACTGAAGCTCATAGCAAAATGATTTATTAAAATCACATGCCTTGATCACCGGTGACCATTTACAAGTTATAACTGATTAGGTGCAAATTTATGCTCATATGCTCACCCCTTCGCGGCGTCTTTCGAAGATCTGTTGCGATGGCACTCTAACACTTTGGAATCCGTGACTTCAGTCCCCTTGCTAGCAGTGCATGAAGCATGATGAGTTTCTGTTTGAAAAAAATTCAAACTTAGCTTTAATAGATGCCTTGCAAACATTGCTTAACCAAACATATGCTCCCCAGTTAAAATTAACTGGATTAATGTCAATGTGACTAGACATCATTTGTTTTGTGGTGGCACAAGACAAAATTTACAAAAGTTTTCAGGTTTATGCATCTTTTAATGTATGAAAATATTACAAATATTACACAAAAACAAACATTACTAAACATGTAGTAGGTTTACCACATTTTTCAATGTGGCCTCCAGAATTCCTGCACTTTAAAACTTCATTACACTACTCATTCATGGTCCTCAATTCGGGTTAAAGCAGATGGCTGCACAATAATTTTACCAATGGGTTGCGGGAGTGTGTAGGTAAACCCTGACATAATGTAGAATGTTATTACAATGGCAAAGAGATTACTTTGAAGTATTGAAATTTTAAGAAATAAATCGGAGAACCAATGTCACTGCTTCAATTCAAAGCATTTAAGATAGTAATTGGCCCAAGATGTTACCCTAAAGCTAAATCGATAATAACTAGAGCTTACTGATTTCAGCTTACATTTTCTTAGCAATATGGAGATAAAAATGTACTTTTCCTCACAGAAAAGTAAAGACCACGGAGTTCACTTCTCACTATTTTGACTTTCGGTTACAAGGATACATGACGGAAGGCAGTGTCCCCCAAAAAATTGCATGGTAACAAACATCAAAACCAAGCATGAAGGTAATCGAAGACGTAAGGAAGAACTTGAAAGTAGCCTCCTGGAAACCTCAAAGTGACAGTCAACATTTTGTTAAGAGACAGCTCCTTCAGAGGAAGTCTCAGAAAAACCTAAAGTCATCTCTTTGTGAAACGTCACCTGCCACTCTGAATCTCTAAGGAGATTCTTTTCTAGGTCATAAATATGTTATACAAAAATTATGCTACGTCACAGTGGAACAATATTTCTAAACAATAAATGTAATAAATCTTGTTTTAAAAAGCCTCTTAAAGTATATGGTTTTAAGGACTATTCCTCATATGCCATACTTCTAACATTAGGTACTATAGTCCGTTGCAACTCAAGAAGGTGGGGCAAGGGTAAGGATGGCCGGGGAGGAGGGAGCAGACGGAGCGCTGGAGAAGAGAGGGGGAAACCTCCTTCTCTCTTCAGTGTTTTGTGTCCTTCCTCCTCCCCAGGCATCCTTACCCTCGCCCTACCTTCGAGTTGCAAAGAACTAGAGTGAGAGTGAAAGCGGCACATTTGCCCCCCAGTTAAATATCCTTCAAATAATAATTTTTTTTCTTGCTTTCAGATAGCCTTTGTTTGCTTGATGGTGGCATACTTTTTTTTACTATTCCACTTGCGAGCTGTTGCCACATTTCTCATCATGGCAAGTTTCCCTTGCATAATTATATGGCAAGTTTCCCTTGCATAATTATAAGTCTAAAAATTATACTAAGTGCCACATTTTTTATCATGGCAAGTTCCTCTTGCATAATTATAAGTTCAAAAATTATACAAAGTACAAGAGGCCTCAAATATCACTCTTTGTTTCAGAAAATCTGCAGTTTGTGCAGGTTTTGAACAGTACATCCTTTTGGAATGTCATGCCTTCACTGCTCCTTATTTACTGTGTGATGATCTGTTTTAGGCATAAGCAGCACCAATTCAGTATCGGATATAATAAAGACGCTGACACAAAGAGTGGTACCCGACATCATCACACAACCCAATGTCTTTTTTTTTTTTTTTTTTTTTTGTGAAGTGAGTGAAATTGGATTTAACCTTATTCAACCTAAGTTTTCACCATGATTTTGGAGGTGTAACTATGAAGAGGAAATTAGGTTTATCTCAAGAACACAGGGCCCTAGCTATAGCTGCTGTCAACAATGCAGCCTAGAACTTCACCTTTGACTAGTTCAGTGTGCTTCGTAGCCACCTTATGGCTGGATGCCGATGCCTTCTTGGAACCCTTGGCAAGCTTCGGTGGATCTTCAGCAGTCACCTTCACAGGCTGCTCAGTTTCAGCACAACTGGCATCTGATGCCAAGTCCATTGTGTCCTCGAGCTCTGCCTTTGTCTTTTCAACCCGAGACACAAAGCTGGCACCCACAGTTGAAAGCATAGAGCCCTTCAGAGGGCTCTTGATCTCCCCTTCTTCAGTACTATCACTGTGGACACTTTCAGAGTCTTGGCCACGATACAGAATCACCACTTCACGTCGTCCTCGCTCACGATCCCGCATCCGTTCTTCTGCATACCTGCCATCAGGTCAAAAGAAAAACCGTTTGTGTTTGATCCTGTTTTTGACACAAGCTTCTCTCAGTGGTTTAAATACCAAGTGTGCAATGCCACGCCTTTTAGGTTTCCCTTAAAATAATAATCAAATGAAGCACATACACCTTTGCAAGTCCGATCTCACGGCGCCACCATGTTGCCCAGTGGGGTGCACCTGGGCGCGGCCATAATCCCATTATGACGCCTTAGCAAGGCTTCGTAATCGGATTAGGACGTGTCCAAGCGCACCCCAGCGAGCAAGATGGCAGTGCCCTGAAGCCGGACTTGCAAACGTGTATAAGAGAATGTATAAACTCAGCTCAAGCAAGGATCCAGTTCCACCTACATGGCCATAATTTTCTTATGATTTGGGGCGGACAGTTGTTCAGCACAAAACATAAAACAGAGCTTTTCTTGATGGCCAGAACAAAAAAAAAAAAAAAGAGGGGGGGGAGAATGGAAACCTGTTTAAGACACACAGTTCAACAATTTTACATTGAGAAATCTCTAAAAGTAACTCCATCATTTTGTTAAGAAAGGGTTCAACTAAATTATTATGCTGATGTGTGCCTAGCAGTGAAGAGGTGAAACATACCTGTCCAAGCAAAAGGCAAGAGTATACATCTTTAACTTGTAGCACCATTTCAATCTACACAAACTGAAGTAGTGTAGTTGCCCTTTGACGTGTGCAATAATTGCACCCTTCTGCGGCGCCACAAGGCAACAAGCTTGTGCGTCTGGTGACTTTAAGCTCTTTCTAACCCACAAAAGTGCGTGAAAAACTTTCAGAATGAGATCAAAACCATCTGAACAGCCTTTTAATGTGATGGATTTATTTATAAAGCCACCTACACCACCCATCGAACATAACTGTAATGCCTGCAAGGCCAGAAACCTATGAATGCACATTTTTCTGAAGCTCATTAGCACATCCAGCTTGAACTATTGCCTAGAAAAGATCGGCAGGATGTTTCTGTGCAGCCATTCGAAGCCCGAACCGTGACAGTGAACAATAGAGCACACACTATTACTCGCTAAACATGTAGCTTGTCAGCTTCATACTGTGTTTTGTCCCAGATTGGCTCTGAAAAGGTCTCACCGGAGATCCCGTTCTCTCGTGGCCGAATCCCGCGAGTCAACGCTCCTCTCCCGGGACTCAACACTCCTTTCCCGCGATCGCCGGATGTCCCAGAAGGGGTGCTCCCACTGCTGAGACCTGGACAATGCATCCGGCAACTTGCTAGTGCCCGCTTCCTCAGGCAAGGGACTCTCGGTTTCTCTACAAACACCACCAGCATCCACAGGTGTCACGTCCAAGGGAGCCACATCATCTGCCATACTTGATGGGTCAGCACTATCTTGTTAAGGCCCTCAGTAAGTACCTGTGGAAATAAATTGCTGCCATGAATATTGCAGCTGCCTGTACAGTGGCCTGCAATATGGGTTAGAATGCGCGAACGGCGATCAGGTAGTACAGACTACGCAGCCTAGAGGACAGTAAGTGAAGGAAGAAAGCAGCAGTGACGACGTTCAACTTTGTTGATACACCCCTCGCACAATATTTCTCCCCCCTCTGTTGAGCGCATGATAGTGTTTGTATTGTGTGGTCTGTACTGCCTGGCTGCCATTTGTGTGTTCCAGCTCATATTGCAGGCCATGGTAAGTTGTGAAGAACAGCACACTTGGAAACATACCTTGACACCATGACATGGAAACTTTTAAAAATACTCCTTAAAAGTAAAAAAAATTAAAAAAATACAAAAGCATGTTGACCTGTTAATTAAGAGCCTTATATAAACGGCTTGCAGATTATCCCCTTCCACTTGCCATCATTGGCCATTCTTACTTGCTTGCTTGTTCATAGCTTGTTTGAGGCAATGATTACTATGGGGCCAAAATGAATATTGGGGGCATCGTGCCACATGAATGAAACAATGTCCCTGCAACTGGTGTTTGGTTAATAAGTAGGGTCAAAGAAATGAATACAGCCACATTAGAATCAAGTCTGGATATATTTTTTATCTTCCCATTTATCTTGTGCAAATGAGATAGATGCTGCCAGAAAGCAAATTTGCTACTGGAAAGTAGAAAATACTTTCCATACACACTTGCAAATTGAATACGTAAACGTTTAGTTCTCCAATCGATTACATGCAAGATGGGGAAAAGTAGTAATACGTAAGCGTTCGTAAAAAAAGAAAAAAGTAACCCACGAAAACCAGCTAAAAACCGTGCTTACATAACTTTTCAACATACAAGTGTTCTTTTCGTGTTTTTTTTTTTTCTCCCCTCCTAGAGTGGCTTTTTTTCCTAGGAATGCATTCAAACATGTGAACCACCCAAAACACGAATAATGGCATGCACATGAAATCTGAATCAACGGGCGAAAGGGTTGTCGATCACATCAAACGCACGAGGGCTCCGGGAGATGCATTCAACATTTTCCTCTGTGGTTCAGTCAGAAGTGCAATTAAACCAGACTATTACCTTACAGACATCCTCCTCCAGTGCTCGTAGAATTTAGAATACAGTCGCGCGCGACACACGATCGAATGGAACCGAGAGCGTTCCCAAAAGTCCGGCGTGGCGAGAAACTAGTGAAACGGCAAAACCAGCTAAACCGATCTGACCGATCAGCCAACACGAGCCAACACGCTACCAACCACCTCGTTGCTACCAACGCACAAACTTACTGAAAAAAACCGAAAAAACCTACTTCGTTGAAAAAAACACACGCATGAAGAGGCAAAAACAAATTATAACTGGATAAATCTTCATTCTCCAGTGAATTGGACTCTCGGTCGCGTCCTCTAGTAACTTGGCTATTTGTTTTTATAGGTATTAGGCTAGGTAGCGCAAGCTACCCCCCACCCGCCCTCCACTGTGAACGGCTCTTCTGCGGCTCTCTGGCGGCTCTCAGGCGGTTCTTGTGAGGCTCTATTCAACCATTCGTTTATGACGTCAGATATCACATGACGTTTTTCTTAAGGCTTTCTTGGCTTTCTTCTGACTGGCTTGCGGCCGTGCTGGCCGTGCGGCGTCGCGGTGTTTCCGTATTTCTCGGATGCGTGTGCCGCATCTGTCGAGGGCTGTAGACAAGTTGACAAACGTAAATACATTTCTTTGTCTCGTTTTGCGGGTTTTGAGTGGTTGCACCAGTTTGAAGTGCCGTGATCATCAGTCCATTTACGTGTCAAAATTTCGTATGTATGTAGTCTGCGCGAAAACCGAGCTCTACAAAGGTTTTGCCGGGCATGGGGAGAACGTTCCCCGCGTGCACTTCGTACCACGAATAATATGCGCTGCCCCCAATTTTATCACGGTTACTTTCGAGTTTCGAATTTTAAATGTATCTCATGAAGCTACATTGTAAGAATCGACTGATCAGCGATCGCGACCACTGTGATTACAGAACACTCCAACATAGAGATCCGAGGGTGACCCAGGCGTTGAGTATTTCCAGAACCCGCAAACACGCGTATTTTTTTGTTTTTATGTGTGTGTGTGTGGCGGGGGTTCTAGCTCTCGGTCACGTTTTCGCAAAATTGAGAAATGACCTCCATCTCTTGCGGAGCGCTGGAGTAGGTAGTAACCATGGAATAATGTTCTTGGTTAACTTTAACGGTTCTAGCACTTTTTTCTCGCAGGTTAGCTGCAGTAGAGATGCCTCCACACTAGTGCCGCTTTCATGAACAAGTCAGCCAGGTCCTTTCAAAGTAAGTTCACATGGTGCATCAAAGACAACCTTGTTCAGTGGGAGAGATGGCAGAGCTTGCATGATTGAAAGCATTAATTTACTCAAGGTGTGGGGCTCTTTGTTCCATCAGGTGACAAGCAATGGATGTGAGCAAAGTGAGTCCGGAATGGAGGAAACGAGTCCGTTCTGAGTACATGAGGCTACGGCAGATAAAGCGATTTAAACGCCACGATGAAGTGATGGTGAGTGTTACTTCTTTTGTTGATCCCGTGGGAGGAATAGCTATTGCTACTGCTGTTTCCTTCCTCAGGCAGCATACATGACGAACAGACGATTCATCATCGAGACAGCTGCACTCTTGCAAAAACAACAGACAGACACCAAGGCGGTGGCTGTGTTTCCCACTGACGTCCCTCTTCACCTCCCCGTCATGAAGAAGGTAATGTTATCTGATGGCCAGAAGTTTCTTCTGTGGTTATTACTGCAACAGCTCGACAATTGTTAAGATTGTCAAGCATCTCGATATGGTTACATATCGTTCTGCATCATAACTAGAGCTTGGTGTTTTCATTTTGTTTTTTGTTAGGTACATATTATGTGGATGAAATTTAGTTGCTTGTTTTCGGTTTGGCGTGCAGTCTCTCCATTCAACCCCAAGACAGCATCCTTTTTTCCCTGTTTTCCTATTTGTGAGCATTTGTTGACGAGATGTATAGGCCAGATGAAAGAGTGATGTATGCAAGTGACTAGGACTAAGTGTAACGTCAAGATGAATAAAAGAACGAGCATTTTAATTTTTGTAAGTAATATGTACAACATATCTAAGATAAAGAAATAAGTACGGACAAGTGTATGTGTACATGATATTGACAGGACCTATCAAGCCAGTCTTCATATATGATGGAACCTTGAATTTGATTGGCTACCTATCGTAAGATCCCGAGAGATAGCCCACCTAAAACCGAGAGGGCATTGAATGACAATAAGGAGTGGGCTAAAGGCCCGTTCACTCTTGCAACCGAGTACGACGGAGAGAGACGAGATTTGTTAAAACTTCTTAAAATTTTTTCGGATGTGGGAACACACTGGCATTCTGGTGCCATCCATACGGTGACCCAGGAACTGCATTTCACAAGAGCGAAGGTTTTGCGGGATTTCCGAAGTCAAATGTGCGTAATACCAATGAGAAAGGCTTGTTTATAACGATGACAAAAGTTTTTCGAGCCAAGAAAGAAAGGATAATGTGCGAGAGAAATAGAAAATATGTGGGACCACCAAGTTTACACTGCTACCCAATAGATGGCGCCAGTCTGTCCTCTCGTAAGAGGTTAAGGAACCCAGTTTTAAGAGATCTCAAGAGTGTGAACGGGCCTTAACTTTCAGTGTGCAATCAAGAAAAGTTTAAACGAAATTATATTGTTAGATCATGTCTGTCTGTCAAACTTGTTATCGTGGAGAGGGGCAATAAAGCAAAGATGACTGTACTCCCCAGTCAGCAAGGTTCGCTTATATCTCTCGTGCCATAGCTAATCAGACCCATTTACGCCAAGGTCATCATTGATCCGAACACTACAATTACTAGGAGTGGGCTATCTTTCAGTGTGCAGAAGAAAGTAGCAAATTAAGCCAAAAATAGGGGTGGGTTACTTTTCGGGAGTTTCGGGATTTTATGGTAGATCACAATTAGTAGAGCTGATTCTGATTAAACATATTCGCGACTCCAGCGACCTATAAGGGGCTCCACCACCGAACAAATATGGCGGCTGGGAACAGGTCGCATCGGCTCGGCCGGGCTGCCTAAACGGTTGGTGCGTTCAAGTTAACAGATTTTCTTTCGTTTAATGCCCAATTTTATGGGTATTTGAACTGTGACGGTTAAAGGGGCGATGCAACAATTTTTGCACTTTGCGCAAATACCGCTTAAAACGGATCCCTGACGTTATATGAAACACGCGTTTGTTTTTCACCCCACGCAATAGAAGTTCCAGAAAAAAAAATTAAAGAAAAACGAGCACCGTTCATCCCCTCGACTCGCAGTCAGAACAAGCGACCACGTGATCTGGAGCCGATTATATGCCGCCAATGTTGATCATAGCCACGCGCTGGGGTTGGCAAAGCACAGGACACGCGCTGAGTTCCAGACATTGTTATGGCTCGGCTATTGTCGTCGTTGCAGCGATTGGACACGGGCCACTACTTGAATGCATGTCAAGGCATCGATTGTCACGAGCCCAGATTGAATGCGTACGCACTCTTTGCGCCCACTGTGTGAGCAGCATTTGAATATCGTTACCGCAGAGCTCGATGACGCATTCCCGGGGATCGTACTGTTGCCATTGTCCCCTCAGCTCCATCATCAAATTTCGCGAAGGAGCAAAAGGTGGCTTTGGAAGGAGAGACTGAAAGAACCTCCGCTTTCATCCTTTGAATTCCGCCGTGACGAAGACACTTCTTGGTCAGTGGTGTTGTGTTCGAGTATTCTTGAGTCCCACTAGTGCCAGGAAGCTGGTGTAAAGTAAGAAACATTCCTACCCAATGTCGTTGCACAGCCCCTTTAAGTGCAGCCGGTGCACATAAACCTGCAGAGCATAGTTTTGTTTTCCCGGTGCCTTTTTGTTCTTTTCATGTCAAACTTCTGTTTCGGAGATTTCATTCAAAACTGAAACTATGGGCTCCGGAGAGACGGTAATAGACTCTAATCGGTTTTGATCAGCTAAGGAAAGTGGCAATGACTACAGAATTGTTCCACCGAGAGTAATTTTCAGCCAACTCGCATGCCTCGACCATGCGACTTACCTGTTCGCGAAATTGAGCTTTTGTGCATATCCGTGTTTAAGAAACAGCTCCAGTCGTCTGCTCGGTCAACAACACGGGCTGCAGGAAAATTGCGAAAATTAAGCAAGCGCTTCTTGAGCCAAGGAGCATGTTAACCCGCTGGCGCCCCACTAAGCAGCTGATACTCGTATTTCAATTCAGGTTTTAGTAGCAATCGAGAAGTCATTTTGACGAATATCCGGGTCAGGTATTATATTATGTACTATGTCCCACTAAAACGATATTAGTATATTCTTTGGGTTGAAATATGAGCTTAGTTGACTCACTATTAGGTGAACTGCTGAATAAAAGTATATTTGACAGAGAGATACTACTTACACTCAGCGTAATGGTTTTAGCCGGCAGCACGGAGACGAATGCGGACAAACTGAAGAGAGTCTTTATCGGAGATTCACGCAGAACCTCTCTGCATTGAACTTGACTTCGAATCCTGAACGGAGAAGTTGAGTATTTTTTGTGGCCGGACAACCTGAGTAATGTAGACGTATATTGCTGCTGGCTTCGACGGGGGTATGATGTAAATATTGGAAGTGGGATAGCTCATAATGTTGTAACAGCTTCTAACCTGCAAGACGCTCCCCCCACCTTTTGAAAGCAGACAATTTCCCTCATTAATCGTGTGCAGCAAGCAGGTTTTCCGGAATCAAGTAATTGCGAAATCAGCCCATCTCCTTCAGTGTGGTCCAGAGACTTTTTCGGCGAAAAGTAGCCAAGATGAATAGCCAATGCACTGACCCCCGTGGGTGGCACAACCTTGAAGCTAATCGAACACAACCAAACTCGAGAAAAGCAGCTATCGAACCTTCCCATTTACTTGACTGCAACATTGGTGTTCCCTCCAGTGAAACACCTCGTCTGTCGTCCTCAGTCCACCGTTATACATCCTTATAAAGAAACCACTTATCAGTTACCAAGTAGTCGTCACTTTGAATGTGATTCGAGACAAACAAGAAATCAAAACGTTTTTCCACGATTCCTTTCCATCCTAGAAATCGAAAGCATTTGACTGTGTGTTGTGGAGTAAACGGGCTTTCAAACACGTGATGGAAGGAAACAATCTACTCAGACTTGACCACACTAATGAACGCTCAGGCAAACTTAAGAAATATTCGGACCTTCGTTAAATTACATTGTTCGCCACCGTGCCGACAACACTTGTCCGTGAAAGCCGCCAGAGACCCGGTGAGGCGCAAAGCGACCTTTTACGGCTGGTTCCCAATTTTCCCGCTTGGTGGCATCCGTTTCGCTGGAGTCGCGCATACAGTCGAGCCCGGGTATGTCATACCCGGGTATTTCAAATTATTGTTTATATCGAACAGTCCAAACATCCCCTTTTTGTATCAAACTCCCTTGGCGGGGACACTCAATATGGCGAACAAAGCACTGCCAGCCCCCCAATGATTCTCCCGCAGTCGTATTGCGCCAGCTGCGAGCACATAGCTCGCGTTGCGGGGCTGGCAGACCGCCAAGCCAGCGTACGCTCACGGGAATACGCAGCAAAAGAGCAGTTGCAAAAAAAAAAAAAAAAATAGTAACCGTAAAAAGAAAAAAAGTGAAGGATGGTTGAAGCAAGGGGAAGGACACGCGAGCGCGTGCATAGGGAGGGCAGGGAGTGCCCGCTGTTGGAACAGTAGGGTGTGCTATTTCCACGAACACCGCTGTTGCTGTGCTACTCCTTAGCCCCAAAATAAAAAATATGAAAAAAAAAAAAAAGGAAGTCTTCCCTTCGTCAAGTTGAGTGTGTCGACAACACTCACAATTTGAACGTCTTATTTTTGTTTACCTTTTTCTTTCACCGTTATTGCTTTGCCCATTTTTTTTTTGCCCCTTTTTTTTCTGTTTAAATTTAGTGAAGTTTCTTTTTTGTTGCTAACTTAACTTTATTCTATTTTTGTTTACCTTTTTCTTTCACCGTTATTGCTTGGCCCATTTTTTTTTGCCTCTTTTTTTTTTGTTTAAATTTAGTGAGGTTTCTTTTTTGTTGCTAATTTAACTTTATTCTATGGATCAAATTTTTTTTATGCAACTCGTTTTTTCATTTTTTTTTTTAATTATCTTGTGCTTTGTGGACAGCGCTGTGTGGAGGTCGTGGCCCGGCGTAAACGATCGCAAGCACCGTTGCGTAAACGCTGAGGTGTTTGTGATCTTCACCTACTAAGCTCTACTGTATTTAGCGGCTCTTAGAGGCTCTATTTGGTAGGGTCCCGTTTGTCGCGGCCTTTGGTATTGGCAGTGACGCGCGGAAATTTCAACTGGAGCTTAAGTAAACATATTTTTGTATATCAAATTATCGATATATCAAACTGTTTTACGATCCCCTTTGAATTCGATATATGTGGGTTCGACTGTATCTTTTTTCAAGTTTTCTGTTTTTAAGTCTCAGACTTAAAGCGTCCTCTCAACACTGACTTTCTAAAACTGGTAAGCAGATGAGGTGAAGTGCTAATGTTCCTAAAGGTGGCTAATCGGCCAAATGCGAGCGCCAGAAGTCAGTCGATAGGTACCACACTTTGAAGCACTGCATTTTTCATATGATTACAAAACTGTTTGCAATACTTGAATCTCGTTGATTGGCTGAGACAGCAAGTTTGAAAGCACCCTCATACATGAAAAGTTGTGGGACACTTGGGAGAATGAAAACAATCCAAACACCATCCTCAAAAGACAGCGATCTTAACACACAAAACTCGACCACAAAAGGGACCAGACATGTTGCCCACAAGGCAAGCCCAATATACCGTGCTGATTGTTGAACCTTCTCCCAGCAGTAACAACGGTCAATCCCAAAGTTGAGCCGAGAATTCGATAAGGAAGTGAGTCTCAAGGTCACACAATGCCAAACACCCTCCCCCCGGAGCACTTATGAGCTGTGCCATACTGCTGTAAACACTAACGTTTTTCGATAAAACCGAATTTTAAAAAGTGAATTTGGCATACTACTGCCAGTTTCGTTTTCTGGGTGTCTAAACCGAGAGCACTGAACCCTTTATAAGTGATGATTGACTGAGGTATGTTTGCAATATGTTGAAATCTTTCAGTGCGAAATTGAGCTTGCAGATGGTACCAAGCAGGCGTCACCTATGCGAATCATGTATGCTGTCAATCCTATCCCAACAATGTACACCTGGGCACCAACTCAGCAGAATTTTATGGTAAGTTCCACTTTTTGTTTTGTTTTACAAATCCAACTGCTGGAGAACTTGACCTTTCATGGCAGAACATTCTTTTATTTAAGGAGGGACATGGCTCTATGAAACAAAAAGATCACATTTTTGAAATTGTTTTTTTAATATCTACAGGCATTTTTGCACCTTTTCCCTGAATATTTTCGCGAAATAAGCCCTACTTATTTTGATGTATTGATTTGAAGAGTCTAAACGAAAATCTTTTCTCCGAAAAAAGTAGACAAATGACTGCCGGTAGCCCGAGAACGACGCAATAGAAGGGAACATCTTGGTCTCATTTGAAAGCTCCGCTCCCGCTCTTGGCTTTCCCGCCATTCACAATGTTAGGCGGTGATTGGCTGCTGAAAACGAAGCACAAATAAAAAGCTACATCTCACCACGCGGTTGGTTGTTTCGGATCATGTGTGCATATGGCGCATTCTCATTAGCTGTTAGCGTTATGCGGCGTCTGCTCCTTGCTTCCGATCCGCCATTTTGTTTGATCCTTGTGCGCGCCTCTGACCATGCCAATCCCAACAATTCCACGGAGAAAGTTTCATACTGTCCACAAATTCAGAAGAAAACTAAAGAAAGGGACTAAGGAAGCTAATTCACGGCACAGTTCAACTTCCCGCTTTTCTAGACGTCGACGACTAGGTGCGGGAGGCCGAACATGAAGATGTCTCATCGACGGCCGCTTTGACATCCACGGCTTCAGATGAGCGAGTGCGGCTCGACACGGTGATGCTCATTGCTTCCGAGATCAATGAAAAAGGAAAGAAAGCTGAGGAAAAACTCTGAGAACTTTCGTCGACGTCTGCTATAAACCAGAAAGCTGCCTTGATGGGCAGCGCGGCTGGCGCCGATTGAGCAGCTCCCGAAAGTACAGCGAGTTTCGTCGTCCTAAGCCGCGACCTCGTGAACTCGCTCCTTCAACTCGCAAAGTGTAAAGCTTGTTGCGGTGGCGTTGAACTCATAAAATGCAATCGGGAGTATGGACCTGCAGTAAAACTTAAGCCCTGTTGCAAGATCTGCGGGGATGTCACGTCTGAGTGGAGCTCGCCGCGAGTAGAAGGACCAAGCAGGATCACCCCATTTGAAGTCAATGTTCGCGCGGTGTATGCCATGCAATCTACAGGTAATGGACAAACAGCCCTAAATGATATCTTTGCGATATATCGCATAGAGGCCTGCATAATAAGACATACCAGCGGCACGTCAAAAAGAAGCTCAACCCTGCAACCAAGCAAGCTGCCTTCAGAATCGCCTCAGAGTGCGTGACGACCGTGAGCCCTCTATACAAGAAATTTTGCTATGGAAGTGCGAACAACATCGCAGTCTCCTACGACGGGAGTTGGAAGACAAGGGGCCACTGGTCACACATTGGAGTGGGAACAGCCATAAAGCTTTTCACTGAGCTTGTGTTGGACCACATGGTGCTCTTGAACTTCTGCCTTGCCTGCGAAAAATGGCCAAAGGAGGGCATTGCGGACTACAGCAGTCCTTCACCGAGGCCTCAGGGAAGTGCCAGAAGAATACAAACAGCAGGGCTGGCCAAAGGGAGGTCGAGGCTGCCCTTATTTTCTTCCCAAGGTCTTGGGATCGACACGGCCTACACTACACCATGATGCTCTCCGACGGTGACAGCCGTTCATTTGCAGCCCTCCAGGAAGCCAACGTCTACAGGTTTGTTCATGTAGAGAAAAAGGACTGTGTGAACCATGTCCAGAAAAGAACAGGGATGGCTTTGCGGAGTCTTGTGCAGAAGCAGAAACGACAGAAGGGAGCAGCAGGCATCAGCCTTGGTGGTAAGGGGAGGCTCAGTGCCGAGCTCATCACAAGACTCGGACCACAGCTTGTGCGGCCCCGCTGGAGAATGATCATGGTGTAAGCAGAACGAAGCCCAAGTGAAAGAGGAGCCTGCTCCGAAGCATCGCTGCAACCTTCCTGATCACGTCTGCACAGCCCTTCTTCCTGTGTATGAGCGCCTCGCTGACAGGAAGTTGCTGCAGTGATGCCAGAGAGGGGAAACGCAAAATGCGAACTAGAGTTTGCACTTTGTCATTTGGTCGCTCGCCCCCAAGGACCAGAACGCTTCCCTCTTCACGGTTGAGGCAGCTGTCGCAGAGGCAACTCTCTAATTCAATGTGGGGAGCCAGCAGGCATCAGCAGCTATCCTCAGAGAGCTGGACCTCCACCCCGGCATGAATTGCATTAAGCGAGGGGCCGAGAATTATCATTGCCGGAGTGCCGCGTCGGACACCAAGCATGCCAGCCAGGATGGCATCAAGAGGGCCATGAAGACGAGGCACCGGCACACAGGCCAAATGCACACTGAATATGTTCCTGGTAATTACTAGACCCCTACCTTGTAAATAGATAAAGTATTTTTGGAAAGTGTAGTAAAAATGTGTCTGTGAATGTTTTTTTGCTGTTTTCTCAAAATGAACTTTCTACACACCATGCTATTTTCCGGAAGTCACATCTCTGCCTGTACACAACCAATATTTATCATTTCTTTTTTCTCTTGTAGGCGTTTAAGTGGGGTATCCAATAAGGGGTTTAATTGCATCAACTTAAGCATCAGTATTTTGTTTTAGCACCTGCTATACAGGCTCATACCTGCCAACTTTCCCGAATTTTCCGGGAGCCTCCCGAATTTTGATCACATCTCCCGATTGTACGGAAGCGACCTCAAATCTCCCGAAAAATGTCCACCGTAATTTTTTAAAATTTTTATGATGCCTTATTGCTATAATCATCACGCATGTGTCATTGCGAGTTACTCGAGAGTAGGTTTAGTTTACTCCGGCGGGTTACCACGTGACAACTCAGAGCAGTAGCGTAAAACGAGAGTAGATTCTCAAACGCCAAGGTACGAAACCTCTACTCCTGAAGTTAGAGCGCATTTTGGAACATGGCTTATATGACCATGGGTGCGCTAGGCTTCAGTTGGCTTTGTCAGGTCGTCGAGTGAGGTGCGGAACGCCGAACTACCCTTCGTGTTTCCCCGAGTTTAGTTGGAACCACTGATCTGTTGTAACGATCGATGGCACTTTCAAAAGCCCCGAAGAAGTACTTGCAAGTATTTCTAAGATCATACACGACTGAGTTTCCGTGCTTTGTCGCTTCGCGGAAAGCTGACAAGTATGAATTCTGTACCATGTGCGCCTGTGATGTGTGAGCGTTTCGCACGGCGGCAAGCTTGACATCAAGATACACATCGCTTCACGAAAGCATCGGAACCATGCTCGTGCCATAGAAGGGCAGGGCACCAGCGGCAGTTTACTCCAAAACAACTGCGAAGACAGTGTGATTTGCGCAGAGTGCCTCTTCACAAAATTTCTTGTCAAATTAAAAAAAAAAAAAAAAGTTTCAACCCTTCCCCTTCCCCTTCCCCCCCCCCCCCCCCCCCCCCCCCCCAGCGCGGCGGTCTCCCGAATTTTATGTTGCTAGGTTGGCAGGTATGCAGACTAAAAAATGATTTAGAAGCTGAACATTTTTAAATGCTGTGAATGTTTTAAATAACCATAGAGCCTTCATTTATACCTTATTTGGATTCTGTAGATATAGTTTACAGAGGTATATTTATTTTTGGGTTTCATCATCCAATTATTTTTTAATCTTGCCTGTAAAATGTTTAAATTAAATAGTTAATGTTATCAAAACTAACCAAGTTGTTTCAAAACAAAGTGCATATTTGTAATCAGAATGGCCAGATGATTATACACAGTATATTTCACTTGGATTGGACCACAAATAAGAAAAAAAAGCTCTAGAAGCAGTGTTTCCCCTTAAGCAAATGCTTCCAAATAAAATTTCATATAAACCCAAGTTTCCTCTGGCATTCCAGAAAGCAATGTGATCAAAACTCATATAATCGAAAATATATTGTTGACATTCTTGTGTGAACAGGCCATAAAGTAGTGACAAGTGCACTCATTGCTGATGGGAGAATAAGAATGTGTTTTCTTTGCATGGCCAGGTGGAAGATGAAACAGTGCTGCACAACATTCCCTACATGGGAGATGAAATCCTTGACCAAGATGGCACATTTATTGAGGAACTGCTTAAAAATTACGACGGCAAAGTTCACGGAGATCGCGATGCAGGCTCTGTGAATGATGAGCTTTTCCTAGAGCTCGTCCATGCTCTCATGACCTATGAGGATGAGCCGGGAACCACCAACAGGACACTCACTGGTATGTACCTGCCAAGAGTTCTCATATGCATCCCCCATCATACCTGCTACTTGACCAGACAGCTAGTACATTCTACGCCTCTATGCAGAATTGCAAATGAGCTGATGACATCCCGCAGATTAGAAGGAGAGAAGCGGGAAGGTCGCGCCCATTGACATAGGTGCCAAAAACTCGCTCGACCTGGTGGCGAAATTGGGAAGCCGGGGCGGGGATCAGAAAGCATGTGGTTGAATTTTCGAAAGAGGCAAATTACTATGATATATGCTGGTTCAGAACTTTGGCAAGAAGGCCCCTTCGTAATTTATTTCCAGAGAAATGCGAGGAAAAAGCACCATCTCCATCAGACTTCATTTTTGCTGCAATTTGTTCGGTGTTTCCGGACAAAAGGACCCCAGAGGAGCTGAAAGAACGGTTGGACTATTTTCTTTCCTACAGTGTCATTATGAGCTCTGCAAGCACATGGCCATAATCATTCACATTGATATATTTTTTGTATAGGTACCGGGAGTTGATGGAAAAGGTGAATCCTCCTTCCGTGCCACCCGAATGCACTCCCAATATGGATGGCCCATTTGCACAGTCAGTACCGCGTGAGCAAAGCATGCATTCCTTCCGAACGCTCTTCTGCCGACGATGCTTCAAGTATGACTGCTTTCTACACAGTGAGTAGTTTTTTTCATGTTCATAATGGTAGAACGTTGGGTACCGAACGCACATTTCGTCCTTGAGCACTAACTTACACGGTCAAGATGCTAGAGTTTCACTTGCATTGCTTTGTAATCCATGTGCAGCGAAGTAGAAAAAAGTTGTATAATAGACAACCAATGTTGTTGTCTTGCCTATACTTGTAAAGTTGCTTTATTGTAGTGATGAATGCAGGTTTGGCTAAGGTGTTGTCTATAGATGGGGAACATTCCTACTTTGACTTGTGTTTGCTCTCTTCAGCTCTTCATTTCTCACTTTCAATTTCTACTTGCCTTTTTCTGTATCTTGCCAATTAGCAAATAGAGGGATGGATATTCCTCCAGGTAAATGAAATACAAAGTTTTTTTCACTTATGCTTTTCCATTTCCTTGCTTCTGTTTTGTTCACTCATCAAAGCTCACTCTCTTTGCCCCTTTTGCTACTCGGCCTCTTTATCCCTCTATGGAGTGCTAACAATTCCTTCCTTAGAGCGCTCATAGATGCCTTGTGTGGCTGCACCTTGATCATCATCATACTTAACTCTTTCGTTACTGCCTAGTGACAATCAATAGGGCATATCCCATTTTGCGAAGGTGGAAATGTTGTTTTAGACATATGCCGAGAAATAGTCTTATACAAAAATCTGGTATCCACAGTGCATCACTTCAACTTATGGAAGTACTTTTAACAACCCCCCTTGCAAAGTTAGCTTTATTTTTGTATTTCCAGTTATTAATGGTGTGAAGGTTGTGTGGTCAACACCCACTGACTAGTAAGAGCTAAATGTGATTTAACATAGGTGGGACCCTATGCAAGCCGTACGTTTCTTTAAACATTTAAATTTTAAGCTTTGGAGGACTACTCGGACTATTACGCATACCACCTTGGTATTGGTGAATATGGGACAACATCAAAACAGCAAATTACATTTCTGTCTGCCCTGCAGCATCTCCATGTTTTACATATAACTAGTAGGATGATAGGTGGCCAGAAGTGGGTATTGAATGGGTCTTCATGTTTCAACTTCTGATTAGGTCATTCTGCTACCACTTTAAAGCAACCAAATATCTTGAGAGGGTGAAATCATATGCCATGCGTTTGTACAAAACGTGTATACATACAGGGTGTTTCCAGAAATGCAGACGAAATTGCTGCTGTGAAAACTATGCAGTGCACAGAAAAAAAAGTTAATGCCACAATGGTTTGTGCCAAAGGGCCCATTAAGACACATTATTAGCATTCCGTATAATTGGGTGATTAATTAATTTTCAGTAATCAAATTTTTATTTTGAAATTTTAAATGCATGGTTTCAATTAGAAACTTGCTGGTCATCATCAATAACTACTAAATCCACCCACAGTACCATGATATAGGTGACCCTCTACATTTTACAGCATTCCGGAAAAATGATCAATTTGGACGCGCTCCTTGGTTTCGCTTTTTATCAAAACGAATATCCATGCAGGCAATCCCGCCCCCCTTTCTAAAACGCGCAACGTGCATGCACTGCCACGCATCGCACGTAAAGGTTCGTCCTCACACTGGCACCCATGTCAAAAAGGCAAGCGTCATGTGACAGTCCGGAGGCATTCTTATCTAGCCTCTTCTATGTGCAATGTGTGGCGGCATGTATGTTGCGTGTTTTGTCCACAGTGAGCAGGATTCCCTATGCAGAGATGCGCTCTGTTAACAAACCGAAACTCAGAAACTCGTCCAAATTGAGCATTTTTTCGGAACGCTGTAAAATACTGCGCGTGCCTTATATCATTGTAACGTGGGTGTATTGAGTAGTTTTCGATGATGCCCAGCAAGATTCTAATCTAAACCATGCCTTTAAGATCAATAATTAACAATTTAATTACTCAAAATAATTAATTACCCAATTATACTGAAATCTAATAATTTTCCTTAATGGGTCCTTTGACACAGACCACTTTCCTTTTTCCTTTTTTCTGTGCGATGCATAGTTTTCGCAGAAGTAATATGTCCCGTGTTTCCAGACACTCATGTTTATTGTGAAATTGTTATTGTTATTCAAATTTATAACTCAAATGCACCAATTGTTGCAACTCCAACAGGTGTTCTAGTGTGATGCCCTATCGTCTGAAATTTTACCCTGAGCCACAGCACTCAAGAATGCTGTGGCTAGAATATTCGTCCCCTCAGGCCTCTCCAAGAATAAGCAAACAGATTAAATGCATGGTAACGAAAGAGTTAAATTCAGGTCATTTTATGGAATAGGGATTTATAATTCATTGCACTTAAATATAGAACCTACTCATCCTTTATGGTCACAGTTTTTGGGAAATGTCCTGCATCTTTCACTTATAGAATCATCAAATGGATATTTGTTTAGAGGTTTAGAGTTAACAAGGAGAGATAGAATGACAAATGTAAATGTGGTGATGGCTCTTGCTTTCATACAATTCCTTGGTGATATGTGTGCATGTATAATTATGTGCACATGCCCATAGATTTCTCTATGTCACCACAATGAGTTGTCCTTACAATACATATTCTCCTGGCATTAAAAAAAAGATAAACAGCTCATAGTGCTGATACTTTTTTTGTTTTATCTGTTGAAAATCTAATAAAAAATGTCCTGCATAGGCTGGTAGATCATTCCTAGATGTTGCTGTTCAATTTTGTAAATGACATTGCTGCTAACTTTGGTCAGAAAATGTAAGGGCAGAGAACAGGGCTGAGAGTACGCTGTCTGACAGTTATTTTGTATAGTACTTCATTCTCATCAGAACTGCCCGTATTGGAATGCTACCCTGTCTTGAAATAAAATCATCCCTGAAATTACCAGTGCTTTGCACCTGCTTCATGGACGTGCACAAAAACAAAATGCTGTGCATGGCAACCAGCTTTGTGTGCAAAGTTTTAAACTCGATAAAGAGCAGGAGTAGTGCCTTCATTTCTTTTTTTTGGTTTGTTGTTCTAGCATTCCATCCAGCACCAAGCCAGTACAAACGGAAGAGTTGCGACATGAAGTTGGACACTGAACCTTGTGGCTCACATTGCTACTTGCATCTGGTATGGACAGTGTGTCACCCTAGGGGCTGTGGTTGTTTGTTTGTGGCCAAGGTCTCCTGCCTCTGTTTAGGCCCTCATACTTTGCCCCCCTAAATTAGGGAGTAACATAAATAAGAGACACGGAAAGTTCTGTTCTACAAATTTGATTCTTTGAGACAAAACACAAAAAGCTTTTTCCATGTAAACCTCACTGTGTGACGAGGTATCTCGTGCCCCCGAATGGAATACCTCAGTGACATTTAAAGGAGCACTGAAGTCGATTTTGAGATTGCCCTTTTGTGTTGAAAACTCAATCTAGACACTCTAAGCATCTCAACAAACCCGAAACCACAACCATGCGTAGCTTATTTCCTTGTTCAAAGCATGCTCAAAGATCGCGACACGCCCTTTTTGGGAAGAATTTTCGTCCGAATGAAGTGGTCGACGAAGGGCGCTTGTCGACGAGTTGCGAGCGATGGCTTCGCCCGCGGAAAAAAAAGGAGTCTTATCCAAATGTTTATCTATCAGGCTCTCTTTGAAACAAGTTATAATAAAATCATTCGGAATCTGCGCGTATTGTAGGGCCTTAATTGGTCCACACAATGTAGTCCGCGAGAAAAAAGATTCCTCATGTTTTTCTATTGCCTCGAGATGAATAGGCGGTTTTGCATTTTAGGACTTAGTAAATGGGGGAATTAACACATTTTAAACAATATAAGGTCAAAAACAACCTTTTTCAGAAATGACTTCAGTGCCCCTTTAAGAATCGAGCATGGTGATGTCACTTCGAAAATAAAAATAGCATATAGCATGGGAATTGGATGAGAAGTCTTGTGCCTACATGTCATGCGACTGTCGGACAGCAATGAAACTTCTTGACTGTTCCGCATAGTCCCCCTGCACTTCCACACACTTTTCCCATCTGTGCTCAAGCTTTTCTAACCCTTGGGGGAAAAAAAAAAGATCCCTCTTGGGTTGGGAGTCACACCATTCATCCACATCACCTATGACAGCATTGACTGTTGGTAAATGCTTCCCTTTCAGGCTTTTCTTCATGGTGGGGAACAAGTGAAAGTTTCATGGTGTGAGGTCAGGTCATAGGCGTAGACTTCGGGGGGGCATCGGGGCTCGTGCCCCCCCTGGCGAGATCCGGGGGGGTGGGGGGGCAGAGCCGCGCCCGGGCCATGATCTTTACCGAGACGCTGTTTACGTATCATGTAACGAGCTTCTATAGTAGTGGCATGTAAACAAAATAACGCCCACGTTGCCTTTATTGACACAATACATGGGAAATGGAATCCCAGCGTACTTTCGTTAGCTTCAATCTCCAGTTCTGGCAAAAAAATAATGCGAACCCCCCCCCCCCTTCCCGGGAAAATGGAAAGTCTACGCCGCTGGGTCAGGTGAATAAGCGGGTGCGGTACTAGCAGTTAGAAGCAACTGTCATTGATTGCTTGCAGGGAATGGTGTGGTAGGGCACAATGTCCTGGAGGAAAATTATGCCACGCTCCACCTTTCCGGGATGTTTCATCACAATAGTTTCCTTCAGTTTTTTCTAAAAGTTTGAGTAATATTCAGTATTGATTGTCTGGCTTTTGTGGAGGTATAATCAATCGTCAGGATGCCCTCAGCCTCCCAGAAGATGGATGCCGTGACTTTTCCTGCAGATGTCTGCCCTCTGAACTTTTTTAATTGTGGAGAGTTTGGAATGTTTCCACTGTTCATGCCCAACTCCAGAGCACAGCGTCTCGGGCGCGGATGGAACTTGGCAGGCAGTGCAAAGAGTTGCACTCCTGTGAAAACTATTTTCGTGATTACACGGCGGGTTCTTCACACAAGGCTGCAAGACTTTTCATCCAGCCCTCGTAGTAAACTTACTGCTATGCAGTGGGAACCCAGATATTCCAGATCTCACTCTGCACTTAACTGTACTTAACTCTTGTGAATGAAACCCTATTTTTTGTTGCAGTGGCACAATTTTTCGATTTTATTATACCGGAATCTCGTTAATTCAAACTCTCTTGATTCAACTCGCGGATAATTCAAACCAACGCGCAGGTCCCGTCCTATGCGTTTCTAGGAAGGGAACTTCCGGTAATTCAGACTTTGCATTATTCAAACAAAGCTCTGGTCCCCCTCGGGTTCAAATTAATGAGATTCCACTGTATTTGATAAGTACAATATTCTCTGTTTAAAGGGGTTAGGACACACCAAAAATTAAATGGGAGATTTACTATAATGCTAGGACCCATAGGATGTTACTATATTTTAGATAAATTTGTTCTTTAAATGGGGCGTTAGTTTTGTGGATTAATTGATTTATTTGCGTGACCCTCGGATCCTAACCATCTGGGAAGGCTGCCATGTTTGGTAGGTTAGTGACAAACCTTGTCCACCATCTCTGGCGGCGCTGCATCCCCTCGCACACGCTCACAAACTTGGCTATCTCGGCGTCTCGTGCTTCAGTTTTCTCATTGACCTTCCACCTTTCGAGCACGCGTCTTCGAGACGATGACGTCTACGGCATCGCTCGCTTACACTGGTCACACCAGCGACAAGAGTGATTGCTATCAAGAGATGTTGGAAGCTGGTTATTTTTACTTCGACCCGCTGGCGACCAGCTCCAATAACAAGATTGTCACGGACGAATTTGCCGTCGTCCGTGTCAATCTCGCACACAAGAGTACTCGGCCATGAAATGGTTTTCACACAAAACCACCGCGTCCGACAGTACCCAGCCATCATACACGACATTACGTTTCCATATTAACCACCGCGTAGGATTTTTCAGAACCGAAACAACAAAACCGGTTGCTGTTTTTTCTGTACATTCCGACATCCCACCGCGCAGCAAACTTTGCACATGAATTGAAAATGCTTTCGCATTGGGAGCTACGCAAGCATTTGTTTTACACCCAACGCATGCAATCGGAGAGAAAACCGGCTAGCCAAGGCCGAAGGAACAGGGGTAGCTTAGTGAGCCACCCAGGCTCACGTGCACGCCAAGCGGAAGGTCAAAGGGCAAGGGGGCGAGAACAGCGTTTGAGTAGCCGTATAGCGTGAGAAGGTGCAATCGTAGCTTGGCAAGCATGGGGGAAACCTAGAATGGGAGAGCACTGAACTACATGTCATGATCACATGGTTTATGTGGACACTATGGTGTGACCAACTTGTGCAATGACATCCGAATTTTGAAAGTGTTGCCTGGTCGCCCAATGAAAATAATCAACATTCGTAAATTGATTATTGTAATTACTAGAGCTTTAACAATCGCAAAACTTGGTGTATATACAGTCAAACCCGTTTATAACGAACAGCAAGAAACGCTACGATCAGTACGATATAGCAGACAGTTCAATATAGCAAAAAACACTTACAACAAACTTCTACGATGCGTTCGTTGTAAGGCGAGGGCTTCTCTTTCTTTCTCACCTCTTTGCCTCCGCCTTGTAACAACGCGCTGGAAAGATTCTTTATTTTTGCATGCGTGCAGAGGTTTTTTTTAGCTTATCTCTCCTTCTGAATCGCTTCTCTTCGTGGGCAACCATTTTGGGATGAAGGTTTTTTTTTCTGTGCGTGCATGCAGAGTATTTTTTAGCTTTCTCCCCTTTTAAATCGCTTCTCTTCACTCAATTATGTTCGCAACTTGAGCTTTTAGAATTTTCTTTCTTTCCTAGTTTTCTAGGAGGGAACGGACAGGCTACAAGACGATTGTTTGCGCATTTTTGGAAACCTTCCCGGGGGAAAAAGTTTGATATAGCCAATATGTTGTTCGTTATAAAAATTACTATTTACATGCATTTTTATTTAAATTTTTCGTGAGTTCGATATTGACAATAATTCGCTGTATGTGGGTTCGTTCTAAATGGGTTTCACTGTACTAAGTAAAATATGAGCATTCCATTCATGAGTAATCTACCCGTTTAATTTTTGTGTCCTGACCCCTATAATGAATTTTGGGTGCTTTTTTTCTTTTCGTGCATGTTGCCAACAATTTTTTTCTCGTCATGTGTGCCTTGCTAGGACTCTGTGAAGGCAAAGCTTCAAGCGAAGCTCAAAGAAGAGCGGGAGTCAACTGAGCAACGCAAAATGCAAAAGCAGATTTCAGTCGATAGCGGAAACGAAGCAAGCGGTGAAGACAGCAATGACAGCACACGTACCAACAGTAAGAAGAGTGACAGCTCTGAGAAAGACTCGGACAAGCCTGCCCAGATGACCGTCAACAGCCTTTCCGGTAAGTTCAAAAGCGCTCATCTGCTGCCATTGGTTATAACTTCCAGCTAAGTTTGGTGTAAGAAGTATTGGCATCATTTGCAGGTGCTTTCTTGAAGAAACACCAAACTCTCCAGAAATATATATATATATATTTTTTTTTTATAAAACGTTTGTCACATAGTACATTTTCTCTGAAGAAAAAATAAGAATTAGTGCAATATTTTATTAACGAGACCTATTTGGAGTATTGCGACATGCTCCTAGTTTGTGTTTCTATTTCTGAAGACTATGCCAAAACAGAAGCACATTTTGGAATCATTCCTCACTCAAAATGAGTCTCGCAACAAAAATATTGTAATAATTTCTTTTTTATTTTTCCAGGAAAAATTTATTTTCTGACATACATAAGTGCGCTGTACGGGCCTACTTTTTGAGGCCTGGCCCTGGCCCGCTGACTTTGATTTACCCGACTTGTGCCTGGCCTAGTAGGATGCTGACCTGTTCAGGCCCGGCCTGGCTGGAGATGCCCTGACCGTGGGAGATGAAGCACAGCTTTTCCCGGCGAGAGGCCGAGGCATGCTTCACCTCCCAAATCCAAAGCTGCCTTGGGAAAGTGTCAGTGCACCTGATCTGCTCAGGAAAAACTGCAGCTGCTTTGGTCATCAGCCTCTAACTTGAGCTGCGTGCACGAGATCACATCTTTAGCTTAAGAAACATGTTGCAAAGCTATGTGCTTCGGGAGGTGGCTTTTGTTTTAGCCAGTTGGGGAGGTAAACATTGTTGTTAACTTAGGCTGTAGGGCAGTTCCTTATGACATACTTCCAGCTCGAAGTCTTGCCGGACGCTATGTTGATAAACTTTCGCTGGCCCTATGTTTTTCTATGTGCGGAGGCAGCGTTTATTAGTTCACTAGAGTCAGTTTACATTGTGATTCGCTGTGCCACCCGGAGTAGTCAGGAACGTAAAAGAGCATTGTCATGCATTCAATTTTTATACATACCAGTTTTTATATTTGAATGTAAGACGAGCCAGCATTCAAGAAGGCAATTCATTTCCAGAAGCAAAAAACAGTAAGCTTTTGCGGCCTCAAATACGTCCCCAGTCATACTTACCGAGTTCTGTAGCCGACAGAGCCACTCGCCATGCTTGTGCGTTTCACCAACAACAAAAAAATCACAACATCTCCACGTGGTGAATGATGTTGATTGGGGCGAAGCTCTGGTGGTGCTGATGATACTGATTTTATTGTTCATAGGTAGTGCTGATGGGGCTGATTGTTTTTTTTATTGCTCATAGGTAGTGCTGAGTTCCGGGTTGCATTTCGACTTCATTATTACTGCTTTATGGTCGGTGAAATGCAGAGCCAGTGGTTTTTCTAGTGGATCCGCTAGAAGCCGTGGGAACGCATCTCCACCGCTTAAGTCAACGGTCCATGTCAGAAAGAGAATGTGTGGTATGGAACGTGGTTATATACGCATTTGAGCATTTGACGGCAGTGCCCCCCCGTCTTTAAACATTGAGCCAATGCATGCAAAGTTTAATGCGATTATATACGCATTTGACCGCAGCGCCCTCTCCTGTATAGCCATTGAGCGGCTACATGCAATGTTTCATCCATGACAGACAGATGGGATGGCAATCGATGTGAGCACGGACGCCGGACGGATGGACAAGGCTAGACCCTAAGGAGCTTCGCCCCTAAAACAGCGCCAATAGCTAAGCGTCTGGTCGCAAACTAATGTGGAACGTAGCAGACGCTGCTCATGAACATGGCCGAATGCAGTTTGCCAGAACTGAAAAAGCGTTTCTTGGAACTGCCCTATAGAGGCAGAAAAATAGAAGAGGTGGTAGTTCATGTACTGCCTTTGTATGCTAATATTGCTGCAGGTGCGTCTTGACCGAGTGCCCAGCCCAGGCCCGGCTTGGGCCCGGGGCCCATGCCAGGTAGCTCTAACATACATCTGCATACCTGCCAAGTTTCCCGTTTTACCCAGGAGAGTCCCGAATTTCGATCAGTTTGTATGGTTGTACGATTGACAGAAAAATCTCCCGAAAGACACAAATTATCCCTCTCCCCCTTCTCTCCCGCACTTAAAGAATGAGTTTTTGCCATCATGGCAGATTGCTGCAATCCCATGAGCATGAGCAGTGCAATATATAAATGTAATGAAGTTGTTTTCATGCAAATTTGTTGTCAATAGTTCTTTTTAAAACACCAGCCCCAGCCCCCCCCCCCCCCCCCCCCCCCCCCCCCCGCTTAGAAATTCTTCCGGATTTGTTTTTTCTGAACTTGGCGGTATGCATCTGCAATCAAGGCACATGAAAAAATATTTTTGGGGTGTTCAGTATCTCTAGGAGTGATTCCGAGACGGGCTTCTATTTCTGGTCTACGTACCGAAATATTAGAATCCCTCCTAACTCAAGACGAGTCTTGCAACATAAATATTGCACTAAAAATGTGTTTTGGTGGGAAACTTTTTGGGCGTATGTGTTCTATCCAGGCACTTAGCAAACAAAGTTCTGGGGGAGTTCTGTGTCCCTCTATCACTGGGAAAGAAAGTTCAACAGGGTTCTCGGGGGATTTTAAAGAGAGTGTTGTTTGTGTTAACTGCACTGCTAAATTAATATGTTGACGACTGTTTCTGCATCGTGAAAACTAGTGAGGTCAACCGGCTCCACAGACACCTAATCGAGCCGGCAATTCAGTTCACAGTGGAGCTGGAGTCTGACGGCTGCCTCCCATTTCTGGGCATCTGCGCAGTTAAAGGCCCCGAACCTCTGGACTTCTTTGTGTACCGAAAGCCTACACACATCGGTCGACATTTAGACTTTTCTTCAAGCCACCCGGTGTCACAGAAAACCTCAGTGGTTTCCACTCTCTTCCGGTGGGCAATCACAGTATGCTTAATGAAAAAGACTCTCAGGAAGGAAATTACCACAAGCAAGCAAGACTTTCGAGGGAATGGTTACCCCGCCAGGTTCCCAAACAAGGTCCTCAAGAAAGTTTGTCGCACTCCTGGAACACGGGATGCCACTGCCCATTCCAGCCGCATGTGCGTCCCATACACAAAGGGTACAAGTGAGACTCTCGCCCGCGTCCTTCAAAAATACGGGATTACTGTGAGGCGCAAGCCCGTCTCGACCATCGGCCACCTGCTTTCTCTTCCAAAGGATTGACCACCGCGAGAGAGGGTACAGGGACTCGTATACAAAATTACTTGCAACGAGTGCGCTGCCTCGTACATTGAGGAAACACAGAACCACCCTCAATGCTTGTGCAGGCATCGGTATGACGTCCAGAAAAAAGATGTGCAAAGCAGCGCGCTCGCTAAGCACGTAGAGACGACGGGCCACGCCATCGGCTTCAGCGAAAGCTCGGTCCTCAGTAGAGAAAGAAACTGGCAGAGGCGAGTTTTGTTGGAGTCGTGGCACATCCAAAGGACCCAAAAACAACATAAACCGATCTGCAGGGACGCTCCCAAGCACCTACATTTCTGAATTGCAGGGGTGTTGCGCAGGGAGCACCGGAAAAACAAGTTTGAGCAAGCTGTTCGTCACAGCCCAACAACAATCAGTCACCCGTGATCAAGGGGCCGATCTGGCCTCGAAACGTTGGGACCTTCGTTTTAACAAAAAACATGGTTAGAGTTTGTTTTACCAGTTTGAAGTTTATTTCTCGTGAAATTTGGAGGGTATTTTTTGGAGTTTGTACTTTCCGCTGAACAATCTCGGTTTTTCAGAGTGTATTTCTATTAGATTCACAATTCTTTGAAATTCTGAGTTTAATTTTACTCGGTTCCCAATTTTTCAAAATTTAAACTACAAATCAGAAAGGTTTGGACATAAACATACCCTAGATTTGTCTGAGCTCACCTGTATCGAATGATATTTCTGCAGCTGCATTTGGCATCGGCGCTTTGCCATTGGCATTACGAACTATCCCGCAACAAATCTTGCAAAGTGTTGCCTCAATAAGAGAGGATACTTTGGAATAACTAGACTCCTGGACCTAGTGACTGGAAAGCATAGTAGTTTCAGCTGCCCTCCCCCTCCATTAAAGGATAACTCCACTTAATTTAAAAAATTCAGGGATAATGAGTGATTTCATATTAAAAAGCACTACTGAAAAGCACTGCGTCATTTGCTTCACGAAAAATTTAATATTTATTGTTTAATCTTACTTTAAACATGAACAGAAACCGAAACTTGGCTTCATCGGGCAACGTTGGCCTCGGGTCACGAAAAACATGGCTACCAAGGGGTATGAGATGTCACGTGATCCTCTACGCAACGACGGGCGGGATCGAGGACCACCATTCCGGGCAGATGTGTGCCAGGCACAAGTGTCTTCTGCACCGCAGTCTTCGCTATGTTTTGGTGACTATGATATCCGACGTCGTCTGCATAACTACGGCATCAGTCTGCGCACATGGTGTGAGCGAAACTACGAGAGACAATAATCACAAACGACGACAGCGGTTGTGAAGCGAGAGATGGTGGCAACAGTGGGACGGCCGGACGGCTCCCAAGAAGCGTGCTGTGCAGCCATGTTACGCCGATCACGTGGACACCACTGAAGAAACACAAAAGGAAGCAATGTTGATGACGTTTAGCTCAATGTTGACAATGCCAATGCCGTAGCCTTGACTGCGCTGCTGACTGCACCTCAATTCGCCCGCTAGAGTCGGTCAATTTCGGCAACTTGCCGCATTCCAAAGTTTGTCGGACCGTTTAAGAAACATTTAGACAAAACTAGGTCGTAATATTTGACGTCTGGTCTTCCTAGGTGATACTGGAGAGGACTACACTGATTTTTCTGAAACAAAAATGAAGCAGAGTTGTCCTTTAACCCCTTGCCTACTCATTTTTTTTCTTTAAGGAACGTACAGCAAAATTTTTTTTAAACGGGCAATTTGCATTAAAATGAGACAAAAACATTTCCTTGACTTCCAGATGTCATATCTTGCTCTAAATCAGGACCTCTGGTCTGAGTCCCACTGACGTGCAGACGCCAAAGTTGATGGAATGCTTGCAGGATTCACATTGTTTTCATCCGATTCCTAAAAATCGGATAGGCTGAAGGATTCGTCGTCACATACGCCAGAGCATTAATTCCTTTCAAAAAGAAGGATTTGTACCTCTTTGTCGGGTAAAGCAGACTTCCGCACCAAATTGTTTTAGCGCAAGTGCTCACAAGCAACTGTTTTTTTTTCTTGGCTAAATAGAATGTTTGTTTTTTCTGTCAAACAGCAAGACAAACGAGCAAACTACCCCACGTAAACAAAGCAACAGGGGCAATTTTGCCATCTGCCAAAGAGCACGCGCGCCAAAACCGAAACTCAAGTCACACTCGTGGTCGGGCTTTATGGTTTGTAAGGGTGGCACAAGTGACACTCGTTATTAGTAGGCAAGGAGTTAACGTCTACCGTTGTCCCGTTGTCCCGAACGACCCGTTGTCCCGAACAAACCTTGACGAGCTAAAAGGCAAGCCCCCATTTATCAGTAGTCTGAGATTTCAAAGGAAACTAAAATGGCCTCTCCTCAGGACCACTAACACTGTGCTCTTATTAAAGTTATTTGTAAAATACTTTTGTTTTTACTTATTATTTTGCTGTCGCGACATCTAAATTTAGTGTTTTTCGAATTGCCAAAAATTTTACCGGTGAGTTTTTCTGATTTTTTCCGATTTATCTGAAAACACGGAACCCTACTTGTATATCATGCCTTCCATGATGCAACATGAGTCACAAATCTGGGATGTGCATCGTGCAGGCAAATCACTTGAGGGCAAAGCTGCTCGGCTCTTGGCTTCACTGGAGCCTGTGGTTCAACCATCTCAGGAGGAACTACAAGAAGAGTGGTCCGGCGCAGAGCAGTCGCTCTTTCGGGTTCTGTGGAGAGTCTTCTATGGCAACTACTGTGCCCTCGCCACACTTATCCTCACCAAAACATGCGCACAGGCAAGCTGGCGTTTTGACTGCATGCAACGCTCTTCAGTCTCTGTCATTAGAATGTCGAGTGAAAACTGTAAAGGCTGGTTGTCCTGGGTGTCCGCTGACAGATGAAACCAGGAAGTGTGGGGGAATTTAGCCAGACTGGAAGAGACTGGGAAATTTGTGAAGTGTTTTCCTTTTGGTGCTTTGGTCGTGTTCAAAAGGTCAAAAGACGCGAACACAACTTTGTGGTGCAGTCACAGTTTAAGGTGACATGCTGTTGTTGTCATTACTGATAATCTTAGACTTCATTTTTTTTTAGAGCGCAGCTCTTAGGGGCCCGTTTCCGGCTTGAGTGGCGGCATCGTCAGCATAACCGCGAGGTCACATGACCCCCCCCCCCCCCCCCCCAGGTCACGACCCCCCCCCCGAGGTCACGTGACCTCAAGGAGTCACCTATCCCTCAGTACGCTTCCATCCTCCTCCTCAAGAGCTGCGCTCTAATCCGGCGTCACAGGGAATTGTAAACGGCTTTCATTTTTTATTTTTATTTTTAGAATAAGGGTATGTTTTCTAAACAACTAGGAGAAATCTCGAGGTTAGGGAGTTTAGAAATGTAACTGCGGTCTACACCCTGTGGTCTTACGGCACTCCTCGTCTTTGCTGAGGAACAGCTTTTTGTGATGCTGTTGCCATGTAACAGAAGTTGCAGGCTTCCTTAACATAGCTTAGCCTAAATAAGCTAAAGCAGTTGACCAAATGTCCTGTGGCACTCGACAGGTGTATGCATTTGCCCAGCGTGAGCTGGCCGACCTTCCACCTGAAGAGCATGTGCATGACAGCACACCACCACGCAAGAAGAAGAAAAAGCACCGGCTGTGGTCCATGCATTGCCGCAAGATCCAACTCAAGAAGGACAGCTCATCCAACCACGTGTACAATTACACGCCTTGCAACCATCCTGGCCAGGCCTGTGACCAGAACTGCCCATGCGTCATGGCTCAGAACTTTTGCGAGAAGTTCTGCCACTGTAACTCTGACTGTGAGTGCCGTCTTACTTCTAGCAATCACTTCAGGGTCTAACTAGCCCGGGATTTGACTAGTTTTCAAAGATACAAATTACTAAGCAAATATGAGCCCCAGATAGGGAGACACTTGGAGAGTTACATAGGTCTGGTCCTGAATACCTCGATGAAGTTGCTTCACTTTGCCCACAAGGGCATTATTAAAGCAGAAAAGCCAGCCTCATCAGAATCTACTTTATCTTTCTGTTCAATTGCATCCCAAGGCCAGCAGCGGTTCCCAGGATGTCGGTGCAAGGCCCAGTGCAACACCAAGCAGTGCCCTTGTTACTTGGCAGTCAGGGAGTGTGATCCCGACCTCTGTCAAACATGTGGAGCGGGTACGACTCTTTCTATCTGCTAACAAAATGTGTGTTCTAATGATGCTGAAATGAAAACAAGTCTGATTATAAAAAGAAAAAGGTATTGTTAGGAAGGGAGGGGAAAGGGGCGAGCACCCCCCCTCCCCCTTTCTCTTCGAATTTGCTTTGCAGTAAAAATTTTGATTTACATTTATGTGAATTGAGCATAGATACTTTAAGAAATCATAACTGAAAATCTTTTTTAGAAAGCACACATAAAAAGGAACACTTTATTACATTAAAAACATTTAACATGCTTTTATTAAGAGAAAGAACTGATGGGTTAATGGGCACCGTCCTGTAAAATCGGGGGTCGAACTATAATTATAACCACACAAGGCTAACCTACAATAGTGAGCAAAAGTTCTTAGATTAAGCCAACTGAGATGCTCAGACACGTCGGCCGTTTCTCCGAGCACGCTGGTACAAACCACTCAAAAATTGATGTGCACGCACCACTGCGAAGCGGTGAAGCTTGACACCAGAGTGCTGTTGCAGAGTAGTGATGCTTGACACTAAAAATATAAAAATATTTTAAGATTAAAAATTTTTTTGTTTATTTGAATAACTTGGGTACTTCGAACATTAAAAGTGTGCTGTGAATCAAATCAAGTAGCACACACTATCTGCTAATTATGCAAAGTTTTGAATATTTGCATACCTCTCCGTTCACCCCTAAGCCGAGACTGCAGTGGGAGCTATGTGCCCGTCAAACCAATCAGCTGCCTCCCTTTCATCCCCTGATCCGACTCTGCGCGCATGATCACGTGGCGAAAGAGAGACGCATGACTGGTCCAATGAGGACGTATCTTCCACTGCAGAATGTTGCACGCGAGACCAGAGAACTTTTTTCTACCGATGCTCTTGTGTCCGGACATTGGACTTTGGTGGCGTTAACAGTGTCATCATATTTGTGGTTTTTTGCAGATCAGTTTGATGTGCAGAACATTTCGTGCAAGAATGTAAGTGTCCAGAGAGGCCTCCGGAAGGTAAGTGTTGACACTTGCATACTTGGGGGGGGGAAGAGGGGGGAGGGGAGGGGAGGGGAGGGGAGAGGAGGGAGGGGGAAATGAATCAGGGGGCATAGCTTTCATGCAGTGTTCTTTTGCAGCATCTGCTGTTAGCACCTTCTGATGTTGCTGGCTGGGGCATTTTCTTGAAGGAGACTGCTCAGAAGAACGAGTTCATCTCCGAGTATTGTGGAGAGGTAGGGAGAACATTTAGACTCCTTTCTCTACATTTATTTCACTCCATTTCTAAATCCAGATTAGTTAGCAGCCCGATTTTATAGGGCTACAATTTCATAACCTCTAGGATACTTGGAACTTTGATATGTGAATTTTTTTATGAAATTGGATAGAGTGCCAAAGTTGCCTTCCTGCACACCCACCCCAGAGGAACATAAGGTTTCAAAGAATAAAAAAATGTGTAAATAATTTAACATTGATGGACAATGAAATTTAAAATCAAGGAACTTTGAACTGTGCTTCATTGAAGTTCGCACCATAAGGTCTTCATTGTTCATCAACCAGCTGCCTTTGTAGAAGAAGCCACGCCATGCTTCTGCAATTGGTCATTTTTGCATGCACAATAGCACACACACTGGCTGCCAAGATCATATGGCACCACCTAGGCGACGCGCAAGCTTAGAAACTTGTTCGTCATACTTCATAAAAATATTGCTTTGTGCAGATAATTTCCCAAGATGAAGCTGACAGACGTGGAAAGGTGTATGACAAGTACATGTGCAGTTTCCTCTTCAACCTCAACAATGGTGAGTATTAGTCGCTCAAAAGCCGAAAATACAAACAATTTTCTTCAACATTGCCTTAATCTCACAGATTTTGTGGTGGATGCTACACGCAAAGGAAACAAGATCAGGTTTGCTAATCACTCCATCAATCCCAACTGTTATGCCAAAGTGATGATGGTGAATGGAGACCACCGCATTGGAATTTTTGCAAAGCGTCACATTCAGTCCGGAGAAGAATTGTTTTTCGACTACAGGCAAGTGGTTTTCATATGCTGCAGGCTTTTTTTCCTTCATCTTATATTTACTAGTTAATTTAAACATACTTCCCGTTTTGCTTCCCCAGATATGGACCAACGGAGCAGCTCAAGTTTGTGGGCATTGAACGGGAATTGGAGTTTTTATAACATGCACCATAGACGTAGACATCAAAAGACCTTTTGCTAACTACCCCAGCACCAGGGAGCGTGCGCGAGTGTAGTTACACAGGCCGCACATTCATCCAGGCCTTATATTGGTTATTTACTTTTAATCTTTTATACAGATAAGGCAAGCACATGTAGCATGTGTACACCCACCGGCAATATGAAGGTGAACACCTTACCTGGTTTCTTGCCTGTTTTATGGCTTCGTAAAGCTATATTAACAACCCAACGTCTCAAATGGTCTGTGGCCGAGGGTCTGAACATTGCGTTTTAGCCGTCTTCTAGAACAGAGCTTGTTCCAAAACTTGCAGGAGCATCAAAAACAAGAAGAGGGCTGTTCACCTTCATATCACTCACGAGAGTATCTACATTCCCAGCATTCTCCCTAACGCTTTGGTAATTTGGCAAAAAGCCTATACTGTTTGCAATGTCTGAAAGTGGTACTGTACATACTACCCATCTTTATGCAGAACAGCCTAGGGTTAACCTGCAAGCATCTGAAGCAAACTGTTTTTTTGTTTTTTTTATTCATTAATCAACACAATTGCCACATCTTTTTTGTTACCCAGAATGCACACAAGTGCTACCCATCTTTATACAGAGCAGCCTAGGGTTAGCCTGCAAACATCTGAAGCAAACTGTTTTTTTTTTTTTGTTTTTTTTTTATTCGTTATTCAACACAAGTGTTGCATCTTTGTTGTTACCCTGAATGCACGCAAGTGGGAAACCTACAGATATAATCATTGCAAGTAACATTAATTTTATACTTTTTTCAGCATCAATCCATTGTTTACCGCTCGCACATCAATAAAGTTTGACACCATTTTTCCAAAGCTGCCTGTACATTCATACGTCTGGTTTTCAAAGTTGCAAAACGAAATTCCCTATAAGTATGCTAAAGGCTGGTTGACACACTTGTGTTTGACTGCAACCAACTGCGCAACAACCGGTTTGTAAGTCTTGCAGTCACAAGTAATCTCATCCGGTTTTAAGCTTCTCTGGTCGTAAGCAGCAAATGGCACATTATATTTTTGGTTTATTTAACACATATTCTTTATCCTGCATATGGATTAGGGACAATGACATTTGTGAAAAATGCCAAATAGCAAACATGTAAAAAAAAATTTATGTTTGCAAACAAGTCTATGATTTCTGAGGATGGCCCAGGTGTCCAGCTTGAAGGGGGGGGGGATATTTTTAGCAGAAGTTCTACCCTTTGTCTCTCAGATGTTATTCTAGTTCTATTAGCATGAAATCTATACTAGTAGCACTTGGGCTTTGTAACTATGAGGACTGTATATTTGCATGGCAAACCAGGTGATGAGCAGTGTGTATGGTCTTTTCTTTGTATGTTTATTCTAGTTCAGCTGGCCTTACCTGAAGCAGGAGATGAAGCACAGCATGTCTCAAGCTTCCTTCTAACAACCCTTCCAATACTGTAGTAATCAGCATGAACTACAATCAGAGGAACTGAGAAGCACTTTTTTTGGTCAAAGCTTTCAAATTAGTTGTGAAATTCAAAGCTGAGCATGTGTAGTTTGGGATTTATATTTGCCTTATAGGGGTACTCCAGCATTTTCTTCATGGTTCAAATTAAATTTACAATTTTATCCTCAATATTTTTTTTTTTTTTCTTCAAACTGAGTTTACAGGCAACGAAAAAAAGGTGATGCCAGCGGCAGGCAGGGGTTCACTCTGGACTAGAATTTGTTCCCAACTAATTACAAGGAGTTTGATGTTGTCAAATGAATGATTTGGAAGCTCGGCCCAGCACCCCTGCAGAAGCATGAAACAAATGCTTGGCATAGCTTTTTTAGACTGCCTGCTTGACCTATAAGCCAGTGATGAAATGGCACTGAAAAGCATGGGTATCAATACCAACTCTCCCAACTGACACTCTACTACAGGGTATACTTGAATGTTGGTTTTAGCATGACCTTCATTTGACAATGACTATTCTGAATTTTGTGATACTAAATAGCATACTGGAAAGGGTAAGGGCTGGGGATTAAGAAAATATATTTGGGGTAGCTAAAAACATCGGCAACATACCCCTATAAGCAGTGATCACCTAGTCCAAGCCATTTTGGATCTGCAGAAAATGTTTGGAGCACAAGCATATATTTCATTCTCCTTAAAGGGATACTTCAACGAAATTTGAAATATTCCCGTCGTGTTCAAAAATAGGTTGAATATGATCCACAATATCCGTAAATGACAATCGCACTTTTGTATTTTGAGCCTGGTGGCTGTATTTTTCATTATAAACGGCCCACTCTGGCAAGCGCACGGAGAAGGCCCAGCGGAGACCACGTGACATCCAACGCAATCGTGACGTAGGTCGTCTCAGGACAAGCAAAGCTACGGCGAGGCTGATGTCGAGAGGATGGCCTAGTCGTTCCAGCCACCGAAGCGGCTGCTTTTGTACAAATTTTGAGTGACGGCTTAATCTTCTGTAATCTTGTAGGGGGACAATAGCGACTTCTGCGACACACAAAAGGCATTCTCGGGAAGAGGGGAGTTTTTCCTGCCCCTCTTCTCTCGTCGTGGCCGGAGGCGAGACAACCTCCGTCACTAGCTGCCAAGGTTCCTAGACTGGCATTACAAGCGATGCGTTAGCGACATCCACCAGGTGCTCTTTGCTAATCGTTTAATTCGTTTTAAAATTCCTTTTCGTGACTTTTTTTAACAAGATATTAATATGTTCGATTTGATGGTGCTTTTTTGAACACATATAGACCAAAAAATTAGCACCGAAATTTCGTTGTAGTATCCCTTTAATTCCACTTTGGATACTATTGCTGTTTGTTTTGGTCTGTCCAACTAAAGGACAGACTGGCCAAATTGCTTTTGCACACTTGTATGTTCATTGCACAAGAGATAGTTTGGTGCCCTCAAACAAACGGCTGGTTAGTTGTTCTGAACAGCACCAGATACTGCAACAAGAATGTGACAGGATCTATTCTTTTTCTTTAAAGCTCCATTGCAGCAGCCACTTCTAAAATGCTTGCCAATGATGGACATGGCACAAATATCTACTATCGTTATTTTGATCAAAGATTAACCAAATAGTATTCCACTGACTACGCCTGGGTGCAAAATTGGATGTTTCGTTAGAGTTCCATTCACCCATGGGTAATGCTCATTTAGTTTTTAAACTTTATTGACTGTGCTCCGAGACAGCCGGGCCATAAAAAGAGGTGGTAATGAAACGAAAGATTTGACATACACTTGATCAAGATCATTTAGAATTTATGAACAGAAAGTTGGGGTGCAAATGAGCAGGTGGATATTACTAGACATAACACAACCCAGAGACTGCAGGAAGCAAACAACATACACACAGTCTCTGTGTGTATGTTGCCATATACACTCTGTGTATATTGTTTTTGCTTGCAGTCTCGGGGGTTGTTATATCTAATGTTTTAAAAACCTGAAAAGCAAAAAAATCAAATTTGGGGATTGTATGTATTATACTAACAAAGGGCATGTGGCATGCCCCAGTGAAAGACTAAGAATTCATTTTGACCACCTGGGGTTCTTTTAATGGGCCACCAAAAGCTTGCCTTCTTCGGATTGCAGGCACCTTGGCTGGGATTCGAACCCGCCAACTGGGGATCTGTAGTCTGGCGCTTTGCCTCAGAGCCACTGGAGCGGCTATAGAAATGAATTGCTACCAATGATGCAACAACTGGGAATAATAAAAAAAAAAAGGTGTTTTATCTAATGGAACGATTCTTCTGGGATAATGTTATCGACCCCAGCAAACATTGCATTATGATTAGAAAGTTGTAATTAGCCAATTAATTGCCTAAAATCCCAATTTATTTCTGAAATATTTGCCTTAGCTGGCACATTCCAATTAGAGACTTGTCGTCTGTCGTCGAAATATGCCATAGCTGTTAGAGTTCAGACTATTATTTTGCTTCGTGCTATTCTCCATCCGAAACTATCAACTAAAAGTAAGTTCCACCCAGAAACAACGTCGGCGCACAGAGATGCTCGAGCACCAGTCAAAGCTGTGCACGTGCACTCTACTTCTGAAATGCCATAGAAAGTTCTCCACGAGTATAGTCATTGCGAGCCGACCCGACAGTATCGCATTATCTGAGAGATGCGTGGTAGTAGAGAAGGCCCACCACGTGCTGCTAACTGCCGTCTCCCTGGGCACAAACCTTTTGGCACTTTTTTTCTCCTTTTCCATTGAATAATCCAGAGAATTAAGTTTCTAGACCTCCAACAACTGTTATGGCATATTTGGATGATGGGCAGCAAATATCCAATTGGTATGTGCCAGATAAGGCGAACATTGAAGAAGACTGTGAATGAATTCTAGGTAATTAAGTTGGCAATTATCACTTTTCATTTGTACACCCGACGTCTGCCGCAGTCGGCAACATTATCCCGAAGAAATCATTCCTTTATTTCTAACGTCTTTATTTTTTTTTCCCTTATATTCTTGGTTGCTGGTTTTCATTTTGAAAATTAAACTACTTCAAGGTACAGCTGTCACTACTTCAAGGTAGAGCTGTCACATCAGCATTCAGCAAGTTCCATTTTTATTTCTAAAATACCCAACTGCACCATCTCACTCCGGAGGAGTGCTTTGTACCCTTAGTATTCAGGTGCATTGCAGCAAAACGAGATATGCAGAATTACCATGTCTACCTCAAGGGTGTGGCTTCACTGCAGCACACCAGTGCACAGTGAGAAGTGATTGAAAAGTAAACATTTCGGAAAAAATCTGCCTGGTTAGGCGAGTAGTAATAAAAGAAGCTGCAGGTACTCTAACCAACTGTGTTTAAATAGCCCGACGTTTCGCGGCCTACTCTGCCGCCTGTTCACGGGTGACTTATTCGGCTGGGTATTTATAATTCTCTTCTCTTTGTCGCTGCCGTTTAAATTGTCTTCTTTTTGTGACACCTTGAAGCTTGGGAGGGTATTGATAGACCGGTTCAGGTTCTTTGTATGCTGAATATGCGATAAGCTGGAGGAATGAGTTTTCTCGGCTGCCGATGGGTGACGAAGTTTCCTGTAGATAATGTTGACGAATCTTGTTGGATATGCGTTTTTTTCGAGAGTCTCGTTTTATAATATCAACTTCCTCTGTAAGTGCCTTATCTGTGGAACACACCGTGATGGCACGTGAAAATAGTGCCGAAACTACAAAAGATTTGCGAGATGTGGGGTGGTCTGATAAAAAAAATTTAGGTATTGTCCGGTGTGCGTTGGTTTTCTATACACCTGGAATGTTAAAGGTTGCATTTTTTTTTTCACAGATACATCCAGAAAATAATGCAACCACTATATTAACATTCTACTGTGAATTGAATATTTGGTTAGATGGAATTAAGGTCTATGTGTAGGTGGTGAACTTCGCTGGTTTTCAGAACGCAGGAATGGAACTGGGCAAAACAGATTTGGAGAAATCTTGGGAGGAGAAAAGATAGAGGTACACCTAAGCATTCCTTATGAGTTGTGAATGCGAAAGCATGCAAGCTGCTCGTCTGCTCCCTTTTTCGTCGCCGGTCAGCACGTGTGCTCCCCTGGGCACGGTGACCTTGGACGCTCTGTGCCCAAAGGAGCAACGGCGCTCATGGACACGCAGCGCCATGGGGTGAGCGGTTGTGGAAACTGAAGAGCGCAGCGGCCAATAGGAGCCTCGTCAACACGTGCCAGCCGATGGAACCGAAGGATCGGGGAAACTATGTGCCGTTTTTGCGCTTCAAACTGATGACGTCAGCTCGCTCCATGAGACAGTTAATGCTTTCGCATTAAAAAAACTACAGTTCGGAGCAGGCTGGGAGCAGCACAAACGAGGTTTGGGGCAATT